TGTCTATAAAACTCATAATTTCATGATTAATTCTGAATGGGAACAGACCAGAGAGCTTAATCCGTCAAGGCAGAAGAAGGTGAAGAAGTAGAAGGAAAACTTCGCCTCTCACTTCTGTATCCATGCATTTGTACGGAACAGGAAAATGAACGTATTGGGCTAAATGTCCCTCAAAAATTTAGGTGTTGAGCGAAAAAATCGGATCGGAAATGGATTCAGTTGTCGATTCCCCATTTGGAAAATGATTTCAAAAAATTATACATATCACAATCAAGGTAGGAACATTCCGCGTATACCGATTCAGCCTCTTACAAATAATATTCCTAGTGGCTCTCTTAATCACTGTTTAGCTTAAATTTGCGTTTCGCTGCTCCAGTCAGCCCCTTATGAATCTCACACAATTTAAGAATCATTCCTGTTAACCTTGATGTTGTCATCCTCAGTTTAGACACACAATGAAGATTTTGTCAGTTAAGTTCCAGTAACCAAGCAACAGCGTCAACGTCAAAGGACCGCCGCATTGTCCTGGTTTCTACTAGCCATATTTTCTTTATCTTTTCCTCCTTCTCCTACATCTCCTCATCCTTCTACATCAAATATTAGGCCCCAAGGTCTCTTTCGTTTCTTCAAGTTTGGATTTGCCATCTTTTTCTGGATTGTCACAGCCTCTCATTGCCTGAAGTCTGCACTCCATAATTTGCCTGGTAATTCTATTTTCAGGCATGTGTTGCGCTTCCTGTTTTCCCCAATTCTTTTTTTATTTATTAACAGTGTCATTTGCACTTTCACCACGTACTGTACTTCTAATATAATTTGTAATATTACCTCTTCTCGCTATTACAATGATTCTCCACCTTCTAATTTCAGAAATCTCTAACTGGGAGAAGTTTTTCTCATATCGTTGCACTCTGAATCCTGATGAACAAATTTATTTACTTTACCCAAAGATCCCCCCTCCCACCCTTGTGTGCGACACGAAACTCCTGCCAAGAGGCACAGAAATACGCTTCTTTTACTAAATTTTAGCTGACTTTGTTGGTGTAGTCCATAGTTGTGTGAGTGTAACGATTTCCTACTTTGAGCAATCCGCTGGCTTTGACAAGTCGTCGCATTGCACCAATTGTTCTCGAACTTTTCCCGGGAAGAAATACATTTCAATGAAAGGTTTTTTTTTAATGCAGATAAGGCTTCCGTGAAGAATGTCCCTCATATTCTTGTGTCAGCACAGTGATACAAAGCTGCATAGACTAGCGGGTTGTCGCGGAGTTGCGATTAAACGGGTGAGTTCAAAACGTCCTGGTGAGCCCGATCGTCTTCGTGGGAAAGGGGCTTTACTTTCCATTTTATCAATTCAGTGACAGCATTAAAAAATCTGGCTCTTCTCACTGATGATTACAATCTGCCCATTTCAACAGATGTGTGTACGATCTGTTGAAGAATGTAAACTTCAGTTAGATAAAAGAGAAGAGAATCGTAACATTTTATTTTCCCTCTCTCGTACAGAAAACTTTCAAGGCATAGAACAACGGAGCGAGTTGGCTCAAGCCTTAAGGCTTCTGGCTTGTATTCGGGAGGTGCCTGGGTACCGATTATTCAGATTGAAATTTTCGTGGCTTTTCCTTGGTTCCTTTGTGCAAATTTCAAGACAGTATCTCAAATTACGGTACGAACGCTTCCTAATATATCTGTTGCAATATGGCCGCCTGTTAGTCGCTGGTTTCCCACCGCATCGATCCCGGGTCTGGTCAACTGGGATTTGCTGTGGACAAAGTGGCGCTGGGGCAGGTTTTCTCCGAGTACTTCGGTTTCCCCTGCCAATCTATATTCCACCAATTGCTCCACAAACACCCTCACCTATCATCTGTGGCTGGTACAATAGGCCAGAAGTGGCCGCAGTACAAGGGACTTAGTCCCACACCACTAGCAATAAAAGAAAATATCTGTCGCAGTTCAATATTCACTTGTCATCCATTTATTCGATATAATATTAGATGATACCATCGTTAAAAAAAAGTAAGTAAATTGAGACATAAATCAGTATTGCGTAGAGGAAAGCACTGTAGTATCCGTTATGTTGACCAAGAAATGGTTAATGGAACTTATACGAAAGTAAAGGTATCGCGAGACAAACTGAAACTCTTGTAAATATATTTCTTTTCGAAGACTTTCTGCATGACCGAAAAATCCTCTATGGAAAGGAAGACGGTTAAAGAAGACATCACTTCATTGTGAACCAAGCTTTGCTTCCCCGTTCGTGTTTACAAGAAGGCAGCAGCTACCCAATCAGTGCCACATGTCATCTGAATGCCAATTTCGAGGAGAGCGCTGTTGAATCTTGACATCATTGCGTAGGCTGCAGAGGATCGAAGGGATGAAGGGTGACAAGGGAGGAGATGCATGAACAGAGTATATCGGTCAAGGCTACCGATGAATAGAGAATATTTTCGGATGTCTGTTCCAGGGAAATGAACACTGAGGGTTTTGTCTTAGTGGTTACCAGTTCTTCGTATCATGAAGTTCGCTCCTTCGGATGTCTGATCACAGTGTCGCTATCTTCACTGCGATATTTTCGTAGTTTTCCTCAGCACTTCACTGTAAATTCAAATATATCACGGCAAAATATACGACGAAAACATTTCCAATTAATCTTTATCAGATATCCTAGTATTTGAAGCTACATATAATTTTGTTGCTGTTAATTCAGTATTAAATCAAGCAAGTTGAAGAGAAAATCTTCTGTTTTAAAATCCATAATCCGTAGACGTTGCGGTCGGCCATAATGTGGCTTTGTGACTTGTCTTCAGACAGAATGTTGATCCACTGAAATCCGTTCTATTCTACTTATCTGTAGGTATTAAACTCACGACATGTTTTGTTCAAAAGCAATTTTTGTTTCAATTCTTCGTGGCCAGTGTGTATGAGGTATGTTCTTGTAAATGGATTTGAATTATATTTCTAATTGTAGACTGTTACTGAATGTTGGCCTACAATTATTCCTTTAGCCTCGTGTATCGTCTGAAAAAACTATATTTATATTACATGCTTCTAATTAAAATCACTAAGAAAGTTACTCGTAAAACTGGCAACACATTTGAGGGCACACAGTTTTACCTGTATCTTCAATTAGATTACTCTCCAGTTCTCCGAGAATTACGCTTCATGCCAGATTTTACAGAAGCCGCTACCTCAGTCAGTAACAGATATACGTTACGTTGCGTTGCGTTGCGTTGCGTTGCGTTGCGTTACGATACGACACGACACGACACGGCACGACAAGACACGATACGACACAGCACGATACGATGCGATACGACACGGTACGACACAACACGACGCGATATGATACGGTACGATACGACACGACACGGTACGACACGACACGACGCGATATGATACGGTACGGTACGATACGATACGATTTCCAGCAGAAGAAGTTATTTTTCTCTTCGCCACCCCTTCCCGAATTATCTGAGGATGCTTCTTTGGTGACGCAACAAGCTGTTATTCGCCGGTCTTCTTGTTTGAATTCTACCACACTAACGTCTTTATTGCTTGGTGCTTAAGAACATAAACAACTTCAGTTCTACGTTTTACATCTCCCTTACTTATGCTTCATATTTAACCTCGTCTTTATTGAAAATAAAACTTATTTATTACAATATTGTTTATAATTTTGGAGATGCAGGCCTATATATGCATACCTCATCAACAATATTAAATGAAACAATTTAAACTGTTGTTCGTAACTCACAATTATTTTCAAATCTGTAAGTTCTGCATCCTGTTACGATTAGTAATTACAAAATGTAATAAATATTAAATTAACTTCAATAACCACCAACGCAATTTCGATGATAATTAGTGATTGTATTGAAAACCACCTAATATTTTGACCTCAGAGGTCATCATCCGATGGTACACTATTTAGAATATTTATTATTTACGTGTCAAATAATCTTTTTAGTTGCCTTAATGAAATAGGATGGCACTGTATTATGCGTGCCAAAGTTTGTATGGTTTATGTTATGAATATTTCCAAATAAAACAGCATTAAAATTAATGTAACTGTTCATGATATAATATAAACTATATACCGTGAGGCTTTGTGTTGATGCGAACTGTAGTTTTGTTTTAGTAACCATCTTGTTACAATTCATAAACTATAGTAAATACTAGTTATGTTGAACAGTTAAGATCAATGTTGAATCGTGTAAGGGAGGGTGAATTTTTTTTCGATGTCCGTTGAGATGTATGATATATCGTCTTTTATGATTAACATGATACTAGTATGTAAGATGTATTTATTGGGTTTGATTCTGCGGGACTTTTATTTCACAGCCAAATATTTTGGTGTAAATGTTCTTCGTTGTTAGAATATTCCTATAAAGTTTAATTTTGAAGTGCTGGGAAATGACAGGGTATTCCCCTTGCTCTTCTACCTTATGGCATTAAATACATAACCATCATGATATTAAATTGTTTTGTGGAAGCTCTGCATATGACAATGACAGCAGAAAGTGTAAGTTAATAATTACGTAAATCAGTCTTCCATTTCTATATATGTATTTTAACATTGATAGAGTTCCATATAAATCTCGAATATAACCTCGGAATGTTCACTTTCGCCTTCCGTCGAATGTGTAAATGGAAGGATAGATTTTTAAAGAATTTAATTGGAGAGCCGGAAGTTAAGAGACCGCTTGGGTGACGTAGGTGCAAATGAGAGGGTAATATTAAAATGTATCTCAAAGAAAACGTATGTGACATTGAGTGTGTATTCATTTGGCACATGACAGGGTTCAATGGAAAATTGTTGCAAGCATTGTTTGAATCATCGAATTCTGTAAAAGGCAAGTAAATTTCTTGAAGAACTCTGCGACTATTAGCTTCTCAAGAGCCACATGTTCCCTACATCACGTAGTGGTTTAAACGGAATAAGATGTATCCATTTATAATCGATAATAGAGTAGTAATTCCTTGGCCGCATGGTTGTGTTACAGGCATCCTGGAGACAATCCCTTCTACAGCAATATCGACAGCATGCCAGACATTCGACCCAGGAGGAAGTCGATACCTCTCGTTTCCGAATTGGTAAGCGCCATTATTACAGTAATATGTCACGTTGCAGCCCCTTCATCACATCCAAGCATCTTCCCAAATCTGCACATGTCACAAACTTACAGTGATATTCGAGACTGTACCTTCTCTTTTGTGGTTGATCCTAGAAATCTCATTTGACGATATAGTAGGCTTAATGGAAATTTTGCAAACTATGCAGGACAGCGTATAATTATTACTTGCTTTCCAAAAATAGTCCTTGCTTGTTGCTAATTATCACTCATTTTTAGCAGTATATTATTCATTTGCATTAAAGATTTGAATCAGTATCATTCGTTCGTGAGCTATTAGAATATTTTAAGTACTTCTAATGTAGAGTTGCTAGATCTCCTGGTAAATAATAGGAAAGAAAGTAAATTTTATTACGCATTTGTCTATGAGTGACGATTGTTTAACTTTTAATTCTATATAAAAATCCTTTCAATTTTGCTTGCATTTCTTCAACGAATTCCTTTTCAGCCACATTTATCCCCCGCATAAATTTATACTGTATATCGTTCTGACAGAGACTGTCACAGCAAATTGTGAGTCTGCGGAGATTTTATTGCTCTTTCTAAAGCGATTGTTTTGCGCTACACGTAAATCCGTCCTTGAATGTTTTCAAGAATGTGTGGGTAGAAATTACTGTAACTGATGACCGTAATTTGTTATTGTCAATCATTATTTCGCTCGTATTTTTAACAGAAATTTAAATTAGCGTATGTTGTTTTTGAGTCGGTCTAGAAAACCGAAATTAACGGCCGTGGGGATTCGTTGCGCTGATCACGCGACACCCTCTATCCGCAAAAGTTGGCACTAAACTTCACCGACAAGCGGCGGTCGCTCGGTCGGTCTGGTTCGCTTGCGGATTGAAATCACGGAGTTTGTTTATGTTTTAGTATCGAAGTAGAATATTAACATCCGCCATTTACCTGCCAGCGGTGTGGGCTGTCCATACTGCCGTTCTCCCAGTCTTCGCAACTACCCGCTTCCAACACTAAAGTCAGAGAGTATTCATAGTTTAGCGGACGTTTATTATCGCGGTGATGAACTTTCAAATTTCACAGAAGATGATGATTTTCTTTATAAGCTGAAAGACTCATTACGGTAAAAGTGCTATATTCCTGATCGCCGAATATCACTGTGGTCTCCTTCAAAGTACTTCCCTTGTGAAGCTATGCACCGATGCCAGCGCCTAGTCCACGCTTCAAAACAAATTTTGGAACTGGTTTTGTGGAATGGCCTTCAGAGCTGCCGTCATACTACTCCTCGTGTCATCAGTGTCATCAAAATGTCTTCCTCTAAATATTTCCTTTATCTTCTGGAACAGAAAAAGTCATAGGGAGCTACGGTGAATAGGGAAGGTGTCCGTCTGCGGAAATAATGTATTCTGACATTAGGTTCAAAAAATACCTTTAAAATTAGGGACAGATATATCATGTATTAACAAAATCTAATGGATTAATGGGCAGCATTTGAAATGACAAGCAAGTAATAACATGGACATTTGCGTGTACAAACTTTCAAACGTTGTTTCTCAACGACAGCTGAACCTCCTATGTTTTGCAGAAAATGTCGGGAACATAATCCTACAGAGAATTATGTATTCACGCTAGCGGCCATTTGCATTTCCAGTATTAGGCCTGCGTCATGTTGATCCATATACGTAATGTATAAATGCATATTCGGCTTTATTGAATTCTTCCACGTGACTTAAATTCATGAATGCTCCGTTTTATACGCCTAAATGAAAGACACCCTCGACAAAGCTGCTTGAAGAAGCTTAAATTCAAGTGCCTTACAAATTACTGCATAAAAATATAGGCGTAAATTGTATTCTTCTCTGCGGCTGAGTATTTTAAGGTCATCTATACTTAGGAACGAAGGTACATATTTCAAAAGCGCTCTGATAAAATTAAAACCACTTTTATTAATAAATCTTAATATATCATTATGTAAATAATTATATATTATTCAAATGTTACCTACAAAATTATGTTGACTTTAAATTTATTTTCAGATAAAATATATGATGATAATACTTAATTGTCTGTATTTCATTTTGGATTTAAATACCTGAACTTCATTTATGCCTGAAAAAAAAAACAATTCAAAAGCTGTCCCTCATTCATCCACGATTCAGATATACTGAAATAATATAATGACAGGAATTATTATCTACATCCATAACACATTCTTGAAATCCACAATGAAATTTTTGAATGAATACAAATACAATGTATAAGCACATTTCGAATATATAAAATTACAGCCCTAAGTATTTTCATTCAAATACTATACAAAGGTGCTTTACAGCTGAAGATTGCTAATATATTCTGTTTCGTACTGATTCATAAAGAACATTCCACGCGAAGAAAATTCGATATATGCATCCTATCATGAAAGAGCAGTAAGGTAAATGAAGATATTTTCCATCGTTAAAAATTACGAAATTATACTTCAGAGTCTCAGTAAGATTGTTAAACAAGTTTCTTCAACTATAAAAGTCCCCTTTCGTCTTATCTCAGTGTAATTTTTTTAAATTCACTTAGTGTGGGGTGGAGTCCAACTGGGTCCACTCGGCACGGCGGCCACTGATTAGCGTATTGTAGCCTGCCCCGGGTGATTATGATGACGGAGAATTTGGTGGAATGAAGATCGGCAGGGGAAACCGAAGTACTCGGAGAAAACCCGCCTCAGCGTCACATTGTCCACCACAAATCCCACTTGACCAGACCCGGGATCGAACCCGGGCTGTCGCGGTGGAAAGCCCGCTACTGACCGCTTCAGCTATGGCGCGGCCATGAAAGAGCAGTAAGGTAAATGAAGATATTTTTCTTCGTTAAAGATTACGAAATTATACTTGAAGTCTCAGTAAGATTGTTAAAGAAGTTTCATAAACCATAAAAGTCCCTTTTCGTCTTATATTAGTGTAAGTTTCTTTCTGTGTCTTAAACTTACACTGCAGTCGTAAATTTACGGAATTCACAAAGAATGTTTTTCTTTTCTAAGTTTCATAATTGATACGAAGCTTCTTCCACACTTTCATCCTACAAACTGTCAGTGTCATTACCCATATATTAAACGTACCATTGTCCAAAGCGCCATGCAACAGTTTAGTCCTCACTGATTTGTGTGTTCATCCTATGATCCTGAAACATCGACAAAGTGGCGAGAACAAGCGAACAGAGCAGTTCCACTGTTACCATAATAACGGCACAACATATGTAAACAATGAGTTTAGAAATACCTAAATGTATGTGTTAACGTAGCGACTAATTTCCCATAACTGGTGTTTCTAATCCCATGTTTTGTGGACCCTCTTTAACCCCCTCACCCTGTGTGTGTTTACTGTATCACTATTACATAGTCCTCCATCCAGCGGTGCCCGATGTGTTGCTATAGTTGTTGTTGGTGTTGTTGTTGATAATTATTATTACTAAGTGTGGTTTGTTTTCTCTCTTTCTCTTCCGGCATCACCTCTCACAGGTGCTGAAGGTATTGTTGATATCCTGACCATATGCTATGTTATCGCACGTAAAATCAATTATTGAATGAAATAGGTTTCATTTCTGATCTGTGTTCAGGTAGCATTTCGAATATACTGTGTTCGGTGATTTTTTTTTAATTTACTAAAACAATAAATATGCTACCTGAAATATTGTTGCCTGAAATTCTTTTCACATTAAAATTCGAAAGCTACTGCATGAAGATTTTTTCTTTCTTCGCTTTCCTTGTATAGCTTCTGTCTCGTGGGCTGGTACTGAAGCAAATATTGTGATGTTAATAGATGTTATGTGTCACAAATTCTGAACTAGATGCTTCTTTTACAGTTCTGTGCAGGCACTAAGAAATAATTAGGCAGAACCTCGGAATTTGTCTGCTTCAATGAAGTATGAATATTTGAACATATTACCACATGAAACCTTTGAAACAAATTCCATTATTAATATTGTAAAAAAAATATATGTAACTGTAGCAGGATCTTTCAGAACGATGTGTTGAGAGCAGTCTTATAAAGCTGCACATCACGTTCAATTCTAATTATTATAAAACATTTAATATAATTTACCTTGATATTTAAAGTGGGTCCATTAACGTGGATCTAAAATGTATTGATTTTGTATCCGTAATATTAACTAGATTTTAATTACTTCCAGAGATTACTTGTGCTGTTAAAATTTGGATTATTTCTCAGAAAACTAATAGCCGATCTCACAAAATTACCGTCTATGTTAGACCCATTAGTATAAACTGAACTATTCTGCATTAGTTCCTGTAACCTGATCCCATTCATAATTAACTTCTTAAGCTGTGAATCTTTTATATTCCTTGTTCGGGGGACAAGATCTTCGAAATGCCTCTTCCTACACAGGAAAACGGAAAAGCGGGCCATACATCCATTCCTGTGGTGGAATTCAAGCCCACGATTCCGTGGTGGAGCAGTCAAATGCAGTGCACATATAAATGTACATGCATGACTAAATTAGAAACAATAATTTTCACTTGGTTTAATTTTATTTACTTAAGTTCGTTATTTGAAAAATATTATGTAAGAGTTCAGAATTAACAAGCTATCGGATTATGAAAGGATACTTAGAGATGACATGACAACGGGTTCATAGATTTCAAAACTTTAATCGGAGTTTATCTCTGAGTTTCATTCTCAATACTCCACTAACTGTACGATAAATTAAATAAAATTTAATATTTTGATAAAATGATTTGTAGTTATTTAATTTTAAAATGTAACAGCCTTTGTGTATCATTACACCTTCATAAACATTTTTTAAACGGAAGGAAAATGAAATTACATTGCAATGTACTACGTTTTCCCTACCAAAGAATTTAGAAATTATGTTAAGCTTTCATTAAGTTTCTAAACCTCCAATTTCAATTCCTTAATATATCGTCGAAATGCAGTGTTGTGAAATCCTTTGTCTGATGAGGATTACAATTTTAGTCTAGAGCTCCTTTGCACAAGAGGAGTGAATGTGATCTACTTTACAAGAAATTGCTCACGCCTTTGTTCTTTGCATTCAAGTTATGGTTTATTGAATGCGATATTACGGGTGTATTACTAAAGTTCATATGAATTTCTGTGTATATTTTGTTGCGTTGAAACCAATCAATATTTTTGGCATAAAAGTAAAAGGGCACGATAAACGAAATTCGTGACACTAGTATATTTGCGCGTTCGTTCAACCAGTATGAAAGTAGGCATCAAAAAATAGCCTCTGAACAATGTTAAAAGAAATCTCTACTCTCTGTATTTCTGAGGTGGGTATATTGGCCTGTACAGTGCCTTTTAAATGTTGAAACGTTAGGTTAAAATATGTTACTATATTCACTACAGGCATTTCATTCATTGGTTGTTTGTGAAAGGGATTTGGAAAGAACATCGTATTATTATAAATTTTAAGATTATGTACAGTGAAGTGGAGCGTCTGTAACACATGCTTTCATTTTTTCAAAATGTAAATAATTAATTATATTTCAAGAAAACAGAAGTTAATTTACATAACTGTGTTTCTAAAAATTTGCATTCAATACGTTCTATCATATTCCTAGGCGATTTCGCTGTTCCACATATCTCAGCTTTCCAGATTGTGACGTTACTAAATGCTTCCTCAATAAGTTTGCCTTTTAACATAGGCAGAATGTAAAGTAATGACAATTTACACAGACACGGAGATGTCATTCATAATGGTTTTAAATTTCGTTAACCTGCACAAGACACAGATTTTACTCACACACAATAATACAGTTCTGCCAACAGTGCGACTATTTTTACTCCTACCGTTTCGCTTTCCCTTTCACAACACGTGAAAGGGAAAGAGTAAAATTAGTTGCACTGTTGACGGAATTGTATTACTGTGTGTGAATTATAGTAATGTAACAGGATGCTTAGGTACAATATTGTACTTTACTATAATGACCTCAAACAATGTCATATATGTGGCTACTTCTGTATGCTGATTACTTGTATTGTTTGCGTCAGATAGCAAAATAACTAATTTCTGCATTGTATATGTTTTGGGACATACGATTCGTAGATTTACATGCGTGCAACATGATAAAATCTTCTTCTCTGGCTCCATTATCGATAATTGAATCACAGTCTCTCTTTTCTGTATTATGTTAGCCAAATTAAGTAATTACATATATATAATTAACGTAATTGTATTTGCATATGATAATTTTATTATTATATACTTATATTTTATTAAATTTATTTCCGCTTTTCTTCTAGAATTTATATATGAATAAATTTAAATGCTATTATTTGTAGTGTCTTAACTTGCTGCCTTTATATTTTCTCTTGCTTGTGTCTCATTCCTGCTATGTTTAGTATGGCTTGAAGTGATCTTCATGACATGCCTCAACTTCTCTTTTTCACACACCATCAGATGTTAAGAAAGGGCTTACGCTTCTCACCGGCTTATTGTTAACCTGCATCGCTGTATAATTATTACTTTGTTATATGTATTTCTTATGGGTAAAGTAACAGTAGTTCATTTTAACGAGAATTACTCTTAAATACGTTAACGTCTGTTGCGTACTATACATTTAGGTGCATGTTTGAACTATCATGCATAAAAGAACAACGTTCGAGCTTCGTACAAAGCTATGATGCATGTCTGCGCCGCAGTAGTTTGGTAATAGTACGTAGGATAATAATATGAGCAGAATGCTTTCTCATCAATTTGTTTTGAAGTTAAATTATCTGTATATTAAAATATAAGTATGTATTGTGTGTAGTATGGTTCATTACGCAATCGAGGAAGAAAAGTTTCTCTGCTCTTATTTCCCTTTTATTTTTCTAGTGGTAGCCTGTACAGAGTCTGATTTTGTTTTAGCCCACAGAAGTGACAAACGGTTTGTATGATTAGGGAAAAACTATTTAGTCTCGATTAATGTCTAAAATATGTCATTTGTAAGACGTACTAGGTTTCAGGGAAGGAAGGAATACAATGTAATAGACCGTATTTACGCATGTATAGGCCGCGTGCGTGTATAGGCCGCAGCACAATTTTCAGACAGAAATTATATAAAAAAAATAATTTTCTTGGAGTATTATTTCAGGATTAGAACACCATGTATTACTAATTATGAATATATATTTCTTTAAATGAAGTGTGATTTCGAATATTTCGAATATAAGCCGCACCCCAGTTTTCCTCTTGAATTTTTGGCAAAAAATGTGCGGCCTATACATGAATAAATACGGTATTATCACAAATTAGTTTAAGAATTTATATCTCTAACGACAGAAATGGGCGTATTAGTGCATCTACACTGTATCTAAATAGGAAAATTTACGCTGTTGTCATTGTTATCATCATTATCAACGTCCACGCTTATTGTTGGAGACTAGTAAGATGTTAATGATGCATAAATCAATGTGTTTCTCTTCCTGGACCTTTCAATAATGGCTGCCCTGTCTGCATTTATTAACTTTTTTAAACAAACTGAGTACGGAAGCTTCGTAATTATAACATTGCCATATACGTCAGTACGTAAAATTCTTGAGTATTGTCCTGTGTGTTAATACTACGCGAAAAATATGACCACGATCGTAGATAGTGAAAAATGTAGTAAGGTTAACGATTTTGTGATAATGTAACAATAATTTGGATCCTTTCATAAGTAATAACGCCATCTGATCTAAGTTTTACTGCCGACGTTTCGAAGATCATTACTTTTTCCATCTTCAAAACGAAGTTATTATACAGGTTCCCTGCCTATGCTTATAATGCAGATCCACAAGTAGATGGGACAGTAATTATTAATGGTGGATATAGTAAGAGTCTTCGAAACGTCGACATTATACCTTACATCTACACAGTGCCATCACGTGGAAACAGGATCCACACTATCCCCTGAAACCGCTATGCGAACCCGAAATCTTCTGTAATATATAACATATTACGCCAAAATAATTCGCACCCTTCTTTTGGCAGTGAAGAAGCAACTGTGTGTCAAGTGTGAAGTGTTTTTAAAATGTTTCTCTGTCTATAGACGATGGCCGCTACGAAACGCAATGCTGGCCTCACGTCAGCCGTACCAAGGGCAACGCTCAACGACGAGGAATTGGTAAGTATGCTCCTCCTCTTATCTTCAGGAGCAAATCGTTTATCGTGTTAAGATCATTTCCTCTCCCTCGACATACGAGGGTTCCTGCTCTTCAACCTGCAGAGCAACCACAGGTTAAGAAAAGACTGCAGATCTTGTGGGCTGTTCCTTCTAATGGAAGCATCCACTTTAAATCAAATTTATGGATGGAGTATAAGAAGAAGGGTGTCCTTGAAGGAACAGTAGAGTTGGTAGTATAACGCATTAGTACTGCGTATTTTATGGTGGTTTAGTATACATGTAGAATGATCATACTGGACACAAACGTAATTACTCTTCCTACTTTCAGTTAAAAATTAATTCTCATTTTCTACGATCTTGGACTACATATAGGGGAAAGCAAATTGATTTCACAGGTCTGAGGGCAAATTAGCGAAGTACGCAGGCACTTTTTAATTTTTGAAATGACACCATACAGAACAGAATTCTAGAAGCAGAATTGCTATATCAGAGAGGCAGCTGACATATGTCTTTGGCATAACATATATATATATATATTACAGTATAACTAATTCTGCGAAGGTCATGCCACTTTCGCAATGCCAAAAGTTTAATCATGCAATTGGTTCATTTATGCGAGAATAAATGTATCTGAAGTCATCGAAGTCTTGTGCGCTGTCCACCCATCTTCTGAATTTCGTCAAATTGCGACCTTCATTTCATTTTCAAAAAGTGTTTTTATTGTCCCTGGCATGATAGCAATGTGTGTAACATGCAAAAATAAAACGCTGAAGGACCCACAAACGAAACAATGTAGACAATTTGATGCTTATATTTCAATCCTTTGCAGGAACACTTGTTCACATTTCTCGCAGCAAGAGATACCAACTAAAGTGAGACTGTGTCTTAAAAGTAAAAGTAAAATAGTAAAAGTATCCCTGTAACAGGCTGTGGAGGCCCATAGGGTTGTGAGATGTTGAGGCTCCCACATTTTCTAGACAATCGGCTCATAGAGGGCGTCAAGGTTGTTAGCCATACGCGCCGGCCGCCCTTTACCCCCAAGAATATTCCAAGAATATTCCCGGTACTCATTTGTCTTAGAGGCTGAGACGACCCCAGGGCCATAGTGCGGCTGGAAGGATTAGGTCAATTGAAAAAATCCAATGACCTCATCGGGACTTGAACCCGCGACGTTCCGGCTTGTAGCATAGTGCCTCAACCAACTACGTGACCGAGTGACCCCCCAAGACTGTGTCTTACTTTTATATGTATATTTATTAGCAATCAGAATTAAATACATTCCTTAAGTTAATTTGCTAATTTAAACACCGTCCTCGTGTGCTTATTGTATCATGATGAGGGCTCCTCCAATGAGAGATCCTCTTCAATCATCAAGTAGATCTGCTGGCCATAATTTCTTTAGTCTTCTTCGTTGTTGTTCCAGTAGGGGCTGCAGTAATGTATTGCTATGGTGTCCTAGTTTATCATGAGGTGTTATGCTTTTTCTTGGATGACTACTTTGATGTATGGTACATTGAGATTGTCATGTAGGGTCTGATTAGTCCCATACCAAGGGGCATTTGTGATCATCCGCAGTATTTTGGACTGCCTTCGTTGCATTGTGGCTATGTTGGATTTACTGGCGCATCCCCATAATTCGATTCCATAGGTCCAAATAGTGTCTTACTTGACGAAAATAAGTACGCATATGGCAGCAATGGCTCTTTCACTGATAGTGCTTCTAGATTTTCAATTCGTGAAGGCTGGCATCTGATGCCGGTTTACAAGTAGAATGAAACGTGATATTAATGTGATCAAAATCAGTCGAAGGGTTCTCAAGCAATGAGACGACACAACACGAAAATCCCTTCTGTTTATTCGTTTCGAAAACTCTAAACTTGAGTAAAATCTCTGTTGGTCATAGAATGTGTATTCAGTGTTTCTCTACGACTTTTATTGCAAGCCTCTTTCGCCCTTAGCAGAAACGTATGCTTTGTATTCGTTATTGTTGTCCTGGTTATTAAAAACTAAAATGTGTCAACGAAGTTTAATATAAATCTCTAATATAAAACTTCAATGAAAATCGTTTCAGCGGTTATCGTGTTTCCATTTAGGCAGTCAGCCAAACATGGCGAAGTGAGTAGAATATATTTACGTCTTTTATTGTGAAGCGACATAAATTTGGGGCGTGTTTCACCCTATATTAAGATTATACTTTGAGGTTTTAAAATTCAATTTGTCTTTATGCCTTAGAAACATAACTGATATGTCTGTCCGACCTTTTTTAGACAGTTTTGCAAATACCCTACATTTTCATTGTGTGATTCCGACAAGTTGGAATAGCCCCTATATAAGAAAACAAACAAGTTGCTGATGGATTGTGTTTTGCGAGCAGAAGATGCACGTGTACAAGAAGACACTGCAGGCGCTCATCTACCCTATCTCCAGCACTACGCCGCACAATTTCCTGTTGTGGACCGCCACATCGCCCACCTACTGTTACGAGTGCGAAGGGCTGCTGTGGGGAATAGCGCGCCAAGGCGTCCGCTGCTCAGAATGTGGCGTCAAGTGTCATGAAAAGTGCAAAGACCTACTGAACGCGGACTGCTTGCAGAGTGAGTGACATCTGTTGTAATGTACGGAAATGACAGAGCCCTACTGATGGGCTGTAGTGTTCTGGTGAGTTAATGACGGGGCGTTTAAATACCTAACTTATTGGCCGATCTATCGACCGACCAACGGAATGGCCGACTGACTAATTGATGGTCGGAAAGAATAACATGTTTATACGGCTGAAAAAGATTGATTTCAGTAGCACGTGGCTGATGTGAGCTACAATAAAATATGACTTCGTTCATACTGGCCCGTCAAACTAGTAATAGTATAAAAGATTATTAACGCCGTCCAGTGTGACTGATAAATGTTGTGCTTTTTAACCTTTCATCCTTTAGATGTTTCGTTCGGAGCGACCATCTTCAGAGGGACATATAAATACACATGGAAACTACTATTACAATGTTATATATAAAATCTTATCCTTTAATAATTACTAAGCTGTGCATAAATTTGTTAAAACATTTATGTATTCTTATAATTAATCTATTTACAAAGTATTGCCTAAAAATTGTGTTTTAAACTCTAGAAGCAATTTGGTTTGTGTCTGTATACTTCTTCTCTTTAAAGGAAGATGAATGTGTTCCACGTTGTGGTTCCGTTGTTTGAAGAATAAAAGTAAGTGTAAAAAAAAATTAAAATTATCCCTGTAACAGGCTGTGGAGGCCCGTAGGGTTTTGAGATATTGAGGTTCCCACCCTTTCTAGACAATCGGCCCATACGAGTAGATGGCGATAAGGTTGTCAGCCTTACACTCCGGCCGCCCTTTACCCCCAAGAATATTCCTGGTACTCATTTCTGTTAGAGGCTGAGTCGACCCCAGGGCCATAGTGCGGCTGGAAGGATTAGGTCAATTAAAAAAAAAAAAAGAATCCAGTGACCTCGTCGAGACTTGAACCAGCGACCTTCCAGCTTGTAGCATAGTGCCTCAACCAATTACGTTACTGTGTGCCCTCTTATTTGAAGAATAAGACATTGTAATAGTAATTCCTGTTATGTATTGATAATGACCTATGACACTGCAATAGCAGTTTCCATATGTATTGATAATGTCCTTCTGAAGATGGTCACTCAGACCGAAGCATGCGAAGGATGAAAGGTTAGAAAACATGACATTCATCAATCACAGTGGATGGCGTTAATAATCTTTTATACAATAAAATTTGTTTAAGTTCTAGTGTAAACCATAGCACAAAATGTAATTGTAAATTGTTTGGTAGTTTCAGGGAACATGGCCTGAGAGAGGTGAGGTCACCACTCCATATAATAATATAAATTATATGAAAACACACACCTCAACATTATTAAATTTTATACCTGATTAATCATCTCGAGAAGCACGATGCAACTGATGGAAAAAAATGCAAGTTTTTTATTTGAAATTGTCTAAACAATTTAAACGAATATCTGTAAGGCCAGTATCAGCAAGTCATCAGTTCAGTTAAGCAGGATTTTCACATTTGTGCTTGCTTGCTGTATTTTTTTAAATTAAATAAAATTATGTTTCAGCCCTCCCTTGGACAAGGGCATGAGCCAAATTGCCCTGCTGCCTTCCCCCTCTGTGTGTGTGGACCTATTGACGACTGTATGTGTTCCAAATGATGCATAAAGATGATCGCTTTGTCTTTCTGTAGGGGCGGCTGAGAAGAGTTCGAAGCATGGGGCTGAGGACAAGGCGAACAGCATCATCACAGCCATGAAAGAACGAATGAAGAAGAGGGAGCGAGAGAAACCGGAGATCTTCGAACTGATCAGGTAGGAGAGATATCCTCGTCGACGAACCCCAGCGGGGTGTGGAGTCCGCAGTGAGCCCTGAGCACTCTACGTGTTACAGCAATTTCTCTGCCTCGGACACACTAAATTGGTACCTTACTTTCTTCTGATGCAACCTCATTCGTTAACTACCATTCTAAAAATAAAATCTATTTTCCTTTTCCTTATTTTTGTATTTGTTTAGTTGCATAACAACAAATATAACTAATTTTACTTTAAAATGTAAATATCATGGGTTGCACTTAGAAACCAAAGCTGTGCTGGAAAAGTGAATTTTTAATAGGCCTTACAGTGATGGACAGGACAGATAATTTCAATAGAATTATGGGAAAAAAGTCAAGGCACTTATTATCACTTTTCAGAAGAGCAAGAAACGACTGCAGATGTTTATGTAGAAATGGGCTTGATTCAGCTCTTTATTGCTTTCCCATCCATGACACATAATTTTTAACATGAAATGCAGACTTAAACTGTCAACATATCTGTCAGAATCTAACCCACTGTCTCAAATATTACTATAGTAAAATACATCTATTTGTTCACAGTAGTCATAACTGTCAATCCTGTTTTGGAAAACGCCTCATTATAAATTGTTTTATGTAATAATGGTGATATCTTTAAGATGTCATTGTTCTTAGGCATAAAAAGTGATTGCCGTAAAGTAAAGGTATCCCTGTAACAGGCCATGGAGGCCCATAGGGTTGTGAGATGTTGAAGTTCCCACATTTTCTAGGCAATAGGCTCATAGATGGTGGTAAGGTTATCAGCCTACACACCCACCGCCCTTTACCCCCAAGAATATTCCTGGTACTCATTTCTGTGAGAGGCTGAGTCGACCTCAGGGTCATAGTGCGGATGGAAGGATTAGGTCAATTGAAAAAATCCACCTCATTGGGATTCGATCCCGCGATCTTACGGCTTGTAGCATAGTGCCTCAACCAACTATGCTACCGTGTCGTTCTTAGGCTTATATAAAGGAAAAGTCCTCCACATCAAAAATCTTTGACATGAAGGTAAAGTGTTACATTAATCTGTATTTGAAATTCCATTCATACTATTAATGTTGTTTAGCTCTACTGTAATTAGCTGTATAGGATCTGAAAAATATCAAAAGGAATTTAAAATGTGTTAACTTAATTATATGCCCTCATGGCATACCGCTTAATAGGCTAATCATAGTAATGACTTTACCTTTTAACTAACTTAATCAGTAAAACTTAAATTGTGTGGCCGGCACTTTTATTGAACTCTTTAAAGTCAATCTTTATGTAATATATAATCTGATATTATAAATAAGCAAAGAGAGAGATGATACTTACTTAACCATGTTACATTTACTAAGATTAAATACTTTCATTACGTAAATTGTTGGTATCCTCTGATTTAAATAAGATATTCGTTTTACTTTGTTTTCAAACACAATGTTCTTTAACTGACACTGTTTCCATCATAACGTGAAGGTATCTACCCGTAACAGCTTCATCCTTTCTGATTATCTTAACAAAAAACATTGTTTTATTCTCCCCGTACATCGCAGGTCGGTATTTGGAGTTGAAGAAAAAAGTCACATTGGACACATGAAAGCTGTGAAACAGTCCGTATTAGACGGAACCAGCAAGTGGTCGGCCAAAATAGCCATCACAGGTTTGTTTGAAATATTACCAACTTTCCAACAAAGAAAAGAGAAGTCCTCTTCTCTTTCTAATAAAAATGCTGACCCTCCTCTTTCCAGCATCAGCATGAAGGAAAGAAGGTAAACATGATGTGGTGGCTTCTTATCAAGCATACCAGCAGCAAAGGCTAGCAGTCTTAACTCATTTTGAGCTTACAAAATTTTTTATTTTAACAGGGCTCATTTTTGTGAGCGTTATCCTTATAAAATACAATAAAAGCAAATCCACAGATGCGCTGAGAAAACAAGAGTTTTAATTATATTGCAGTCTCTCTCTTGTTTCCTTGGAATTCTGTGTAGCATTCCAAGAACATTCAGAAGTAACAGTCTGTTAACTCAGAAAATCCCAAATTAATTATTATTTCCCTTTTTTTTTATTATTGTTACTTCATTCTATCTTCTCATGGTGGTAGCTTCCTAAATACAGACATGAATTGTTGTACTCTGAAATGTAAACTGCTAGCCTGTGGTCTGGACAGCAGTATGTGGTTCTCACTACATAGATCCCATACCCCCATGCTTTCCTCCAACTGTATGGAATGTGTATATCCTTTAACCCCTATCCCTTATTCAGTCAAGTCAGGGTCAAAATATTTACATGTGATGTACACCAGTATTGTAACCCTCAAAATGTTTAAAACATATGAAATATGCTGCAGACAGAGAAACAACAGTTGTCTGTTATAGGTTGCCATTGATGTAATTGTTCTCTTTGAGATATACCAACTTGTACATTACACAGATTGTGAAGTATTATGACTGCAATTTTACATGAAGGACTGAGTACATTTGAAATATACAGAAGATAAAAAAAATACTGTAGAAAATTCTTTGTCGTTAACATGATGAATATTTATGTTATGAGTATTTCCTTCTCAAAATTTGTTGGCTTCAAGATAATAATGATACAAAACTGAAATGGATTTTAAATATAACCATGCAGGTGTTTTGAGATACATAGAACATTTTTCCAGACTTATATAATGCCATCTGTAATTATGAGAACATTTTTGTAGTAAGAGATCAATAATTGGTGTAGGAGAAAATTATGAATATGCTACTGCAGGTCCATGTACATCTGCTAACATTACCTCGTATGAGTCACGCCTCTGTCTTCCTCAAATATATGATTAATCCCTACAAGGGTAACCTTTAAACATTGTAATATCCCGGTGAGATAGAATATATAAAGGTGAACATAAACAAACAGGCAGACTATTTTAAAATTTGTCAGTTTTATAGAATGTACGTTTCTTGGTAGGGTGACATTGAATTATTTTTCTCAGGAAATTATTTCCTTAAAGTAAGATATCTGGCACCTTCACAGTTTTAATCATATATCCTATATTAAATCTGAATTTGATGTTCCTGTATACTTCCTTCCAAGCAGTTCAAAATTCTTCAATGGTGTATACAAATTTAAGTATCTGCAACTTGACATTTGAGTGTGAACAGTAACATATTTTAATGGCTGCAATCCCTTAACTATATACAGTATGTCCGTATGTCACATATAAAAAATTTTGATTTCTAATATTCATACGTTCCATCACACCCTTAACCTTTGTAATATGTTTTACACATACCTAATCCCTTCACAACCACCTCTTTGGATGCTTTGCTTCCCCCTCCCCTTGTCTGATTTGTGTCCTTGATGTGGTGTTGTTCTTTGGTGTGTATTTTTTTTATATTTCCACAGAAACACCTTTTCAGTGGATCCCGACACACACATTGATTCAATCGAACAGGCCGAAGAAATCGTATTAGAAGGAACATCGAAATGGTCTTGCAAGATCGCAATCACAGGTATCATGGCCTACAGAGACAGGAATCATGCTGCAACCACTTTTCTAATCAATGAAGAAAGCAAATTTTTGAGACAGAAAAAGTCACGAAACCTGCACTTCTTATTTATTATTTTAAATGAAAAGAAATCAATAAGGACTTGCGATTTCATTCTTCTTCAATAACAACGTCATTACCTACTTTATGCAACTTAGTATTTTGCATTGGACAAAACCCTCTTCGTACAACACACTTGGATCTGTTTATTCTTTAATTCTTCTATCAGCCTACGTCTTCTTCTCTGCCCTTTGTATATACAGCCGTTCTTCTTTGTTTATTTGTTCACTTGTGAACTTGTAGATTAATTGAGAAATGCTTTAGGTTTATTCCATCACCCTTAAAAGGTGACAGAATGCTGTACGTAATAGACTATCTTCTAGTCTGCTTCTTCATTTCAAATAATTAAACCCCTACCTTGTATGTGCCATGACAGAAGAAAAAATCAACATTTGCAATGTTGGAGTACATACAGAATTTCCTACACTTCACTTTCCATTTACAATGGGAGATGCAATATTGTGGCGCAAAGAAACAGTGAATTCCCAGAATATATTCATTTGAAAATCTGAGAAAGTTAATAAATCCATCTGTAAACCCATTAGGAAGAGAACCTTTTTAATTTTGGTAAATGTTGCAGATGAGAGGCATATATTTCATCCAAGAGAGCAGTTTTATGAATGAAGTCATAAATATAAGTAACAATGTTTTTATTTATACACTCTAGTTGATATTCATGTAACTTCTAAAAGATCGTATCAGGGAGCTTATATGCTTTTGCCCAGGTAACAAGCAGGAGTCGTATAAAATCATGAGAATGAACATGTTCACAGCTTAGGAAAAGGTGAAGTCAGATGTAGAAAATATAAAGAGGCTTCAACTAGGTAGTGGTCAAGCTTACAACCGTTCAAGTGACTAAGCTGTAAGGTAGACATGATCTGCTTTGCAAAGGCTGGACTCACAGAGGACTTGTTTATATTACAAAAGGAAACATTTTAATAACATGCTCTATATGCAATATGTACACTTGACAAATGCCAAGGCTATTCATAAGGGACAAACCCACCCTCTCATCAGAGAGAATGTTACTTAAGGACTGTGACCTCAAGAGTTCAGTTGAAAATAAATTTCTGGTCATGATCCTCAAGGGTCTTGGCGCCAAACTAACTGATTGGCGGTAGACCGACAGTTGTAAAGTAACTCTGAATTAGATTCTGAAACTACCATGCAACAAACATAATGCCTACACAGAAAGACCACTTTTTCCCTCTCTCGTCAAAGAGGAGGCCCCATTTCGAAATATGTATTATCTAGGAGAGAACAAAAATTTTGGTCAAAGATCTTGAGGAGACTGAAGCCAGGAATGACTTTGCTGGCAAAGGCCAGTAGCAATTTAACCAACCGACGGGTTGAGACAGATCTAAGTGGGGCCAAGTCAGAAGAAGACAGAATATTGGCCATCACAAAAATTGTATTCAAAGTCATGAAGCAAAATTGGCATATTCTGCTGATGGTGACTGCGACAAAATGACAGAGCCATCCTTTCATCAGAGAAGGCGTCCCACATCAACGAAACTGCCACTGTCTGACAACAAAAATCTGGTCTTGGGCCTCAGAATGGGCTTAATGCAAAGATTGACTGGCCAACTAACCATCAGTCATAATGAAACTGTGACTTTAACATGTGGGAGTGACCAGTGAGATGGTAGCCAGCCAGCAACGTGGTAAGCATGAAAGCAGAAGAATATCCATTGTTGGGGACTTTAACCAAGCAGCGACCAGTGAAGACTATAAGAGACAGAACCTGCATATGTTACACTGGTTTGTAGAGTGTGTAGATTGGTGAAACTGCTACAGTTAGCTGTATTTTTGATTGACAAGCCTTCAACGAATACATGTGACAGTATGAGTTTTATTTAGTGCATAAATATGAGAATATAATATTCTGCTACTAGACTTCTAATGCCTTAACAATTAGCCATGACTGCTTATTTCTTTACATCTGTCATCACACAGTTTTATTATGCCAGTATTGAGAAAAAGTGGCTGACAATTTGTCAACAAAGCATGGTGTGAATGAACTCCGTGACCATATATTTGATCTTCAGGTAATAAAATGTGGTGTTTCAATTCACCAGTATGAGTGTATCAAAATCAGCCATAAAATTCAATATATCATTGATCCATTTAAAAAAAAATCACTAATTATTATTATAAGAAAAGGGAAAAAATTAGTGAAATGCCAAAGGTAACCGTTTTTAAATGTACTCCAACACTGCAATGCTCGGTTATGTAATATGCGTAGTTGTTATCAGTAGGCATTGTAACCAAGAGATTTAGAAGTAGCTAAATTTAATTTATATTCCCTCTTGTACATATCTCCCTCTGTACAGCATATGCTCCATTCTAGACATGGTCCATGCATTTTCATGTATATCATTCCCACAAAATAGAACTGTACATAAGGGCATAGAATAGATGTTAATGTACATATATAGGTAGCAAGAGCAGTAGTCTTTTGTAGTAGTAGCACTTTTGTCATTTTTAGTAGAATCATTTGGATTTTTTCAGTACTAATCACAGATCATAATTTTATATGCTAACAAAATTTTATGTACATATTACATATTCCTATAACAAAGTTCAGTTAACAAGGAGCGTAAAAATATTTTGTGGTATGCAGAATATTATGTGTATATACTGTAAAATTAAAAGGCCAACATAGCGTTACAAACACACATCAGAATTAGTTGCGTTAAAATATGCCTATAGTATTTGTATTCTGCACATTATGCCTCCTACAAGTATCTTCCATTTAAATGCAAATACAAGAAGCACACAAGAGCTTTTCAAGACCATTTCATAGCTTGGATCCACTGCATACACTTGCACAATAATCTGGCATATACAATACACTACCACTAAATAAACTACAAAGGAAACCCAATTTAGAAATATCTTCAGTGTGATACAGTTTGCTCTAGATATAGTGGTCTAAATGTATATTTATGAAAAACTCCATTTGCATCTTGACCAGGAGACTGGTTACCATGACTGAGGTTTGTTTTCCTCAGTCCCTCCATGAAAAAATATGATCTATTATCTCAATTACATTGTTAACACTTCCTTCCAATTCTTTTCCAATTCATCAGTAATCCTTCTATGATATGCTTTGTGGTCTGGATACTAAAAGTGTCTCAATAACCCACAAAGAGAAACTGATATTCAAACCAGTTGCTTATTCTGCCAAACAAATCTGTTTATGCTGCAGGCATATGAAACTATATGTTAATAAGACTGGCATGTGAAAGACTGGCATAAATGTTAAATCTGATTTTATCATGGTTAAACAGACTTTTAATAACAGAAATGTCTAGCATTCCTAATTAATCATTTATTTAGAAGTGTTAAAAAAGTGTGATGTAATTAGTGTGCTTATTTGTGTATATATATAGAATATGTGGTATGGCTAGTAATTATTGATTTGAATAAATATATTCCTTTCACTGTAAGAGTTTCTAAATGGGTTTCTTAAAATTTCTGTAGGTAATTTAATGTGGCTGAACTGCTTAATTTAATTACCAGAGGAGGACACTATTTCACATCACATGCTTGGGCAGTGTCACTCTGTCTCATTTTCACAGTTTCTCTGAGTACATAAGACACGCTCCATGTAATTATGTTGCACATTAGAGGTGACACTTTTATGTTGAGATGTAAATATGATAAGCACAAATATTCCAACATATATACAGTATTGGGCTGTTAATATGTATAATACTGAAGGGGCAACAATAGCTGTCCAGTTTTGTGATCTTCCAGAAATGATAGTAGCTATATTTCTGTTATACGCTGCGTTGTGCAAGTAAATTTAAAAAATGCAACCGTCTTCTCAAGTTGGAATTCTGCCTTTGGTGTTTCTGTAATTCAATATAATTTACATAGTTTCTTTAAATTACAAACCGCTGTTCTTTTCTGTTGATGATTCAGTTGGATGTATTTTACAGTACAATTTTTTTAAAATTAAATCTGTTTCATTATTGACATAATCGCTAATTTAGAAGTCCAGAAAATCATGTACCCTTTCCTTGGACTTTTGGAATGGTTGGAACTTTATCTGCTCCTGCAAATTTACAGTTGAAGGTGTATAAAAAGTCTTTATACAGGAGTACCACTCAGAATTCTTTTATACTTTTTGCAAAAGTATATGGCTTTGAATTAATATTGGCTTGAAATGGAAATGGTATTTTATCCACAACATTATAGTTATGATTTTCATGAATGGAATCTCCTTTCATTCAAGAATATAAAACATCATTTCTGGAGATCAGAAAATCTGGAAGCCATTATCTCCTCTTAACTGCCTTAATTTATATTCTGTTGAGATACAATCACAAATTCACCAGTAAATAATTTAAAAAGATATCTTAATATATTGCCCTTTTTGAACACCAATGTTACAGTATTGGCAATCTTTATGACCGTGTTTTAAAAATGTCTATACAGTAAAAAATGTGCTTCATGTAATATTTTATGAAACATGAAGAAGGAAACTTACACGATAAATTTAATGCTGAAGCTTCTAAACATCCTAATATGAAGACGATGGAACTTGAAACAATGTTGACTGTCGAGAGAAAAAAATAACTTCAATGGATAAAGTGTTTTATGGAAGATCAAATTAGACTTTTCACCTACCCAAGGTGAAAGCAGTATCTTCTGCCTGAAATTAATTTAGTGGCTTAACTGTTTTTAATTATGAAAGCCATGTCTGTAGATACGAACTTGTAACTTCGTTCATCATCAAGGCCATTATTCTAGATTAGTTCTGAATCTAAGAGAATGAACATAAACTCTTTAAGCACAGAGCCTGAAGGATATTAATCTTATATACACCTAGCAAGAGAAAAACACCACTTCACGAAAACTGGTATTTTGTTGTGCCGAGTGAATCATCAGTATTGTGTTCCTGCTATGGCAGTAGTTTGTTTGTGTGTCTTTGAGTTTGCAGTATTTCAGTTGTCTTTTGCACGATCCTAGAGACTTCAAAGAAATCGTCACTAATGCCTAAACTGTCGTATTCCTTGGGGAATGTCTCAGTGCATCATGCAACTCTACTTGATTAATTTTTTCCTGTCATTGTTTATACTATTGCATCAACATTAAGGACACGACATTTTAGTCCATAAGTGACGATGTATTTAAGCTTTCTTCCTCACGGAAATATGTAATATTCTCGTTTATAATTGACATGGAAATAAAATGTGCACTAGTGTACTGCAAAGAAGAAAACTAATTCATTCACCACTGGCTGTAAAGGTTCCAGTGATTTGTGAGTAAAGTGTCTGTGTTCATAATTTACAGCCATATAGCATAACCGATATAGCAACTGGCCACAGGCTGGACAACCGAGGGGCCAGAGTTCGAGTCCACGTAGGTTAAAGAATTATCTCTTCTCCACATCAACTAGACAGGCTCTGGGGCCCACCGAGCCTGCTATGCAATGGCTACCAGGAGCTCTTTCACCGGAGATAAAGCGGCCGGGGTGTGAATCTGACCACTCACCTCCAACTAGTGCCGAGAACAAGAAAATGTGGATCTATACATCCACTTCTCCATATGCTCTCATGGCATAATGCTTAATTAGTTAAGCACAGAGACAGCTTTACCTTTTTTACCTTTACACTCTAGTGTAACTAAACAACAAAAGCTAGAATTTATTATGGCAGGCTCTTTCTTCAACTTTGTGGTACACTAATGCAGCTTCACACCATGACCTACAGTCACCGTGAGAAAGAAAGAGCTTGCAGGTTCTGAACTGAGGGACTGGCCAGTTCATCAGATTTGAAACTTAGTAATTGTTTCTTCATCAGTTTAACTTTAAATGATATTTCACAATAATTTACCAAGGAAGAGGCCTATGAATGAAACTTTGCCACTAACTGGTATGCAAATGGTCTATGTTACTATAAGTTAGAAAGTACAAAAATGAAGAAGTAATTGCCAGCATTATTTTAGTAATAATTTGTGTCTCATAAACAAAATGCCAAAGGATGCCTTGCATTTAAACGAAGAAGCTCCTAATGGTTCATTTTACTTTTAATTAAGTATATAAATTGTATTTTTCATACGTATTTCAAAACGTTTAGTTTTTTATATCGAGAGATTTACTTCTTGTATGATATTGTTTTCTGAACATACAGACTTTAAGTCTTTCTTCAGTAAGCTGTCTTATAGCATGGTTACTGATAACATGACACTGCCTTGGAGCATTAATTACAATTTTCCAGTATGTCTCAAAATAATCATACTTATCCATCATTCTTTAAATTCTTGCTGCAATTTAATTTAATTTAATTTAATTTAAAATAAACAAATAGCCATATCACCTTAGCTCTACATTTAACAGATTTCTGCTCTTAATTTTATATGAATTATGCAGCCAAATTAAACCTTAAATTAACTTGCTTTGACATAAATGCAATTGAATTGGTCAGTCTTTCAAGTAGCATAGCACTTTTGATATGTTCCTTTTTAAGTGTGTCTTCAAATATTAATGTCACCTGTCTTGTTTTGCTTGATGTTCCTCTTACAACTACTGTGTTGATTGTAATGCTTCTTATGTTAAGTAGAAGTAGCTGACAGCATTTTAGTTCACCTAAGACTGTGGGTAGATGCCATAGTCACTTCTGTTTTCAAGTTTTTAAGGTTTCGGCTTTTGTTACAGTTATCTGCGCTCAGGGTCTAATTGCAAAAGATAAGAGTGGGACTTCCGATCCTTACGTAACGGTTCAGGTTGGTAAAGTGAAGAAGAGGACGCGTACCATGCCAGCAGAACTCAACCCTGTCTGGAACGAGAAGTTTTACTTGTGAGTAAATCATAAAATTTTGGATGTGAGTTTTATGCTACATTTTCATGTAGTAAATGTAACTTATCACAACTTTATTACATTGAACACAGAGTAAGTTGACTCGTCCAATATTACGTCTGACCTATATTTTGGATGTAGACATTTTGAATCTCATCTAGCTCACTCATTATCCTGGCTGAGGTTCTTCATGATCTACCCCACTTCCATCAGGCATATGCCAGTTTAATTCATTAAATTAGGCCACAACCATTTCCTTTCACTTGCTTTTCATTTAATTATTTGCTAATATCTGATCATTTGATGCTGTACTTCAGGTAGGAGTTACAGAATTATTGTTATTCGTTCATCAGTAATCTGTCAAGACGACAGGTCCACAGTCTCTTCCAAAACAGTTCCTCCACTTAATGCGATCTAGAGTTTTCTCCTTCAAATGAGAATAACCTCTTCTGTCCCCAAGGTCATCCAGCATCTTCTTACGTCTTCTTCCTCGTCTTCTGGTCACTTCTATCCACCCCTCTATCTTTCTCTTATTTCGTGTAGGATATTCCTCTGCTCACTGACACTAAATAACACTTCTTCATTTCTCCCGTAATCGGTCCAACTGATCTTCTCCATCCTTCTCCAGCACCACATTTGGTATCTCTGATTTTGGAAAGAGACTATCCAGGAAAAGTGATAATGTGGTAGTTTTCCCATTTGCTTTCCACATCGCAGTACAACAGCCATTCAACCCGCTCTGGTCACGCCTGTTGCTATACGAAGCATTGTGCTTGAAGCAGACTTGTTATATAAGTTAATAAATAAGTATGACATTGAGCAGGCATATCTAAAAATCACTGTACAGCTTCTTTTTTGTGTCTAGGTGCATATGTAAATATAGTAACATCTTTTTAATGAATTTTTCTTTATCCAAGATAAGATGCTGAATTTTGTTGTTGGATACCAAACCTTTAAATTTACCTGTATATATATATAAAACTGAATTTTAATAGTAGAATTAAAGCTCTGACATTTACACAGTTTTATGTTACTGTAGCAGTGATCTGTGGAGAGTTAACACATGAGTGAACTAAGTTATGTAATATATAATGAACAAGTGGTTGATCATGTGTTTCATTATCTTGTATTTATTTTGTGAGTAGTAACAATAATTTGATGTGACTGCAAGAAACGCAGTTACTATTTGCCGTGAATTGTGACCTAGTTTATGATGGTTCATAATATCTGGAAAATATCCTCTTCAAGATATGCTTGATGTCCGTGTAGACCAGTGCAGTACAGTCTTGTCAAGACCTCTCATCTGAGTATGGTGACAGTGTATCCATACAACTACTTGAATTCACATCTCTGTGAATGACAAAGGCATATTTGAATATACGTGATCTGACTATGCCTCCAGTTAATTTCAAATCCTGTATTCAGCAGAAAAAGAATATAATCTTAGGACATTAGCCACCATGATAGCAGTCCCTACTAGGAAATGGGCAGGAATATATTAGACATGGCTTCACATTCCACTGGGAAGTGAATCTTCATTGAAGACCTATACAGAATGATGTCTAACAAACCAAATATATGAACCATGGTAGTTCAGTCAGTGAATTCATTAACTGTGACACTGATGGCTGGGGCAGAGAGAAAGAATATTCTTCTCTTTCCCCTGAGGTAAATAACTGGAGTGTGAATGCATGAACCTATACCTCCCCTCCCACCTTTCTCTTCATGGTACAATGCTTAATTAAGCAAAAGGAGAACTTCACTTTTACCAAATCAAAACGTTACCCATATTTTTTCTCATTTGCTGAGGTCTAATGTCATTTTTATATTCTGTGGGAATTACTTTTTCCATCTTTAAGGTGATAAAGAAAATTTTAGATGAGGATTAATGCAGAAGCAGAATTTCAATTATTTCGTCCAGTTACTGTTGAAATTTAAGTGCCAGTTTCAGATCTGCATATTGCAGATTATATGTCACGAAAGAAAATACTACAAACCTTGAGAATTTATTAAAGCAAGATGTGCTTCAAAATTACAAAACTTCATTAAGACTGTGGATGAAGTTTATGAGAGTAATGAATCTGAGAACTAATGTTATCGTGAGAATAAGAAAGTAAATTGTAGTTTGTTGATTGAAGGAAAGTAAAGAAAAGTGTCTAGTGGGGGCAGTTAATGCAAGGTGTATAGCATGATGAAGTGTGTGTATGATTGCCACAAGGGAGAAATCTACAATTTTTTTTGTCAGAAAGCCCATTTTGGCTTTAAGTTTATTTGTAAATGGTTATATGGTCAATAAGTATATGTATATTTTTATTGACAAATAAGTTTATGGAATTTTTTTTTCACTGTCTCTATCTTCACTTGGAGCACAGAACCTGTTGCTTCTTCAAGGCAACTTACATTATGTTGCAGATAGAGAGGTACAGGAGTTATCGACACACCAACAAAGTAAATTAAATTTTATTAAAATCTGTTAAAATATTGATAAAACATAAACTATTTAATAAGTTTTATTGTCTCATTCAACCACTACATGTTTCAGTTTATGGACAATTACAAGGTGCTGCAGATATCTCACTGGGTATTCTTTTTACTTGCAATTATTTTACAAATTCTAGAAATTAAATCTTGTAAGTAATGAAAATAAGTTTTCCAGGATTCACAGCATTAACCTTTAAACACCGGACTTCAAAATAGTGGTAAACTTGAGCTGGCCGGAGTTTATTTAAATGCCCGCTGCTGGTGCTCATTTAAATGCCCGTTGCTCCCTTGCGTTTAAATGTCCGTTCCTGTTAGGCAGTTAATCAATTTTAAGCGTTGTGTTTAAAAATGCTGTATCTAGCACAATTTTAATGGATGGAATTAACTTTGTTTATATCAGCAAAGAACATAGTGTCGCATATTATAACGGAAGATTTGAAATTTTTAATACAAAGTGTTATACTCTATTTTCAATTTTTTGTGTTTTAATTTTGATACGTACTGCAAAAATTGTTTCCCAGTTCTTCACAGAGTTGTTCTGCATTATAAATTCATTTCTGTTTGTAACACTTGACAAATTTTAGCAGTCCCTGGTGTCATAAAACAGATGGAAGCAATAAAATCATTTGGTCTTCTGCTAGCACTGCTTACACCCTTCGGATTTTCGAATCTTTGACTGAAGGTCAGAAGAATGAAAGAATGGCTATTCAAGAGAAAGCTAGAGGGGTCCCTTCTTCAGTGCTAAAACCTTCCGTTAGAACTGCAAAAGCTTATTGCCCCTTCTATTTGAGTGAACAGACAGCTGCATCGTGGCTGAGATACAGAGCGCGATCTGTTTTGTGTGCGTTCGTAGTGAAATTGAATACGGTAGTTTTATTTGAAACTGTATATACATCAAGCAGGTAACAACAAAAAAGGTATGTACATCAAATTTTACAATATATTTTTAACATACCTATCTGCGGAATCTGCATTAAAATTACTGGATCGTGGATAAGTTTTGGCATAACTCATACGTATATTTTTATTTGCTGTTGTTCAGTTAGGTATTATTTTAATTCCTCTATTAGGGTTTTACTCAAGTCTGTCTGGTAATTACTACATTTGAAAATAAATATTTAGGAATGTGCATGCGCTTCTACTAGCGGCGTGTGCGTGCGCTTTCACTAGCAGAGTTTAAATGCCTGACTAGACAAAACGGGGTACTTTGGCCACGACGACCTTACTCATGACTGGCACAAACTGGGCACTTCGGCACTTAAAGGTTAAATAACTTCATGCCACAATTGGAAGGAGACTTTTACTGTCTTGAAAGTGGTCTGCAATAACTCCAGTTTCATTTCAGGAAGCCATGCACCTTGTATTATAGATCTATGACCCTCAGGCTCATACTTCTTTTGGAACAGGATTCAAGTCTTGACATCGAGACTGTCTATCCTGATTGAAACTTTTTTTCGGTTGCCTTAATCCCTCCATATATACATCCTGAGACACTACCACAAATTTTGTCATGAACATTTCCTTACGTATCCTTTCCAAATGATTATTCGCCAGTCATTCTGTCATCTGATAAATAGCCCTAATGTGAGCAACTGAAAACATAACTAAATAAATAATAAATAAATAAACAGACAAAATATGTGTATATGCTTAAAAGGGCCCTACATGGTTATGGTTCTGAAATGATTTTAAATTCTGGGTTACTACTTAAATTAATTTAATTTAATTATTTTTTGTTTCCATTTCCAGTGAGTGTCATAACTCCTCAGACCGAATCAAGGTGAGAGTATGGGATGAAGACAATGACCTCAAGTCCAAACTCAGGCAGAAGTTGACTCGTGAATCGGACGACTTCCTTGGACAAACAATAATTGAGGTGAGTTCTGTGGTATTACAGAAAACAGGATTAAATCACTAAACATCTCTTTTCAGGAAAATAAGAAGCAACTTTGCATGTGTATGCAATACTTTAGCTCAGTATTTCATTATGTCACTAAATGGAAAAGTAGTGCTTAAGAGATGTAACATTGTTTTTATTCGGTTCTTTGGTTAAAGAGAATTTTGACTGATTTTTTCCTTAGTTTTTGTTTTACATAGCATCAGAACAGTGGTGTGCAGTACTATATTTGGTAAGGGAAGCAGTGGTATATAATAAACGAACTGATAACAATCAACTCACCCAAATTTATTTGAAGACCAAATCTGTTCTTCGTTTTGTATTCTCTTCGATAAACCTGTAAATACTGTATTGTTCTCAAGATGAACATTAAGTTTATGATCATATTTCCTCAACAAGAGAACTAATTCCACATAATTACCTCGGTCAATAGAATCCATGCTTTTGTCATGACCATGGAGGGAAAGTAGCCTCTTTCCTAAATGGCAGATGATATCAATCAAGCATTTCATTATTTCTCTATGTTCTTTCACATTTTCATTATGCTGTAGTATTGTCAGGCGCTTTTGATTGTCTAGTTGACAGTCAGTTTGAGATTTCCTGAACATAACAAGTTGCACTGTTGAAATAATGTGAGTCTGAGAGTTCTCGTGTCATTTGAATGCTTTATGAAGGTTGTTGATATCACCAAAACCAGTCTTGTTCCATACAGTTTTTTCATTGAGAAACAATAGGCATGGCCAACAAAACAATTTTCCTATTGTAACCGTTTTTCTTTGGTTCTGCTAGCCCCGGTAGAGCAATTCGACTCCTCTCAGGGCGTGTTGACTGGCCACGACTTGGGTGATTAGTGGGGCTTTAGGCGTAGGGAAATCACCACAACACCAATTAAGTGTATGGAGTCTTTATTAAATTTGCACTAATTAAATAGAACAGCACCGTAGGGGTACACTTCACAGATTCGTGGATGTAGGCTTACTTACTGTTCTGGGGACGCACACTTAATAGTTACCACAGGGCGTGTTTACGGGGATCCGAACACATGTACCCCCGGTGAACGTAACTTTCAAAGTCTCTTTGCCAAGCACCCTCTGAATGGTAAATACTTGCCCTGGTTACCCCAAAATTCGGGCAAAGGACCTCCCACTTCAGACGATGATTGGCTGGACCGGGCAGACTGGGAGGTTGCTTATCATTCTCCTCCAATTAGGAAAGCGAATATCCACTAGTGTACAGTTTAGGGGTGAACTTTGCCACCTGCTGCATGGCTGTCAAACTGAGATTTTGGGGTAGCAGGAAACGACGCTGCTAAATTTATGACTTCCCCTGTCAAGTTTAGAATTTCTAAAGGACTCGGCCTTGTTTTACTCATTAAATTGACTGGTTTACGAAAGGGCAGCTGGCTTCAAGCTTGACCCAAGCCACTTGCTGCATGTCTCAAGGGGGAAAATTCCAAATTGTGAGGCGAAAGTGAGGAATTTCACAAAACCCTAACCATACACAAAACATCAATTGACCTTCCCATAAACTGGACAGTTACACTATATTACGACAACAGGATAGCCACTCTGTTTTAGAATACTATTCCAAATTAAATTTCCTCACACATAATTTGGTTTCTGCTTTAAGTTCTGGCAACCTGCATGTTGGTCGTCCTCTTTCTATAATTATTTTCTTTTCAGAAAAGTCCCTGTTATTAAACCCCCATTTTAAAAGGCTTCTGATTGCACAGTCACAGTTACTTTGTCTGCCAGCATTAATTTTAGCTGTGGCCTGTGCATGTAGTCTAATCACTCCCCTGCCACTTGTACCACAATATCAAACTTGCTTCCCTTAATCGTGGATAGCTTCTTTCTGATGCATCAAAATATGATCACAAATACAATCTTACGCCATCTAAATATGCACTTAACAATATTTTAAAAAACTTGAATGAATGTATAAGGGTTGAGCCTTCTTGGCCCTTGCACTGTGACCGCAGTGATCTCTTGTGCCTTTAATAAACCTGAATGTTATCTACAACACCCAACAAAACTGAAATCATACATAAACAGTTAGTTTTCACATAACCATCAAAATAACACAATCTTTCACTTCCATATCACGCGCCTAGAGCCAGTAAACCAAAAAACATGCTTCCTTTTACAACTTTGGGTGAGATGAATTCATATGAAGACTAATGAAAGGAAACTTGTTCCATCCCACCGAGCAGATGAAGGGGGGAGGAGTAGGCATGTGGCCTTGAACAGGAACACACGCTAAAATGTTAAGGTGACAATATTCACATCCTTATTATTCAAATTGAATTATTTATATATGACTTCTTTTTTTTTTCATTTCTTAAATACAGAAGCAATGCTTCCCTTGCTTCCATGCATGGCACACCACTGCATCAGAGTGTTAAATGGACTGCTTCAGTTTCATAATGGCATATAGGGCATTGGAAAATTGAGGCCAGATGGTAGTATGGCTTCATTCATATTTTGGAGGTATCTGGTATGAATGTTACTAGCTGTTATGACTGGGATATTTGGTGATTTTACTGTCATTCTAGACTGATAATGAGATAGTAACTAGAAACAGGTCACAACTGCTTCTCCGACAAAACTTACCACTTCTATCTCATTACATGCTTAATAATATTGTCATTAAATCACCTGCAAAGCAACCAACACAGCGTGTTTGTTCACAGAACATGGATACCTGTATGTGTCAAGCTTCGCCTGTGTTACAAATCTGATCACACAGTTTTATGTCCACAGGTCCGAACGTTGTCAGGTGAAATGGATGTGTGGTATAATTTGGAAAAGCGAACTGACAAGTCCGCTGTGTCGGGAGCTATCCGCCTTCACATTAGTGTTGAGATCAAGGGTGAGGAAAAGGTAAGATTCCCATGCACAGTTTTGCCTTCGTGTTTAGACTAAGCATGTAGCTGCTTCTCTCCAAGCTTAAACAGAGGAATATACTGTTTATTTAATACACTAAGTTTTGAATTAGCTCAATTAAAACAATAATGGAATTTCAAGAACACTCACTTACTAGATTAGATATTAGATATAACATAATACAAAATAATACTCTATGACTGGTGAAATTGTGAACTTTCTTTGCTGAACAAAAATCAGTTTCTGGTAAAACAAGAAAGTGAGTGCCTTAAAAATGAAGAATACACACACATTTTAGATACTGTAACTTTCAGAGTCTGATAAACAGATCTTTAATGCTACTTATATTGTAATGACGTAATCAGACCCAAAATAATCGAGACAAACAAGTTTGAGCTAGAAAGCACTGAGAATATTAACATTTATTATATTGTAGCATGTAGACCCGCTGCTAAGTAACGATCTGTAAACAACGCCCATTGCTGTGCAACAGATTCCTAACATGCACCAAGAGACTAACTGGGAAGTGGTGTTCTTTTTGTGGCCCATGCAACAGCTGTATGATGCAACAATAGAAGAATTGTTCGAAGGAGTGTTTTCTCTGCAGTCTTTTCTGAGTTATTATAAGCAGGACAAATCTAGAGTTTAGTTAGGTGTGAGAAAAATCGCCGGCCAGTAAAGGCGTGAACATGTTAGCTGAGGAAGCTACAACATTGATGCAACAATAGAAGAATTGTTCGAAGGAGTGTTTTCTCTGCGGTCTTTTCTGAGTTGTTATAAGCAGGACAAATCTAGAGTTTAGTTAGGTGTGAGAAAAATCGCCGGCCAGTAAAGGCGTGAACATGTTAGCTGAGGAAGCTACAACATTGGAAGCCATTACCGGGCAACAGTCGGTGAAGATACAGCAGACTGGGAAAGCTTAGTGCTTGCTGTAGTGAACCGTAGAGTGTGTGAATTAGTGATAGCACTATAGTTAATTCTAGTTATGTTCTGGATGAGTTCAATAAATCCATTTACCAATCCAAACCGCACCTATAGTCACTCATTCACATGATAATATTATGATCTGAGTAGAATTAACATAATGCAACAAGGGACCAAGGGATAAATACTAATAATTCAAGTTATCACTGGCAGTTATTAGTAGTATGTGTTCCTTTATTCTCTTTTATTGAGAGAAAATAATTGCAATTAATCACATTTGCTATGAGTGAATGTCACTGCTACATACCATATGAACTTTGAGTGTCTCCATTGTTTCTACATAGTTACTGCACTTCTCACTTGAACATTTGTTGTGAATAAAGTGGTATTTTTGCATGTTGTGCAATGCTACTTTCAAAGAAAAATGTCATTTACTGATGTTACTTGGAACACCTCATCCTGGAAACAATTTTTTTGGGACCCACATAAATGTGCAAGAATTCATTCCTTTATCTGTTTCCAAAAACCGTTTCAATTTTATGGTCAGCCCTAGCAGATATCATCATATCCTGTTGGGATATATTTCCTCATCATAAACTTAGATTTTTCTATCTTTATGAAAGGACAGATGGTCGTTTCTACAGAGATACGATGTCCTGTACAACTTATTACTAGTCAGTGATGATTTAAGCAGAAATTTGGCCTAATTATACCAGCTGGTCACATTAAAGTAACTGTTAAGTGTGTGCAGTAATTGAATACATTTAAATGTAGATTATTACAAGATTTAAATTCACCCGTCAGGTGGGATTTCAAGAGGAAGAGGCAGAGGATTGAGCTTAAATACAAACAAATGTCCTTTCATTATATGCATATACAAAAATGAAACAGTTTTCTGAATGGATTAAGTTTCATACTTAGACCAGTAACAACATTTTATTTTTGAAATGCTGTGGAATACATGGAATTCCTAATATATGGTGTGGATTGTTGAATAATCTACAGTTTAAAAGCGGTATTTTCTTGCATTTTGTTGTAAAAATGCAACAGCAGTATCTTTTGCATATTTTTAAGGACTCCGTGATGTATTTTATTCAAAAGTTTATTCTTGAACTATTCTTCACATTAATTTGACATGTCTGTGTCTGACAGGTTGCACCATATCATGTACAGTATACATGTCTGCATGAAAATCTATTCCATTCTCTGTGTGAGGAAAAAGGTGGAATTGTAAACTTGCCACAGGCCAAAGGTGATGATGCCTGGAAGGTTTATTTTGATGATGCAGCTGAGGAGATAGTTGATGAGTTTGCAATGAGATATGGCATTGAATCCATCTACCAGGCCATGACGTGAGTATCATTCAAAGCTAGCCGAGCAGTTAACAATTTCGGTCTGACCCATGTATTCCTGAATTTCAAGTCAGTTTTTAGTAGGACAGTTCCACTAAATGCAAATGCTGCAAATGTAATTTATGAAATGTTGTAGATGTTAAGAACATATTTCTTAACCATGTAGCATGACCAAATATATTTGTGTAACATAATCAGCAGCAGCAGCAGCAGCAACAGCAGCAGTAACACTAGATCTGGAAATGTGGTTTTCTTTTAAATGAAATGAACTCTGCTTCTTATGGTAAGTTGCACCTGAAGTGTGTATATAAATCATTTATAGTCCATTCAAGGTGAAGCTTATTTTTGTAACTCACAGCTTCCAAATTGAGCTTTTCCAGCATGTTATAAGAATATCATGCATACCCTGTATTTTTAAACATAATAAAAATATTTTCCTTAACTAATTCCAAAATTAATGGAGAAACAAATGTGGTAGGTAATCTTATACATGTATATACAGTCTTGAAACATGGACCAGCACATGATACATAATTGCAATCCATATGTTGGAGTACAAATCAGGCTACACCTCGGTTCATGTTTTATGGTGAGACATACAACCATAATTGTACAGATAGTGGAATTTTGCATTTTTCTCTGTGTTGTGTAGTGTAACAGAAAAATGTTTTTAACCTTGACCACAGGTAATTTCATTGTGGCCTACATTAATTTGGGCACAAATAGCTGTTATGGTCACTGCCATGGAAAGTTCAAATTGCACAAATTTAAATTTGTTTTAAAATCCCTTTCATTTAAAAAATGTTTCTTATTAGGGTGCTCATGTTCATGTTCATCATGTATTCCACATTGTGTAAACATTGAAATTCATGTAGAATATTTATGAGTGTATTCTGTATATTCACAATTCTATATAAAACGCCATCACAAAATAAATGAAAATAAATGATGCCATGAGTGTCAATTTCATTGTTCTGGTTGTGGGAAGAAGTAAGAGGGAGGGAGGGAGGGAGGGAGGGAGGGAGAGACAGACAGACAGAACACATAGTTACTATACTAGTTACAATCTGTGAAAGTTCAGGTAGCAGATTTTTAAATGACAATTTTGATAGTATTCTAGATCAACTCTTACTGTGCCTAAACAGTAACAGACAAGTTCAGTGAACTTCTGGAACTCTGTCAGATGTTCTGTCTAGTTTCATTCTTACTAAACATTCAAGATTTATAGAGCAAAGTAGCAGTGGAAATGACTTTCCTGAACTAAGTGGAGAGTCTGAATCAGTAGGAGAGCCCAGGAGAGTGACAGGTGTATGTTATAAATATGGGTTTGGAAAATCTATTGTAAATGTATTATCATTGGGAATAATAGTTATGATCTCTGGAAAACGCTTTGTTAAAGAAAATTTTTTGAACTTAAGTAGATTTTTTTTATTGCTAGTGAGGTGGGACTAAGTCCTTTGTACTGCAGCCACTTCTGGCCTATTGTACCAGCCACAGATGATAGGTGAGGGTGATTGTGGAGCAGTTGGTGGAATGAAGATTGGCAGGGGAAACCGAAGTACTTGGAGAAAACCTGTCCCAGCACCACTTTGTCCACCATAAGTCCCATTTGACCAGACCCGGGATCAAACCCGGGCCGCCACAGTAGGAAGAACTTAAGTAGATGATGTCCGTCCATTTCCGTGCCCTTTTCCAGCCCTGGAGGAGGGTGCTTCGTATAGAAGTTAACAAGTGAAGTGTATATTCATACCATATTAATTTGAGCATTGAATACACCACCTTATCAGCTTCAAGATATATTAGTTAAAAATGGTAATGTAAATGAACAAATTTCCTGGACCAACAGATGTTAAGTATAATTATCTTCCAGTATTCATATTACTTGCTCACAGAACGCACAGCAAGCTAACTCTTGTTTAGAATTTAGGTGTTTCATATGGGATTTATGATGAAAAATGCTTCTTTGCTACAGATTTTCTCTGTGTTCTTCATTTTGCTTTCATTTGTTAAATTTATGTTGTGGTTATTTATAATGAGTATCATCTCTCTTAATGTGTGAGTTAATATAGTAAAGTATTGATTATCAAAATATAAATTATCTGGGCAAATAAAAGTAATAAGTATAAACATAGTTCTGTCCTACACAAAGCTCTTATGAATTGTTACATGAATTATTGTTATTCATTGTATGAGTGTTAGGTTAGGGTAAGTTAGTATACATGTAAAATACACATTGTTAAAAATAAAATAATCTATGCATATATATTTACTTCATTTATTATTCTGTACCATTATGAATCCAGTTATATACATATATTCATAACCCAAAATAGATAAATTGCCAGTTGGGTATGGTAACTGGTTCTTAGTCTTCTGCCTAAGTTAAATATGTTAATATGTCAATAATGTTCCCTCACTAATCTAGTAAATTTCTCTATTGCAGTCAAGTGTTTCAGTAATAGAACTAGACTGAGCAATGAATCATTAATGCAGATGTATGTGTGACTGTATTTCATGCCTGTAAAGAAGAAAATCAGTGGAGAAAGTATGTTGTTTCCTTCGTTTTAATGAAAAAATTCTCTAATATGAATTCATTTATACTTTTGCAGGCACTTCCACTGTTTATCAACAAAGTACCTGTGTCCTTCTGTGCCCGCAGTCATGAGCACGCTTCTTGCCAACATTAATGCTTATTATGCGCACACCACAGCTTCATCAGCTGTATCTGCCAGTGATCGATTTGCAGCTTCAAACTTTGGGGTAAGAATTTATTAATATATATCTGTGACGTTCTTCTTCTACATTTATACATAGGTTTATAATTATCTGCATGTGAAAGTGCCTGTAATGAAAATAAATTTTGCCTACTGAAATGTTAATGTCACATATAAAATGCATTACTTAATTCACAGTCTTAATTAAACTCTGTCACTGTATACACTAGAAATTATTCCAGTCCACTCATTCACAGGTTACATCCTTGAAAACCCGGAATTTGTTAAACTCATTTTCCAAGATTTTCTTTCTTACTTGTCCCTTTTTCCCTTCAGTGTACCAGTTTTACTGGCACTTTCATCAGCAATTAATCATGTAATATGTCACCAACCATTTCCACTCTGATACAACTAGGTATAGTCCAGAATAACTCTAAACTAAACAAATACAGCTTGTAGTATCATACATCTTTTCTGGAAGATCCTCCAAATATTTCATACAGCTACAAAAAGGTTATGGACATCTGTTTGGACTAAGCATGTTGGTGTATCAGTAATATTTTCAGCTTTTATTTTGAGAGGTGCGTATCTTACACAGTAGCATTACTTTGCTTAAGTCATGGCCATTTCCTTGTAAATTCTTTCCAGTCAATTTTTCACCAGTCATCCCAAAATTAAAATTTATATAATCTAGATTATTGACTAAACCACCTCAACCCTCTGCCCCCCCAAAAAACAAAAAAACATTATGGCAAACAGTGATCAAGCCACTCTGCTATGGGGAGGATGTAAGACCACTCCACAGTGATACCACACATAACCAATAGGAAAATCAGATGTTTTTAATAAACCATGATATATAGGGCCCAGCATCACACAAAAAATGTATTTATGTGTTGTTTACAAGGAAGTCTTAGGAGACTATAATTTTACTGTTAAAACTTTCAAGAGAAATTCTTTAATAAAAATGTTATAATTTATAGCTGTATACCATATTTTAAGATCTACAACAAGTGTAAAGTTAATTTCCTTTCATTGTTATGCCCCCAAGGGGCTGAGTGATATAAGGCTATACAACAAATTTAATCTGTCTTATTAAATTTGTTACACTGAATGTCTTATTAGTCCAGTAATTCCCCCAGTATTGTATGGAAATTCAGTGTGATGTAGCAGATCTGCAGTGTCTCATTTTTAAGCACTTAGTATGGCAACATTTATTTTAAATACATTTTTTTTTTTACTTACAAGTCACGTTCTTATTCATGTCCTTATGCTTGATAGATCTCATCATTGTGAGGCAGATACTTGCATCGGTATATTGAAAATATATATATAGTGTGACTCACAGGTTGGAATTCCTGGCACTGAGCATGAGAAATACCACGAAGGACCATATTTGAACCTCCAACTATGATTACAATTTTTCCATTTTAAAAGAAAATCGCTGTTTGAATTTATTTACAGAAAGAAAAGTTTGTAAAGTTGTTGGATCAACTGCACAATTCTCTTCGTATTGACCTATCAATGTATCGCAACAACTTCCCTGCATCAAGTGAGGAGAAGCTCATGGACCTCAAATCCACAGTGGATCTGCTTACCAGCATTACTTTCTTTCGGATGAAAGTGCAAGAACTGTCAAGTCCTCCCCGGGCCAGCACAGTGGTGAAAGACTGCGTCAAAGCATGCCTTCGATCCACCTACCAATTCCTGTTTGAGAACTGCTATGAGCTCTACAACAGGGAATTCCAGGTCTGTTTCATAGTGAACCTGAGTGTCAGTAAAAGTAATAATTTAGTAATAATTTTTATATCTGCAAAAATATTTTTTATTATTGAGTTGGAGCACACAAAGCTAATGATTTCCATATTACATGTGATTTAAACAAGCTTATAAATATATAATGTGTACACTTGAAGGACAAATTTGTCAGAAAGAATTATGAAAGACAGATCTTCAAATTATTAATATCAAAAGGAAAGTGTAGCTAATGTGCAAAACAGAGCAACATTCTGTAGTTCCAGAAATACCTTGTTTCAGTTAAAGTGAATAATTAAGACTATGATGAACTCTTCCTTTATAACAAACAAATGTGTTAATCTTTAGCTCTTCATTGTTAGCCAGTACTTATTCATATTGCCTATACATAATGAATAAAGTACTAGTGGTCTTCTTTCTTAAGCTGTACAGTATTAAAAAAAGAGTAAATCTATCCTTTTAACAGGCCTTGAAGGTCAATAGAATGGTGAGACATTGAGGCTCCCACATTTTATTTAGATAGTCGGCTCATAGATGGTGGTAAGATTGTCAACCTTATGCACCGGTCGCCCTTTATCCCCCAGAAACATTCCTGGTACTCATTTCTGTGAGAGGCTGAGCCGAATCCAGGGCCATAGTGTGGCTGGAAAGATTAGGTAAATTGAAAAAATCAACCTCAGTGGAAATGAAACCCACAACCTTCCTGCTTGTAGCATAGTACCTCAACAAACTACGTTACTGTGTGCCCCATTGAACTGCACATTTTGAAAACAAATATTTAATGCAGGATGATGAAACTATTTCTTACAAAACAATGAACATGGAGTTGGTCACAATTGAATATAAGTAGAATAAAAACTCTTACAGTGACAGATCTTCAATTTGAGACAGATGAAGCAGTGATAAATTATGCCCTTGCTTTATATAGTACTTTTAAAAATAAAATACTATGTTTTTACTTATTATAAAGCATCGTGGAGATTAGTATTAGTTATCCAGTTAAAGAAGCATTTGAGCTTCAGAACTGACCAGTACACAATGCACTGTTTTCTAATGCATTAAAATGCAATCTGTTCTCTTAACCTGAAAAACCTCTTACTGTTGAGGCTTCATTAACACATTAATCAGTTGTGATAGCTCATGTATATCTCATTTCATAGTTATACATTTCTCAGATGAGTAAATGGGATATAATATTTTAAAATTTTGCTTTCTTCAGTCCTGACAGCCCATTTCTGAAACACTGGTCTCCAGCTCAGTATTAATGCTGCTGATTTCCTGAGAAAATTTTAGTGAATTATGCAAGATATATGGAATAATAACTGTCTGCCCTTGGTACATGCATTATATTCAGAAAGCAGATGGAGAAGACCAGTGGAGTTGAATTTAACAGCTCTCATTTGCTTGACTACATGATGTTAGAAATATTATTATGCTCATTCATGTTAATGTTGTTGAATATGTAAACTGTGTCTGCCTGCACTGACTTATCAACCTCTTCTACATTCCAAAAATATCCAAAATAGAAAGATACAACTACTATCATCTCATCCCTCTCCAATTCAGATCCATCCCTGTCCCGGTGCTCTGAAGACTTAAACAAAAGATGGGACCTGGTTTAATAATACACACATACAAATTTTACAGGTGGATCCAAATGAAGCAAAGAGAGACCAAGAGGATCATGGGCCTCGGCTAGATAGTCTTGATTTCTGGCACAAACTAATTGCACTCATTGTATCGGTCATCGAAGAAGACCGAAATAGTTATGCACCTGTCCTTAACCAGTTTCCTCAGGAGCTCAACATTGGGCAGGTATGACCTGATTTATGAATTTCCTGTGTTAATATTTCTATTACCTTGCATATTCCATGCTGCAGGATTTAATGTATGAGATATTTTATTTCTCTGATATAACAATGTAAACTAAACTAAAAGTCTTACCCGTTGAAGTCAGTATGTAAGTCCAGGAGTGGCTGAGCAGAATGAGGGCAAGAAACCTTTATCTCCACCCATTTGCCCTTCCCTCGGACCTTTTGGCCACCACTTTGGATCATCCCCAGTTAACGAGTTCAATGTTGTGAATAATTCCGTGACATTGTTATAATAGAACCAAATGTGTGTGTAATTAACAAATAAAAAATATAAACAATATTGAGACCATAACATATACAGTGAGCCCTTGTGTTTAGAGTTGTGACCATTAATCTTGGCCTGATTACTATTCAGCAGTGTGGTTAGTATATTGTAAGGCTAAGGTCAAAGAACAAGGATAATCTAGTGAAACAGTATATTTAAAATAAAATGCAAAAGTTGGGAACTCACTTGAGATGAGTAAATTGACATGAAATATAGAATGACTGACAGAACACAATTTAGAATAACATACACTTACACCATGGCCTTCAAACTGTAAGAGGTCTATCTAGCTACCATTAGTATGCTGCTGCAGTCAGAGAAATTATCAGCCCATGGCATATTGCAGTCAACAATAAAATGTATGTGCAACAGTAACTGTGTGGTGATGGTACAAACTCCACAACAAGACACTGCATTTCATATGGAGAAAACCGCATATGTATTATTCCAGAGAGAGACTCCTTACTATAAAAGCATGAAAGCTGTTCTGAATTATGTAGGATTTTAGGTTCTTGAGCAATGATTAAGATGATTTCTGTCTTGTGGGGTAAAACACCATATGGCCTGTTGATTTTCAATGGGCTGTATTGTATTACATCCAAAGAGATATAATCATACTCTGAATGAAATTGCAGTGTGTAAATAAACAGTGAAGTCTGAGTTCTACAGTACATGATAGTTGACTCATGCATATTTAGCTAATAACATCATATCTGTTCCAGGATAACTTATAAGCACTACCTCAATAATTAAGGTCCTGTTTGAAGAGAGTCCAGTGTTGAATCTACGCATCACATTAATAAAGCAACATTACTAAAATAATTCATTCATTTATTGTATATTCCATAAATCCATATACATAGATATAGAACCAGTCACATAATTAATATAGTACAATACAAATATAAATATATATGTACAGTTTATGATCATTAAAATAGATTAAAAAAACATGTGTTAAATTTATATAAAAAAACAGTCTTACATCACTATACATAAAATTATGCAATATTAAAATTGTTTATGCTATTATCCTTATTTCTAAGCATATTTGTTACTAAAGAATTCATCACATGTATAAAAAGAGTTTTGCAATAAAAATGTTGTCAACTGAATTTTAAAATTTTTCAAGTCATTAGACAACATTACAACATAATACTGACATTATCAGTAAAGGATTTCTTAACAGTGTTGACAAGAGATATTAGCCTTCATCTGTTTCTTTAGCTAGTTTATACAAATCACACCTGTTCTAGATGAACCGGAGAGCTGTTGCGGATGTGATAGTGAAATGAAAAATACACTTCCTGATTATTTATTTTTATGATGCTCTTGGAATGTAGCAATTCTGAAACCATTGATTTATGGATTTGCTAGTACTGTTTGTTTTAATGTGGAAGTTTAAAAGGGCAGTTACATTGTAAAACTGGTGCAGAAATATAATATCTTTTCGTCATGAAGGAGTTTCAGTTTTACAGTTATTTCATATCAAAAATTTTGTATATTATTTTCAATATAAGAATTGTGTCTTTAATTTCCAGTTATCCGCAGCCACAATGTGGGGTCTGTTTGCAGTGGATGTGAAATATGCACTGGAGGAGCATGAGCAGCACCGTCTCTGCAAATCCTCAGCCTACATGAACCTTCACTTCAAGGTCAAGTGGCTGCACACAAATTATGTCAAGGATGTGCCTCCCTACAAAGGATCTGTACCTGAATACCCAGCGTGAGTAAATTGTAACTTATTATTTCACATGTTCTACCATGACCAGAAGCAGCCTTGTTGCTTATATCAGTGTCTCTGGATGTGCACAGTTATTCAGGGAGTCTTGTAATATGTATACACTTCTAAAGCAAGACATAATTTTCTCACAGGAGTTTTTCTCATCATCATCATTTTTCTTTTACAAGTTAGGGCCTGAAAGTAACATTTAACCTGCATTGTCCAAGGGGTGTAAACCCCCTGATGCTACAGAGCTGATGGGCAGATTTAACTCTTTGGTAATAATACACGTATTAGCACTGAAATCATGCAGTGCTCAGCCAGTTAGATGATGAAATTACATTCATTGATATGTTATTCATGCTCACATTAAGTTTCTATAATAATACAAAGTAACAGGCAATCATGCTGTTATCTAAATATTCTTATAGGAACCTCTCTTGTGGTCATATATATCACAAGTGACCATATCTTTTTCCTGCAGGGAACTGCAGGTTTCTTCAGATTTCCGTTTTTATCTTGCAGGTTTTTTGAGCCATTCGTTATGCAGTGGCTTAATGAGAATGATGATGTATCTCTGGAATATCTCCATGGGGCGTTTAATAGAGACAAAAAGGATGGGGTGAGTTGTTACAGTTTTGGAATTATGGTATTTTAAGAAAGAAGCCATTACTTTTATTTCTAATAACTTGTCTTTTCCTCTGTATTTCAGTTCCAGCGCAGCAGTGAACATGCGCTATTTTCGAATTCTGTTGTAGATGTATTTACACAACTAACACAATGTTTTGATGTCGTTTCAAAACTTGAGTGTCCTGATCCTGAAATATGGAAGCGGTACATGAAACGTTTTGCCAAAACGATAGTCAAAGTTTTGGTTGCCTATGCAGATATTGTCAAGAAGGAATTCCCAAGTCATCTCAAGGAGGAAAGAATTGTGAGTATACATAGTAGTGAGGACATTGTTTTCCTAGAATAGTAATTTACCAGCTCATTTAACTTATTGTCATATATAATAATAATGTCATAATGTAAACTTCTATTTTATACAGGTTACTAATATTGTAATGTATATGTATATGTTACTTGTATTCAGTATGTGTTTTTGGAAGTCTGTCAATGATTCAGGATGTATTAATATAGTCTAAAATGTTCAGAATTTATGAAAGTGATAGATCCAGTATTTGCCACTTAACTAGAGCTTTCGTTGTTATGTCAAGAAATACTTATGTATTAAGTTCTGAAAAATGAGGATCTTGACTGTTACAATTTTATAATTAATAATAATGGTATGGAAAGTTACATGATCTGTAATTCTTTTGCAGACAAAGTTCTGTGTAGATATAGCAATGAAATAATCATTCATAATATTTGGCATGTCATGAAAATAACTATTGAGTTATGAATGTTCCAAGATAAATAGCAGCTTTCAGAAAGTGTTCTCTTCATACTCTGGGCTATAATTGTAATGCAATTCAACAAACATTTGTGCCAAAGAATATTATATTTCTTTTGTGCACTTGCAGGCATGTATCTTGATGAACAATGTACAGCAGCTAAGAGTGCAGTTAGAGAAGATGTTTGAGTCAATGGGAGGTGAGAAGCTGGAAGAGGATGCTGCTAACATCTTGAAGGAGTTGCAACAAAACCTCAACACTGCACTTGATGACTTGGCCATGCAGTTTGCAACAAGGTAAACTTGACATTCACACAAAATATACTCGTATTTATTAGTATCATCAGCTAATAAACAGAATTCTGGATGAACCCTTAAAACAGTTTTATCTGGTTCCACTAATTCCAAGAATTGTTTTTTTTTTCTGTTGCTAGAGGTGAATAAAGTTAACATTTTAATTTTATTGTTTTCTGTTTATTCAACAGATCTGTGTTCTTTGTCTTGATACTACTTTCATATTAATGTCATTCTTGTACCAAGGCAGTAATATGCTCTATGAGGACAAAAACTTCGGTTGATTTCTTTACAATAGCTCTGTACAGTTATATAATTGTTGTGCTGATGGCAGAGTTAAGATTTGAAAGTAGGAACACCATGAGAACGTTTGGTGTAGTTAATACACAGTATTGTGGAGCAACAGATACTAAGCTATAGAATAAATGGCCATTGAAGTGACCAAGTACTAGATGGGAAGACTAAATGGGACAGATATACAGAACAGACTAGGAAAATTCTGCACACAAATACAGAAGGAATATTTGTGGAAGGATAGAGAGGATTGGAGAAAGCTATATCATAAGGTAACCCAGCCATGTGCTGCTGTTGCAACCTCAGTTAGGATAGCCAGTGCCTTGTCTGAGATTCAAACCAAGCACTACCCAAACATGTATATAAGGTATTTTGAATTGTTTCATTTTGGTCCGTTACACTATCAATCACAAAGCTAATAGAAAGTCCGTCGAGTGTAACAATTTGTAGGTCACTTTTTATTATTATTTGATGATGGTTGTGTCAAACCGAAACATGTAAGGCAGAAATAATAATAAAAAGTGACCTATAAATTGTTACACTCTACGGACCTTCTATTAACTTTATGTATATAAGGGATTACACTACACCAACCTGCTCGGTACATGAACTTATCAAATATCTGTTCTGGTAATAGTGATTAGGTAGCAGTTATGAACAATGGTTATATATAATTTTCAAATGGTTATTTTTCGTAATAACTGGATCATGAATTTCTGCTATAATATGTATATCATTTATCTGACATTAAGGTTAATCATAGCACCATGCCATAGCTCAAGAGGTTAGTTGCTGGCTTCCCACCGCGGCGGCCCGGGTTCAATCCCGGGTCTGGTCAAGTAGGATTTGTGGTGGACAAAGTGGCGCTGGGGCAGGTTTTCTCCAAGTACTTCGGTTTCCCCTGCCAATCTTCATTCCACCAATTGCTCCACAATCACCCTCACCTGTCATCTGAGGCTGGTACAATAGGCCAGAAGTGGCCGCAGTACAAGGGACTTAGTCCCACCCCACTAGCAATAAAAAAAAAGGTTAATCATATGAAAGAGAGAAATGACAAAATCCCAATGTTATGACTTCTCCATGACACATGAAAGGTTAACAATTAATGAACTTATTTATTCATTACTTTTGTTCATAAAACAACCGCTATTTGCATGGTATCTGTGTTGATAGCCTGGAACCACGCATCACAGAGAGTGTGCGCCAATTGGGTGATCTGCTGCTGTCCATTAAGGGTGGGGGCCAGGTGACTTTGAATCAACCCTCACAGCGCAATGCTGTGGCAGCAGAAGCTGATGAAGTGTTGCGACCACTAATGGATCTCTTAGATGGTCAGTTGTTATACTGATATATACTACTAACGCACGTAGCCATTCTTCACAGTGGTTTTTCATTATTCCAGTGATGTTTATTTTAAACGTGCATAGAATGCACAAAATATATTCCTATGAGAAATTGTGTAACCTCCGTCAATACCTCTATTTGCATTTGTTGCATTATACATGAATGAAAGTTCTGAGTGCTACATTATATGTTTTAGGTTCCCTTTCATTGTATGCTCAATCATGTGAGAAGACAGTGCTCAAGAGGTTGCTCAAAGAACTGTGGAAGATTGTAATGAGGATTCTGGAGAAAACCGTTGTTCTTCCACCAATGACAGATAAGAGTGTAAGTGCAAATTTCCACCAAATGTATAAATCATCAAGCTGTTCCTTTAGATTAGTACGATGAGACTTCTACAAGTGATGCTTCTCAATTTATAATTGATTTTAATTAAAAAGGCTACTCAAACTAGCTAATACTGTGGTAGGAAAAGCCAAAAGCAAAACTTTTCTTGTACCTAAGCTTGCCATTTCCATCCACTTTCCATCCTTAACACCTTGCATTTGAAATGGAAATGGTACTGGATCAATTACTTTATAGTTAGTATTAATGTGCAGAAGGCCAGTTTAAAAAAATAACAAATTTTTCAATCAGTGCCAATTAAACGTAGGCAAAACAGTCAAGAGACTTTGATTTCATACACAAAGATATGTGACTTTCAATTTATAATTTCTTATGGTTCTTGTAGTATACTGGGAATGTCATTAGCATTTAGAAAATACACTTACCCTTGTCAGGCCATCAACAGAAGACAAGCAGCAGAGCCTTGGGTTAATTTCACCAAGGCTAGGGAATGAGTAAGTCATGGTTATGGTTATTACTTAGATCAGAACAAAATGGAACAAAGAAAAAGATAGGTAGAGTGATTCCTATTTAAATCACATCACTGTCACCACTAAAATCAAATTCTGAAGCACCTAATTTAGTGTTTTTATTTTTAAATTGTATCATTGTAACTGGTCATAATATGCAAATTATAACAGAATGCACTAATTATCAGTAATTATTTGTAATGTATTTTCAATTTATATATGCAGTTGTCCTATCTAAAATTATTATGGCTCAAATTTTATTTAATCTTACTAATGTGATCTACAAATTTAGAATCAAATTTTAATAACTCAGATTTGTTTGTTATTAATTGATAATCATAACAAAGATGGCTGCTGATGGTACAATTTTAAACATGAATTGAAGAGGCCGTTACACCTCTCTAACTTGTATAAACATTTAACCTAGAACTAGTTATAAATGTATGACGCCGGAAGACACCTAATTGGTAATTTAAGTGATTATATGAAATTGGGACTATGTTTTTATAGTAAGTTATATAACTCAAGTTTAATTTAATTTTATTTAATATTATTATTATATCCGATTTTACGATGTAATAAGCTTGCCTATCTGCAACCTGCAAAATTGAGGTTAACCTGTTGTTGCAAATAAGGGACTCATACAATTTTGTATATGTATTTTGAAGTTTATTTTGATATGTATTTTAAGGACCATTTCCACATCCTGGTTATATACTATACAGATCTATGAAAAATAAATAAAATGAATGAATCATCAGAGCCATCCCCTTTATTGTTTATGAGTATATGTGAGTCCTTGATGCAGAGGCACGCTTGTGTCATTTCACACTAGTTTGGCCAAACCAGTCCTTACAAATCACTCTAGTTCAGTCAGACCGGTTGCTAACATCACACTTCTTTGGTCAAATCAGTTACTTGAAATTACACTGGTTTTTGCCAAATCATTTCCTACAAATTACGTTACTTAGATTTAACCAGTATATAAAAATTCAGAACGGGTGAAGAAAGATTTCTGGAGGAAGGTGTAGCATGGTGAGACACAAGAAAGCAAGCTTATGATTTAAGGTGGTGAGCTTGAATTGGCCAGGCTTCTTAGTTAGACAAAGTCCAAGAACCTAGTAATTCTGAGTGTAAAATTTATGCTCTGAATTCTTATAACTGCTTATTTCTGCACAATATATTCAATCTTTCTGGTTTCTTCTCTATAAATACATCTCTACCGTTCTTTTTCTGTTGCCTTCTTTGACATATTAAGGAGAATACACACTGTGGAGAAGTTACAACGCCCTATTTCTTCCTGGAAAGTAGAATAATAAAAACTGGCAATTGACGGTTGAACATGCAAACCTGTACTTAAAATTTTGGCATTGCACTTCTACTTTGAGTTCTATTTTTTATAACAGAAATTCTTTCAGTCACACCTTTCTGCTTCTCCATAGATGATCCTGAAAAATCTAACAGATAATGCCAAGAACTTAGCAGCCAATGCCAAGATTGAGGACATGTCACGTCTGTTCAAGAACCATATGGCCGGCAAACAAGACATCAGGAATCCACTTAGCGGAGTAATGGTAAATCAATTAAAGTACTTGAGCTTTTTAACTTGTTCAGAAAAAAACGCTACAAAGACTACTAATTCAATTTTACATTTACTGTCCCCATTACTGCTTTATTGTATTTTTTGACATGAAGGGATAACTTTGGTCACCCCAAGCACTCAGACCAGTACTGGGTCCATTCTACACGCCTTGACATTTAAACCCTCCTGATATCTAGTCTAACAACATATATCATGACCCCGAGGACCACAATATATAATTCTACATGTGTGTGCGTGTGTGAAATTGTTCCAGAGTCTACTAGTACTCCAGAGATCCAGGTAAACAATGTCAAATCTCAATGATTAGGGCCATGAACAACCATATTTAGGGTACTCTCATGTCAGTTAGTGGGTAGGGATAAATTTTGGTGATAACACCTGATTTTCTCATCTGCCTATAGTTACAGAACTGTTGTGAAAAGAGCAAGAAAACATTAACTGAATTTGAGTCCTTGGTGATCTGAGTTCTTATGCCAGATAGTCTGCCAGAAAAGAAGTGAACAATCCTGATGAATTTTTTTTAATTGGCTCTTCCCACGTTCCCAAAAAGCCCTACTGCTATAGTACACGAAAGACAGAAACAGAGGAATTTTTGTATGAAATTTGCATCACGTAATGCAACAGTCACACTTCAGTAATGACAAATTTAAAGCTTTCAGCATAACATATCATATTTGTATATTCTTTGGTGCATGTCATGACTATAAGCGTGAGCTATAGAGAAGTCACATATCAATATGTCATGACCTTTCCCTCATTCAATAAGCAGTGAACATGCAGGTACCTTGTGAGTCTATCCTTGTTTCATATCATTTGCAAACATTTCTGAAACTGTTTATATTTTAGCAATAGCAATCTGATGCAATTTGAGTCATGAGCTACTCACGAAAAAGATTAAGCAAGCAGGTATGGAAGTTTGTTGTATCATAAACACATACAAGGAATCTGGTGGCAAATGGGTCATAATGTAACACCACTGTGTACATAATTTTTATAGTCCTATAGTGGCTAATTGGGAAGGATGAAGGTTAAGTTTGTACAGTTCAAGTTTAAGTTGAGAGGTGGCATTTGCCTTTGGAACAAATTTCACCATCAAATGTGACATAATGCCAGACTAACTAAAGAAAATTTCTGGTCAGGAAATTTAGTAACACTGGGGAAAATTATTTGGTAGATGAAACTAGTTGATTAATATTTTAATAATTAATATATATACTATTTGATTAATTGGCAGTTATTCAATTAATAAACAAATATTCTCATAAAAATATCAATGTATTGTGTCATGAGTTCTAAAAACAATAAATTCGGGAGTGCTGAAATTACAGAAATATTGCAGGCATGTCCATCACTGTGTAGTGACAAGCACCAATCCCCTACAACCACATATGTGCACAACATTCAAGGAACTGTTGGAGGCAGTGTTTTCTCGTTGGACCCAAAAAAGAGTGATATATAAAGGGCCTATAAATTAGCAGAAGATTAGCACTACTCCCAGAGTTGTGAAACAGTAAAATACGGTCATGAGTCCCATGGAACCTGGAAACAAGAATGACTGTGCTGGCAAGGCCAGCAGCAAAGGTCTCCCCTTTATTCAAGCCCACTTCCTAGCAAGAAGTCTGTGGCAAGAGAATGATTATGAATACCTAAAATGTGTTGTTGTCATTTGAAAATCAGACTTCAGTATCTGATAAATCCAGTTAGTAACACGAACCCATACCTTAGTCACTAACATTTGACAGTGTTGATGAATGGATAGCAAAGACATAGACTGAAATGTGAAGCTAGAAAACGTTGTTCAAAGTTATTTCTAAAGAGACAACACAGATAGTAACCAGTAGATATTGTTGTTTTAAGACAAGTCTTAAAGTTAAAAATTCAGAATTGTAACACATGACATTAGAGTAGTACATCTTATCTCTTAGTTTGTCTGCACTTTGAAACTGAATAATAAATCATGCACCCTAATCAATTAATCTGTGGAAGACAGCAATCAGTAATTAACTCTTTGCTATATCTAACACAGTATAAGGCAGTGAAATCAGACAAGCTGGTCTGAGAACATCAAGTTACACTGAATTAATTTGAAGACCTCATTAGGGCAGCATTATTTAAGGTTAAAAATTTGAAAGAATTCTGTATGATAGATATGTATGTTTCCCTTGAGTCAGGGTAAACAGGCAAAATTAAATAGTTGTATTGAAAAAGAACCTGAATAGCCTATCAGTCACAGCTACCTTATGTAAAGCAAGATTTCTGGCATTATAATGAAACAAAATCAAGAACAAAAAAATGGTTGTTTAGATGAAACCTGTTCACAAGTTCAGCCACAAGACAGTGCTCAAAGGTCGTAGATTTGGATCAGACAAATATGCTGAGTCCTTGGCAGTGCAGTGCTTCCAGCAGTAGGCCAGGGAGTTCTTCGAAAATTGTGTGCAGTGGCTGGTGTGTCAGTAGGATGCTTACATCAGAATCTGTGGGCACTATTTTTAACAGCCACTACTCTTTTGCCAGGACAGTCCCCAAATGGGTTTCATTGGAACAACATTAACAGTACCAAAAGGACTGCACTGAGTAATGTTAAGTGAACATCATTTTCTTTCCTCCGCTGTTGTATGTCCTTGCTTTTCCACAGGACATATCAAAGGAGATGGAGAAAAACCTGTCTCCTAAACAGTGTGCTGTTTTGGATGTGGCACTGGATACAATTAAACAGTACTTCCATGCTGGAGGCAATGGGTTGAAGAAGACCTTCCTGGAGAAGAGTGCAGAGCTGCAGTCATTACGCTATGCTCTTTCACTCTATACTCAGACCACTGACACGCTCATCAAAACATTTGTGACATCACAGACAAATGAAGGTAATAAATGGTTTTATGAGATAGTGGAGTTTCTTCACTGTATACTTCTATGGTTTTCCATGTTCTGGCTCTTTGTTGTTTCCTGTGGTGTGAAACCAAATTTTATTTATTGTATTAAATGTTGTACTGTTTGTACAGTGGTAACTGTTGTGTGTTGCTTCAGCCATTGAAGCCTATGGAGCTTCACATATTTGCCTTGGCATGGAGCAGATAGCTCTTTCTTAATGTAACAGGCTTGTATAATTATTTTTCTGTCTCTCTTGAGAAATATTACCTTACATTGTGTGGACTTATGGAACTGACAATTTTCCTCTGGGAACATTCACAAATAATTTAATATTTCAGTCTGTGAAAGTGTCTTGTGCATAAGACTTAACAAGTTGTGTTAATAGTAAAACGTAAGGTAATGCATTGATTATATTTATTTCAAGATTCATCAGATTTGATGAATTTTGCATCATTGAAGGTTTAAAACAACTTTTGCATTTTTTTATTTAATCGTATTCTTTTTATACATCCACTCCCCCATACATCTTCAGGCACAGTCTTAATTAGTTAAGCACAGTAACAACTTTACCTTTTACCTTTTACACTACATCTTACATGATCAGGAAGTCAGTTATAATTTTCCATTGATCAATTTTCCTGACTTTTGCCACATACAAGTTTAAAACAGGTCTGAGTAGTTCTTCAGTGTCATGTTACAACAGGAAAAATACAGTCAGACATAAGGAGGGTTATAAAATATTGGTCCCTGCATGCAGGATATATATAACAATTATGTGAACAAAAATTCAAACTTTGCAATAAATTAATAATTGTTATATCCAGGCAGTTGCTATCAATAATGAAGCACTGCCAAAGAAATTCTTTATGTAGTGACATTAGGTTTATTGCTACTTACGGTATTAAATACATTAAATACTTTACAGTTTCCATATAAAATACCAAGCAAGTACTGTAACACAAATTACTGTGGAAAAGAGATGTGGATGTCTGAAGAAGAGGTGAAGGGTTGAGCTATGACTAAAGAGCTTAGAAGCATCAATATTAAATCAAATTGTGCATATTAAATGATGATAGAGATTCTTCATGAATTTTCATTAATGAATTTAGAAAATTGAAATCCTCCAAGCAGAACTAAGTTAAATTGGCAGTTATTTGAGAAGATGGAGCTGAACAGCATATGGAGTGGTGCAAATTAAGTAATCAGTAATGGGAAACTGATATTCAAAATTTTTAGCCCTTTTCATAATCCATAATTTATGCATAGTATTATCCAGTATTTACCATATATATTATTTCATGGACCATGCAGGTACAGTGGTTACCAACAAAATATTATCACAACTTACAGACTGATGACCATTTTATCAAAATGTGGGAGATGCACATTACTACTAAAAATTGTTTGTGAATGCCTCTACAGGATAGAAATTAGGTTTCTACAGGCATGCGTGTTTCCAGCACTTGAAATCTTTGGTGACATACATTTCTGTGGGAAAATCTACTTGCTGTTACTTGTCTCAAGGATAATACAGTAGAATCCTACTCTTATGTGTAGATTTGTTCATCATTTTATTGCTTTTCTTCTTTTCCTGCTCCCTTAAAAACACAAAAGTTCCACTTAACGACAAATCAAACCTTAGGCAGCGTTCCATCTCCATTGAGCGTGAAGAGGAAGAAGGAATGGAAGGGCTCGAGGAGCCTCTGAAAGCCAAGAAACGCCGAGAATCCCGGCAAGGTAAAATGAGTATACACTGGAAAATATTTTCAGTCCAGAATTGAAACTATAGCTTGCACTACTCTATGAAGAGTTTGTTGATTTAGATGATCATATTTTGTACATAATCTCAGGGGTGTGCTTCCACATAAACAACATTTCATAGCCACTTTTGGTGTGATTATTCAGATCATGATAAATGAGCTCTATCCTGAAAATAGTACTGTCTATTTATTACAGTAATTAAGAACTTGAATATTTATACAATGATCATCATCTCTGGTCCTAATTTTTATTTGAAATAACATTTTAGAGACTGGAGCCTGTCTCTGTCTTCAGGTAAAATCCTACTCTGATGGGCCCAATCAGCAGAGATGATCCCTGTCTCTGGAGGATAGAAACAGAGTCCAGTTTGTCGAATATCATTTCAAATAACAATTATGATGATGGATAATGTGCAGAAAATTGATCATTGTATTAATAAGCCATCATCACGAAGTTGCGGATCTTATTGAATATTCATGATATCTACATATTGAATGTGAGCCAGGATAACTCACTCTGTATAGTGATGGGCTATGGGCTGGACAGGCAGGGTTCGATTCCCAGCAGGAGCAAAAGATTTTAATCTACTCCATAACATCCAGACTAGCTCTGAAGCCCTCCAAGCCTCTTATCCAGCAGTTACTTGGGACTCTTTCCCCTGGTTTAAAGCGCTGGTGCATGAAGCTGACTGCTGACCTCCATCTAGTGCTGAGGTCAATTATGGTGGAGCTATACCTCTACTCCCACATATATCTCCATGGCATAATGCTTAATTAATTGAACACTTGGAGAATTTTACCTTTTATCCATATTGAATGACTGTGAATTTATTTCATGGCAGCAGGTTTAGAAGTTTCTTTTTATTTCCATATCCAGAATGGCTCTGGGGGTCATAGTCTCCTCTGATATTTATCTTTAAAGTGTAATGCACTATAGCTATTTCAGTCTTACTCTTTTCATTAAGAGGGCAAGTTTCATCAGGAATACTATTCATTTGCTGGAAAATTTAATTTTTAGAGTTTTATAATTTATGTATATGTACATCATTTACGTTCTTCTCACTTCCATAATAAAACATTTCTCTTCAACATAGTTTGTTTACTTGTCTGCTTAAAATATCATAAATGCATTACATTTTTCATTATTAGAATTTCCAAGTCTTACTCCTTACTTTTTCTTGTGAAATATAAAGATTCGCATATATTGTATATATCATTGTACATTCACATTTAATTGCAGAGTGAAAAACTTAGGACTAAATTTATTCAGTAATGTCTGCTTCTTATTTGTTAATTGCCTCTCTGAATATTTGTATTAGCATAAGATGGTTTGTATATGCCATAAACCCTTTCCAGCACACCCCTGTATTTTTTATTCTTTTCTTATTCAACACCAGTTGTGTGAGAAATTACAGATTTTTAATGCCTGCTAAAAGTATGCAATGGGCACATCAGAATGTCATATCAGTAACCTTTAACACACAGAGGCTGCCACTGCAGTCAGTAGCAACTAAGTAGCATGATTAATTACATTTTAACCATTTCCAAGGCACAAAGCTCCTTCTTCCATCCTATTTCATATGTTTTTAAACTTGTTTTGAACTTTATATATGGTATTTTTATGTAATGCTGAAATGTAACGGAACTCTACTTTATGTGATGTCCTTCACAATATTAATGTATCCACTCATTATGGTTGATAATTTATTTAACGGTCAAAGCATCTGTGTTTATATTGTCTTGCAATTTGTATGGCACTAGCGTTTTTGTTTTCAAAATATATATGTGAAGCACTGAAAGACATGTGTGCTTACCACACAGCACATTCAAAGAAAAAGTATCAGCTTGATTTTACTATGTGCATTCTTCTCAGTTGTCAGCCAAATGTGGATATAAGTCATGATTACAGTCATAACATTTCCAGTTCATAATAACATGTTTATGTAAAATGTCTATGAGAAAAGTATTTTTATAGGACCTGAACAACATCTGAAAGATCTGAAGGTCATGGTATAGGAAACTTTTCCCAGCTGTGTTAGAGGCATGCACTAAACTCAGTCTGGCAGAAATTGTGAACTGACAGGGAGGAAGTGGTGTCCTTTTAAGTTAATTTATGTGTTCATTCACTCATTACTCCCTGTGTCCACATCTGAGAGGCCATGAGCACTGAGAAATAATATGTTGTTAGGAACCAATTAATCAAGTTCTATCATATTGTAGTGACCATATTTCTTGCATTTTCTCTCCAACAGAAGATTTGTGTCCACAATCTTAGCAAGTGTATGCATTTTTCATATTCCATATCAAGTTCATTAGTATCTCCTAATGTCCACAATCAGTACTTTGCAACACAGAAAGATATGGCTGTGGAGGCACCATTCCTACAAGCCTATGACTGCCAGTTCAGTCTTGCTGTTTAATAGAGTTTGGACTTCTTGGAACTGTAGGGTTGTTAAGTCCCAACATTCATTCCACTATTTCTGTATACTATTACTTACCTCTACTTATCTTATTACCTCTACTTATGAACTTTCAAGTAACAAAAAATTTGTATGCACACATTGCATGGACTAATAAATTGCGACTCCCAATTGATTTAAGGAACACAGAACCCCACATTTATGAACATTTTAACAAATTTAACGATATATCTTGTGAAAGAAACGAATTCAACTTATGAACATTCAACTTAAAGACACATTTCTAAGAACACATTATGTTAGTAGGTTGGGGTTTGCATGTAATCCCCATAATATCATGTTCAGGAAAAGTTATTTCATTCAGGGACAGTGGTACAGATACTTTTATTTTTGTAACCAGCCAGACAAGAAACATAATATATATATATATATTGTAAGAACATATAGTGGAGTCAGTGAACTAAAAGGTACACACATATCTGCAAGAAGAAGTTGCACCAGTTCAGATTGTTTAAAAGAAAATCTCAATAAAATAATTCCTAAAAACATTATTTTGTTTAGTTTATTTTACTGTATTATGGTTAAGTAAAAAAATAATATTAATATAATCAGTACATCAAATTTCAAAATAAAGACATAGTATTTTCAGTTCTGGCTAATATAGGTAATGAAACTGTATACTTGTATAAGAGAAATGAACACCCAAATTTAGGTGACTTTCTTTGTCAAAATTTTACATTGACCATTTACCTTTTACCATGAGCTATAACATTCTTTGATCTTTTAAAATAGGTGTATACTTCCACATCTTTAATTTCTTTAATGTGGGTTCAATACAGCACTTACATACATGAAATTTGAAGTTCTCACAGCAGCAACTGTGAAGAGTATTATTTTCTTTTACGTGGTGCAGTAAAATGTAATAGAACCTTATCCTCATTTTGGAGGAACATACTGCTCTTAACATGATTAAAGAACTGCAACAAACATGAGCAGATATGTAAGTAAGGAGTAGGTATGGCAGGGGACATCCTTGACATTCATGAGTTACTTGGTGTAAATTGTCACTTCAAGCTATGTTGTATGAGGCATTTTAATGGTTTATGTTGCTCTGTCAAAGTATATGTGTATATTTCATTAAAAAATGATGTGATGTGCCATAAATGCTTCCAGTTCACATACCTCATGGTAGTTATTCAGCAATGGAAGGGATTTCATTGCATTTGAAACAACTGACAAATGGAATCATCAAACCAGTTTTGAACATAGCAATCAATTTCACATTTATACCCTAGCACTCATCTTCCCTCTTTATTTACAACTTCATCTAGAAATATATATATCCTTCCACACACTTTGTCACCAAGTACAGAGAAAATACCAACTGCAGATAAAATCCATTTACTACTCTACAGGAATTCCAGTACACAGTTCATTTTCAATAGGTTTTCTGCTGTATAATAGAGATGAAGACTTTCGTTTGTACATTTATACATTACATTTGTAATTCTGAGAAGTATGCACAGTCCTAAAATGTCTATACATGTACATTATGCATGTCCTAATATATGTGACCAAAAGTATCTGCATGTTACTTACTGCATGAATGTATGATGAGAGAATAGATTATGAAGTCAATACTGGGTAAGGTAGATGTCAAAACCTACAAAATTGTGTAAAGTCTGGAATAATTCTTATGTCGTGTTTATAGCCTGATCCAGAAATATATCATCTATGTCTAGTTATGGGCCCAATAACTAATCACTCCATGGACCAGAGCGCTTCTAGAGAAGCTAATAATCAGTCAGCTAGTCAAAAAGTTCCTCATCTTGTATGGAACCCGAGGTTTATTACCTTGTTCACAAATGACCACCAATAGAATACGATGTCCTTATGGAGAAGCTAATCGTCACACATCTATTCCCAAAGAATTGGTGCAAAACATTGCACATACTTTCTCACATATAATGGCCGCGCCATAGCTCAAGCAGTTAGTCGCTGGCTTCCCACCATGGCAGCCCGGATTCAATCCCGGATCTGGTCAAGTGGGATTTGTGGTAGACAAAGTGGCGCTGGGGCGGGTTTTCTCCAAGTACTTTGGTTTCCCCTGCCAATCTTCATTCCACCAAATTCTCCATCATCGTAATCACCCAGGGAAGGCTGCAATAGGCCAATCAGCGGCCGCCATGCCGAGTGGATCCAGTTGGACTCCACCCCCCCCACTAAGTGAATTTAAAAAATTCTCACATACAACCAACCTTGACTATATTACCTTGGAAACTAGATTCATTGTTGCTCAGTAGATCACTATTGTTGTATAATACCAAACAGCAATTAAATCTGTCTCACCGGTAAGGCACATTTCGACAAAACTGACATTTCTCATTTGGGCCCATAGTGTGTGTACCATTATTTTCCTAAGACACCACCTATGAAGTCTCATTCAGGGAGATGATCACCATAAATTACTGAAACTCAATCTAAATTGTTTGAAGCTTCTTCAAATACTACTTGATTTGAATTGAATTGAATACTAATAATTGTTCAGATAGTAAAAAAGAAATACCCATCTTTTATGGAACCCGAAGTTTCATTACCATATCGACAACAGCCCACCAGCAGTATCGCAAAACTGTCAAAATCTCCATACTGTTTATTTTTTGCACCTTCACAAAGGCATACAAATCATCTCAGTGATAGAAATCTTGTTGCACAGTTTGTAGCTTTGATTAGACTGATTTTGGCACTTGGAAAATTTACTTGTGTTGAGTATGTTTATTATATATTAATGTTCTCCTTTTTTTTGGCATGGAGACTGTAGAAGTGTTATTCACACGTTCTTCATTAACAGCAGCTCTTTGCATATTCTGAACATTCACGTGTGGTCATATTTCAGATATTCTAAGTCTGGATGAAGGAAGTGTAGGTGAAGTATCCATTCAGGTGGATCTCTTCACACACCCTGGCACTGGAGAACACAAAGTAACCGTCAAAGGTAAGCCATGCATAATACAGCTGAACACTGGAATCTTGAAATTACTGAATTTGGTTTTCCTAGAGATCGGATTTCTAGATGATAGTACATGCGGAATTGCCTTTGTCTGGGTATGCAGATTTTAATGGAGTGTGACAAGTTCATAAAGTGATGAAGTTCTGGGGGTGATGTCAGAAATAATAAAATGTGCAGGTTGTTCACATTTCTTACTGATGCAGAATGATAATCTTACTACTGTAGTCTGTGATATCATTTTTAATTTTCCCCTGGATGGCCTTGGGGACAGAAGAGAATATTTTCATTTGAAGGAGAAAGCTCTAGATCACATCAAGTGGAGGAACTGTTTTGGAAGAGACTGTGGACCTGTCGTCTTGACAGATTACTGATGAATGAATCATACTCTGTACACAGGATTTAAAACAGTATGCTTCAATCCAAGCTCCCATTCTTCTTATATTCTGCCATTGTAACTGTGTGGCCCTTTTCCTCACCCACTGCCCGCACAAGTGCAAATTTGAGATTTTTAAAATTTCTCCATAAGAATGGTAACTGACTTGTGAAGTACTTTGTGTTAACTCTTCTGGCCTGTGGTGAGGACAACACACGAAGAAGTAATGTACTGACATTCTTAAGAGCACATGCAAACCGTCTGTCAAGTGCACAGCAGATATGGGACCAAAGTTTACTTTAACAATAATCTCCTTCTCAGTTTCAGTTTTGAGAAGATTTTCTATATTATAGGTATTAAGAAATATGTGATAATAAGCAAAATTTAGAAGGTGTATTTCAGTTATATCTTACTCTCTTCACTATGCATGCTACATTTTCACAGCATACAAACCATCCCTGTGGAACCATTTCAAGCATAACAGGCTGGAGTATCTGACACCATGTTTATCATAAGGAAGCCAAAAGGGAAAATAATTAATTTGATGAAATGTACTTCACTTGCAGTGGTGGCAGCAAATGATCTGAAATGGCCGACAGTGACGGGTATGTTCCGTCCATTTGTAGAAGTGAACCTCATTGGACCACACCTTGCAGATAAGAAGCGAAAGCATGCCACCAAGTCAAAGTCCAATAACTGGTCACCAAAATATAATGAGACCTTCCATTTGTAAGTACATTGCAATATAATTAGTGAATATATCTTATTCAGTATTTCAAATAAGCTCTAATGGCAGTAAAATCTTGTTAACTCTTTGTAAAGATGCAGCCATATTAATTTTCTTACATGTTAATTCTTTCTCTCTTACAGCATAATTGGGAATGAGGAACAACTGGACTTCTTTGAGCTTCATATATGTGTAAAAGATTATTGCTTTGCCCGAGATGACCGACTGGTGGGAGTGGCTGTAATGCAACTGAAGGACATTGTAGAGCAAGGCTCATGTGCATGCTGGCTGCCTCTTGGCAAGCGTATCCAGATGGATGAAACAGGGTGGACAATTCTTAGGATACTGTCACAGCGAACTAATGATGAAGTTGCCAAGGAGTTTGTGAAGCTCAAGTCAGATATCCGCACAGAAAATCCTCTACCTAACCCAACCTGAGGGATATAAATTAAATATGCAAGACATATTTGTATCCCTTTGCTATCTTGTACTACTTGCTGGATCACAAGAGATAAGATACAGAGCTCAAAGCTCAACAATACGCTCTTGATCCCAAGTAAATGAATTGGCTTGTTGTTTCGTGAAACAAGCCATGATACATTTCAGAGAGAGGGAGAGCTTGCCTGAATCAGCAGACGTAAATTTAACAGATGTATCATCATTGACAGAAATGATATATTGAGATAAAAGGAACTTGCATGCATTCATTCTAACACAGCTTACATGAAAAGCAGTGACATGCTTTTTATACATATATATATTTCAACCATCATATTACAGAACAACTCTAAACTTAAAATTTCAAGGTGCATGAAATGTGTGAATTAAGATAAATTTTGAGACCACAGCCACTATGACTTCCAGCCAAAGTTCCATTCTGGTTCTCTCACACCCTCTCTCACTCTTATTCTCCAGAATTGCAAACTGCGGGATAAAAGCACTGGACTGGATGGAGGATCATCTACACTGGGGAAATATGTCAGTGTTACACAGTCAAAACGCTGCTCTGGTTAGAATAACTTTCCAGTTGCTGAAGATAAGTTCTGATATTATCTTAGGTTCTGATAAGATTATTGCAACTAGAATAATGCACACACATTCAAGCAGTGTCTCTCTTATCAATCTTGCCTCTTGCTGCAAAATTATATAATTTTAAAGCTACCAGAATGATACCTAATTGCAACTGGAACTACTTCAATCCTTGCTTATGTATACCAGTAACTGTATTTCACTGTGATATTCTGAGGCCTGCCTTTCACCCTACCATGGGTCAATTCAACCAAATATGGTCTCAACTCTACTAAAGCCTCTTGTACAGACACCATATCTTCAAAAATTATTTAAGTACAGCAAATATTTCTTCATTTTACTTCATTTTACTACATACCATTTATTGTAAATACAAGAAAACGTTATTGAATTAAAAAACATGCATCTTTTCTGACAATAGCCACACTGAAAGTTAAGAAAGAGAATATTAGCCAAATTTACAATCAGCAGGAAATAATCACAGATAGAGAACAGTTCTCAGATGTACATGTACGAGGGTTTGAACTTTAATAGTGGCAACACTGCTGTAGAGATGCCATGCAATGGAACCAAATAATGTCTCTCATACCACACGTTAGTTACATACCTACCTTACCTCAGAGCAAATGGACTCTTCCTTCCCACATCACGCGCATGCGCAGTGACAAGAAGAACAGAGCCTTGTGTTAGCTGGTGGTCTAATGTAGTGTTTTTGAAACAGGAACAATGGAGTTGGATAAAGACTGAATGTGCCAGAGGCCATACAGCACGACAGTGTCATCAAGGTCTTCAAAAGAGGCTTGCGGGGAATCAGTGTTGTCTTACAGAACAGTGGCAAGGTGGGTAAAAGCCTTCAACGAGGGACGCCAAAATGTGGCAGACACGCGTCAGCCAGGTCATCCTAGTGTCAATTAAGAAGAAGTGTATACTCTTTCCGCATTACTGGAGAGTGATCGACGCCATACGATTCATGAGCTGGCCCGAGAGACAGGATTAGCGCATACGACTGTGCTTCACATTCTGAAGGAATGCCTTGGCATGAGAAAAATTGCATCACAATGGGTTCCGCATGATTTGATGGAAATGCAGAAATGGCAAGCTGTGGCTGATTTCTTCAATCGATGGGGCTGGGAAGTGCTGTACCATCCACGATACTCCCCGGACTTAAGCCCTTGTGACTTCGACTTAATTCCTCAGAAGAAGGAACCACTTCATGGCATTCACTTCAGAACTGTTCCAGAGATTCTTCAGGCAGTGGACCACTCCATTCGAACTATCAACACAACAGGTGCTGCTAAAGGTATCCTATGACTTCCACATCACTGGCAACGGGTCGTACACAATGCTGGTGACTACATTGACGGACAGTAAAACTTTGAAACATGCATCTATTTTGTATCAGTTGTAAATAAATAGTTGCCACTATTAAAGTTCCAACCCTCAAATGTAGAAAAGAAAGGTATAAAATATTAATGATGATACAAATTAAAGCCGGTTCTTGATCACAGCAGAAGAAGGATCAAAATTACGAAATAAGTAATACTGTATTGCTGTTTACAAACAAGGAAATAAACTAGAGTCGAATGGATTGCTGTATCAGAACGCATGTTTAGTGCCACTCTGTTCAAGTCATCACAGGGATGTAGACTTAAATGAAATCACAATAATACTGCTGCAATTTCAGGCTTGGCTGATGGCAGAAAATGGTGTCCCTATCATAAACATTAGAAGAACAATTGTTACATTATAATCTTACTGTCAGCTAATGAATATGTTCAAGTTTTCTGATTCTTATTTTCTGTTTTCTATTTCACATTTTATTGTTCCACCACGTAAAGTTTTATAACTGCAGGTTAATAGAGAACCAGACGGATACCTATATTTTTAAAGCATTAACAAAAATGAAGTTTACTTCTACTGTTAAAAATAAACACAAGCACTTTGTAATGTGTTCTGATTTCCTGCTGTCAGTGAGGGTAATAAGTCATACATAATTGCTTTGGCATTATACATCACCCTCATCATGCTAATACAGCATGACTCATCCATACATTATGGGAAACAAGCCATGTTCTACCAATATAGTTACACAGCATGTGCTGCAGAACACAGTGAGTGCATTGACACAACACTAAACGAAAGTGAGCATTTAATAGTACAATAATACAGGAGGCTGCTATTAATGACAAGAAGGAATTCACAAGTAAAACCATTCTCCTCAAACAGTTTGAATTATTGCTGAGTGCAGCAGGTCCATATTATCATTTCTTTTATAATTCTGTTATTCTTAATTGATACATTCCTTTCATTGTCATGGTTCCTCAATGAATTACTGTACTATGAAGTATTTGCTTCAGTATCATTCTAGTCAAATTGGACCCAAAATATTTTGAACCACTTAAAGAATTTACTATACCACTACAAGAGAAAATATTGACAATACAATATTAATTGTATGCATGAACTGATGTTGATATAGATTTAAAACTTAAAATTCCAATTTGTAGCTGTGACCCAGTAGTCTTATTCAGGCAATAAAGTTTGCCTACCTTACCCATTCTCCTCAATTTCTTTTGAATTATGTATAATTCTGTCTTGTATTGTTGAAATTGTCACCACATGTCACTAGCTGTAAAATAATACTAAAAATACTACTAATACTACTGACCTGTTGTCACAGTGCTCTGTTGTTCTCTGTTAAAAATGCAAGAGAAGTTGTTAAAACAAACTTTTTTCTATATGAATGTATAAATAAACATTGAATGAAATTTAGTGTAGGAACTTGAAAGAAAATTATGTAACATGTGATTTCATACAAGCATATTATTAATATATAATATAAAACTATTATATATATAATTCTCCTGTTCTTCCATTGCGGTTCGATATAAATGCTATACTTGTGTGATGGCATGCTGATATCTCGGCTGTGCACATCTTGCCTGATTTTCAATGTACGTGGGCCAATTTATCTCAGCATCGGTTGTTACCTGTTTCACCACTGGATGTTCTCTTTCAGCATTAATAAAATCGAACTGAACATAGGTTATAACAGTGGAAATGTCTGAACCATGGACTGAAAACTTTAGAAGAAAACTTGTAGATAAATAGCAAACAAGATTTTCTACAAATGAAAATAGTTTACCAAGTGATGAATTGAGAGTTCAGGCATTATGCTACTTGAGGTAATAGAAATGTGATTTATTATGTGGATCTGAAGAAAAGTGCCAGTTTCTAAAATGTGCATAACATAATAAGATTATTTAAGTAGGCACTGTCCATGAATTAGAAGCACTAATCACCTAGAGTTTTCAGTTGATGAAACCTGATATATTCATATCCTGTCAATGTGTGTCAGCAACAAAGATGAATACAATTTGAAAAGCATTCTGTTGACTGAATGAAATTAGCCATCAGCCCATTGATGCCCTGGCCTCTGGTAGCAGTGCATTTTAAACATCAGATTAACTACATTTTTGAAGAGACTACGTTTGTCATTAATTTGAATTGGGTACATACAATCATGTTAAGCGGAAATATCAGTATGCCTTTCATTTTGGACTGTAACATATCTGGTTGGGGTGCTCTTAAATTTTTTTTCTTTTATGGCTAGTGTCTAAATGATCAATGCATGGGTGGAAGAAGTTAAATGTGGTTTCATTTATCTGTAGTAAAATTTATATGAATTGCCTGACTCCTCCTTGAGATCTCCCATTAAGTTTATCAATGGGCTGGTCCAGAAAAAATCTGTTGTGAACATAAAATCGAAGACGTGGCATGTGCTACATAATTCTGCACATCACTGTACATCTTCATATTGTATATGTGCTTTAACTGAATTGCTGGTACAAAGAAAAAAGAACAGCTATCAATAATGTAATGAGAAAATCTGTTAAATTATTTTTGTTGGTTAAATTTGTCCTAATATTGGTAAGGATCTTGCCAAAATATAAGATTATAGACTTGAAAGTCATGATCTTGGTGGACACATTGTGTAATAAATATATCTCAATGTTTTCAGTGCACTATTGTATATGGATACACTATAGACTGGGTCAATTACATATTCATCTGAGTCAGAATGATACAGTTATATGAATGTAATTCTAAAATCCTGACCAAAGATGGTTATATGTCCACCAGACCTTAAAATATTTAAAAAATGTTTATTTGTAAGCAAACTTGCTTCACTTGTAATTAAGACTTTTCAGTTGTTAACGAATGTTAAGCCATGAATTTTCCTGCAGGTAATTTTAATGAAATGCAACAATTTTTCTATCTCAAGATTTTCATACATTGTTCTGAGTGGAATAACTGCATTTAAGAATTGTTAATTTGCAAGTAAGCCATATGCTTTAAATAACACATTATTTGAATAATTATTATACTATGTGTTGATGTATGAATATGCCACAACATATTTTCTATTGTTTTAAATGGCCTTTGTCCTCTTAAGTCACACAGCATTGTTAAGAGCTAGTTCATGAATGAATATTACATAAATCTTGTAATATTTTATGGTGCCACTGCTAATGGGAATATTGAGAAGTGGAAGGTATACTTCCTACAGCAACTGGCCGATAATTTTGTCAGAACTAGGACCAATAAGGCTGTGTGTAGATCACTTATTACCTTCTCCTGTTATACCTGTGCTGCAAAGGAATTTCCTTGATGAACACACACAGTTACATCTGCCTTGAAGGAGCATCATGAAAGTTGTACCAGTAAAATCCATCATCTACAGCAAGGTATTTAACATTCTTATAAGTATGTTCCTTACAATTCAAGCGATTTTAAGCACAACACATTTTAATATATGCACTTATATTATTGTTAACTGTAGTGATATATATATATATAAATTTTGTTATGTTTTCCCTCCAAATGAATGCTTCTTTACTCTAAGTGATTGGAGGACAATCTGAGAAAGTAATTATTTTAACACTTAAAAGAACAGTATAACAACTAGACTTTTAATTATGCATTATTTTTACATTACCTAATGTAATGGTTCACAGTACAGTATTTTTATTTGGTATGAATGATTGTAAAATTGCATGTGTTTTGAAATAAAGAGGGATATGACCTATGTACAACTGCATATGAGGTAAGTGAAGGTAATATGGTCATGCCAGTTTTCTTAAATTTTTCATGTTGAAAATGTCATAAAGTAAACACAATGTATACATCTGCCACCATAGGCTTCATTTATGTATATTAAAAAAGAATGTATATTTTTCTTTTGAGTTTTCAACAACCTGTGGCATGTCTCCTTTTTTTGCATTTTTCATCTTTTTCTTTTTTCATCTTCACTTTGGAGCAACTTTGTGGTAACAGACCTCTATGAATTTCTAAAACCTGAGAATTAATTGAGATGTAAGATTTGAGGTTAAAAGATGTTTTCTTCTTGTGTGGAGAGTATTAGTAATATTTCAGGAAATTAATTTACAGCAGTATTGGCATTACCAGAAACAGGAGATTGTTCGTTATCAGACTTATAGTTTGCAATGTTCTAACTTCTTCACAATCACTAGAAAGAATTTCTATGATTCACTGAATCAAATTTCTGTGTGCTAGACAGCCTAGGTTGTTTGTGGAAAGAATGAAACCTGATGGAAAACACAGACCGGGATTTTTCATTTTCAAATTATGATGGTTCTTTCGTAAATGTGATAGGTGCAAGGGTTTTTCATTTGGAATACTAGGTGGATAAGTTACACTTGCTCAAAGACTAGATGTGATATTGGCAGGTGTTATGGCTTTATCCCAGATAGCAGTAAATAGGATATCAAATTATTTCTTGTTTAGTCACCCTCTCTCTCATATTACATGAACAGAATAGCACATTTTCATACCAACAAAACTCTGAACAGATCTTCCCATGGCTTGAAGTTCATATGTCATACTGCCAGGAAAACAAAGCACTGTTTCTAAATCAGAGGCTGGCCGCTTTGTACTGCTGCAGCATCCAAAATATTTCCACATGAAACAGGTAAACAGTCTCCCATGTTCAAGGACAGCAGTATGAATAGTGATTAGTACCTTGGGCTGCTGTGAAGAAAAGTGACATACTTTTTCATCAACATTCTGAATACATTTATCTAATCACATTAGTAATTTTATCATATCCAAATATATGATGATTAACCTCTTTAGTTTTGGAGTACATGCAAGGTTCATGTTTTATACTTTCTTTTGAGTTGCTGGATTTCATGCTAAAACTCTTTTGAGTCAATAATATCTTGCTGACTTCTTTACTCCAGAGAAACATCATTTAATGTTTTGGTCCTTACATTCTCAGAACACGCATAATCTCAGCATTACTGAAATCGAGGAAACACTGTTTCTCTTATTATGCATTGATACAGATCTGCTGCTTGTTCTACCATTAAAGTAGGTTTAAGGTTCAAAAGTTTGAACTTTTTATTTCGACCAGTGTATCACTGTGAAGTTTTACCTGGAATCTGATACCTCTTGACGTGTACTTTTTTTGTCATCCCGCCATTTTAAATGGCAGAACACAAATTTGATACAGTTTTCTTCAGCTTGTGGAAATTTCTGTCTTCTAGGATATACTGCTGTGTAATCTGGTGGAAGTCAACTAACTTTTTTGGAGTAATATGTCACCTCCTTCTGCACAGTTAAAAGGTAAGCCAGGAAACAAAACGAGCATGAAGCAAACTGCAAGCAGAATTTTACTTGCTGCCTGCTTTTTGCTTCCCTACTTTTCTTCACTGAAGTTGTAAGCAATTGTTCCTCCAAAACACAGTAAACTTTCACCAGACTACAGTGTTACATCTCAGAAGATAGAACACTTCATAATCAATGCTATGAAGATCTCAAATCATACATTTCTTCAGGTTATTCACTTCTCAGATGCTTACTATGATGTAGCGTCATGACCTCCAGAATAGATATAACAGTACTGTCAAATCATACCAAAATTATGAAATTAGTTTTCATCAAGTGCCAAAAATGTGGATGAAGTTGACAATATATAGCTTTGCACATGCTTCTGTCTGTCAACAGACCAAACAAAGATTGTACTGTATAAAAGTACAGAACTCTTTCAATCTAGATAAAAGCAGCTTAATACATTTACTGCTTATGAAGATAATTTATATTATTCTGAAAATAAAATGGCCTTTAACAGCATAAGATGACAAAAATGGAAAACCATTACATAGTGTTTGGGAAATGTTCATGATCTAATAGTCCTGATATGTTTGCAAATTGTGAAACTATGTAAATGGCCATGACTTGGCTATATTTTCTGCTTGGACATATTACCTTCAAGTATCTTCCTTTATGGGTCCTGTATTATATTTTGAAGTGATATCACAAAGACAAGTAAACAGAAATTGAGGAATAATATAGATAGCATGCTTGGATCAAAAGAGTTTACCCCTGCTAGACTGAAGGAATTTTACACCTGCAGTAATATACAAGTTTTGCCCCTGTCTGAGCCTAAAAAAAAAGGCACAATCAACCTAATTGTTTAATTTGAAGAATATTCAGATATCTTCTTAGAATTCTATAGGAAATTTTGACAATTCCCACCTGGAGCAATGAGTTCCACAACTAACCCTTACACATTAAATCCCCTGAGGGATACTTCAAACTCACGATTCACTGAGTACACATGCTATGTAACTATGTAACCAATCAATATTTTGAAAAGAAAAGGAATGTAAACATTTCTACACTAACAAAAATCTGAATTTATCCAGTTGCCATGTTATATTATCTTACACTCTGTAAAAAATAATCTTAACAAAACTCAAATATCTATCCCCTCAGAATATTTCAGGGTCCTAAATTAATCCTTTGCTGTGTTCAACTTAGTAGAATGTACAAAAATTGTATGTCCCACTCTGCACTTAACATACTAAGTCAAAGAAAAGAACTCCGTGGTTTTAGTCCACAAGCAAGCCCATGGTTTGTAAAAAGTATTTAGATCTCAGGAAGTTTGTTTGATTATTGCTGACAGGCTGGGTGATTGATTTATAGGTTAGTTAACAGCACTGTTTCAACTGCAAAATTCTTGGTGTATGGAATAACATGGAAAAATGATCATTAATGGTAATTACAGATTTGGAAGATGATGGTCATGGCATACTTCAAGGGAATAGCCTTACATTTGCCTGGAGAGAGAAAAGTCAGGATAGGCAAGATTCAAATTGGATACTTCCAGAATATGTGTAAAGCATTACTGCTAAACCAGTGTTACCAGTTTGATGACAGAGAATTAAAAGAATTGATAAATTATTGAGGAAACAAAAGCACACGGCATGCTTTCCTTTGAATTTAAATTTATTTACATTCCGTGCAACCAAGTACAGGTTGACACCACAGGATATGGTACAAGTCAAGTACAAATACATAATAACTGTACAATAATCATGTTATATCCCACCTTCACAGTGTCTATCTGTCCATCATGATCTGTATCATGGAATTAATAGTGACGAATATTGTTCAATTTAGAAGGGAAGACTTGGATATTTGATAAGTTTTACTTTTACCTGCATTGATTTGAGTCCAAGTTAATTCTTTCCCCATAAGAAAAGCATTTGGACCAAAATGACAGTAAATACAGGGTATACACAAAAGAATGGTGCAGTTTCAAAGGGTAATCAAAATTTATTTCTCAACTTACACGGTCACAATATGCACTGTCAGCTGCGGCAACTGTCCAAGTTTCTCATGCGTTAATTAGAAACCTCCAATGTGTGCACCCTGGATCACACAACACACATCCACACGGTAATCAAACTCTGCTGCAAATGGAGATAACAACCTTCTCCTTTTGGCCACCCTGTTCGCCAGTTCTTACACTGTTCTATTTCTTTCTTTGGGGGTTCGTTAAAGACAGCGTTTATGTACCACCATTTCCCATGTCCATCCATGAACTTCATGATAGCATAACGCATGCACTGCAGGCCATTACAGCGGACATGCTACATTGGGTCTGGGATGAGTTTGATTACCATGTGGATGTGTGTCATGTGACCAAGGGTGCACACATTGAAGGTTTGTAATTAACACCAGAAACTTGGACAGTTGCTGCCGCTGACAGCGTATGTTGTGCCTGTGTAAGTTGAGAAATAAATGTCTTATTAACTTTCGAAATTGCACCATTCTTTTGTGTATATCCTGTATATTTTAATAGTAACCACAATAACAGAATATCCTGAAAGTCAGTGACAAACTATATATCTGAGTCCAAGAACCAAGAGGTGTAAGTAATCACTATGAACAACAAAAATTGTTCCTTCTGCACAGGTGGACTGGTAAATACAGTGTAAAACACATCTGAGGATGTATCTTATCAGATGACAGATAATTATATCATTAAAATGTTACTAGACTCTATTTTCAACACACAACAGGAACCAAAATCACCATACCAAAGACCTTGCTGAATACACAGAACTTAACTTCTGTAATGTTGCCTACTTAATGTATGATGCACTGTCAGGGATGCTTTATACACAATATATTTATAATCAACTGTATAAGCCAGTCATACCATCAAGATGTCACAATTTAGCTTGTTCTTTATAGTTACATTTTTCAGTGTACAATAATACACACTTCACATCACTTCCCTACACAGAAGTCTTTAAAAATAACATCTAGTATTTGTTCAGTACTGACATGACCTGTAATTTTACCGATATGCCTTAGGGCTTTGCGGACTTCTTGGGCTGCAAGGACAGTATCACCACCTATCGCAGACAACTCAAAGTATTTGTCAAGACACGCTACACAGTCTGTAAGATGCTGACGATGTCGGGACTGGGTAAGGCAAGGATTTTCACGCGATGGTTTTCCACACCTATAAAAACAACAAATGTAAGTTAATCATACTACTGCTTATACACTTGCTTAAAGTTTGCAGTTGTCTTCCATCATCATCATCATCCTGTCAGGCCATATATTTTTCATGATTGAAACACTAAAATATCAGACATGAACTGTAATATTAAGCAGGCATAAATAATAGATGATGAAGAACATTCTCAAAATAGCAAAGTGGTTACTGATCTTTGATACAGAAGTAATACTATTTCTAACGACATATTTAAATTTTCAACTTTTTTCAACTTTCAACTTTATTTTGATCCATATCTGAAGTGAATACAGTTGGACATGTCAAGAAATAATAATGAATACATCACATGTCAAAGTCACATAAATTTACATTGATTTATCACTATAATATAGCAACCATTATAAGGAACATAATGATAAAAAATACAGAAGACCGAAAGGAAAATGTCAGTAATATAAAACATGTAAACACAACATTAAAAATTGCAAACCAAAAGATAATCAACAAGCTAGTCATCAATCCAACATTAGTTGAAAAATTCATGAAGAGAATAGAAAGCACTGCACAACAAATAATTTTTTAGTTTCCATATTAATTAGACCTTTTTTGCAATGATTGGTATTACAATATTGGACATGCAAATTATGTTTATGTATGGTATTGTAGCTGTGAATGTTAGAATACTGAGTTGTATATATCTTATTCTTTACTATAAAACATAAAATCTCAAATATATATAATGAGGTAACAGTTAAAATCTTAAATTCACCAAACATATTTCTACAGGATACTCTATTATTAACACCTTTAATCACTCTTAAGACATTTTTTCTGTATTTTAAATACAGTTTCAGAGTCCTTAAGCCTCCCACCACAAAAAATAATACCATATTTCAATACAGATTCAAACTTAGTAATTTTGACTTAGACCTTTCTTAATACAGGTTGGCTAACTGAGTCACGTAAGGATTTAATCAAAGAGCCTTGTTGAGCTTCTGCCATACGTATTCAGTGCGAGTTGCCAGCTTAGATTTTCAGTAACACAAATATCCCAAAATTTTACATTCGATGAATAAATTATTTCCTTATTATTTAAGTAAAAAAAACAGGTCTCTAGATTGGCGTAGGTCTTCTTCCCTGAAAGAATAATACTTTAGTCTTATCCGTCTTTATTATGAGATGATTTTCATGGAACCAATTTTCTAACTGATTCCTAACATTTAGGATTTTTTCATTTAATGATAAGATATTACTGTCAGTAAGTAGTACATTTGTATCATCAGCAAATAATACGACCTTCACCTCATGAATAGCTAGGGGCAAATAATTTATGAATAAAAATAATAGGGGTCCCAAAACAGAACCTTGATGTATGCCATGTTTTATAGCCTTGAGTGATGAAGTAAATGTCTTTAAGTTAGAGGTCTTTTGGTCCACATGTTGAATTTCAACAAACTGAGTTCTGTCAGTGAGATATGAACTCATCCACGCATGAATTATCCCTCTCAGCTCATACAGCTCCAGTTTCGCAAGCAGTAGATTATGATTAGTAACATCAAAAGCCTTTGATAGATCTAAAAATATGCCCAAGGCAAATAGTTTATTATCTAAAGCTTTCTGAATTTCATTGATAAAAATTTGGATTGCAGTAAAAGTAGATTTATTCTTTCTGAAGCCATTTTGAGCATCCAAGATCAAGTTGAATTTATTTAAAAACTCACAACCCTGTTATACATTAACGTTTCAAGAATTTTAGAAAATACAGGCAGGATTGAAATTGGTCTATAGCTGGAAATTTCTTGTTTCCGTCCTTTTTTAAAAATGGACCAAACTTTAGCGACTTCATTAGGTTTGGAAAGGTACCAGAACTTAATGACAAATTAAATATAAAAGTTAAGGGCTTTTTAATAAACTGTATACATTGTTTAACTATCATTTCCGGAATCTCATCATAGCTCGCAGAAAATTTTCCTTTTAGTTTACTAGTGAGCTTCTGAGCCTCTTCTTCAGTAACTGGTACAAGAAACAATGAATTTGGATTATGTATTATGTTACTGACAGAGACATGATCATAATTATAATCATTTTTTAGATTTATCAATTTATCCACATTATCAACAAAAAAATCATTAAATTGATAAGATATATGCTGGGGATCTGTAACTGATATAGAGCCTATTATTAAAGAAATATTATTATTAGCTTTGTAACAATTTCCTGATTCCTTCTTTATTATTTGCCATAGTGCTTTAGTATGGTTCTTTGACCTCAGAATGATTCAGTCATTTTCTCTTTTTCGAGCATCAGATATCACTTTCTTATAAATTCTCTGATATTTTTTTATGTAATTCAAAGTAGAAACAGAGACATCCTTCTTTTTAACAAACATAATAATTGCAGCCTCTGTCTGTCTGGAGACTTTTATCCCTTGAGTAATCCAGTCTGATTTTTTCCCTTCTTTATTTGAGACGTTTTAAAGGGAAGATTTGCAAAATGTACTTAAGAAATGGAGTTAAAAGGGAACTGTAGGCTCTATTTACATCAGACTGAGAATAAACATCATCCCATTGTTCGGTTTCTAACTGACCATTAAAAATGGCATTACTTCTTTTTGAGAAGTCTTTTTACAATATGTTCCAAAAAAGTGGAAAAGTATGTTCATGACCAAGGCAAAATTGTCAGAGAATCCCAATTCCACAACCTTTGTACTTGAGTGATAGAATATCTTATTCCTGATCATGACATCTATCAAAGAACATGAATTAGAAGTGACTCTAGTCGGACGTGAAACCGTATTTTGTAAATTGTTAGATAACAGTAAACTTAATAAAGCCTCCTGATGGGTATTTTCCTCTAATAGATTGATATTCCAATCATCACACAGCACTAAAAAACGTCCCCTTATTAACCTTATTTACAGCTTCATCTAACAGTTCAAGGAAAGTTTCCTTGTTACTCTGAATGGTTGTAGAGTAACATATAATTCTAACTGGTTTTCAGGACACTGAAAGTAAGGATAATTTTAACATACTCACCACATAGCTTTGTGTAACATGATGATTTCAATTACTGGACCATACCATGAGAAACAACAATATGATTCACATTTCCATAAGTTATATTTTACTATCCTCTCACCTATGCCTTAGCATTTCAAAGAGCCTGTTTAGTCTAGAATTTTAATTTTTTCTTTTGCAAAAAGTTCATTATACTGTCTTCTCTGATCTTTGGGTACATTATTTTGTGTATGTCTGGTATATGTTTGGCCCTTAAAATAGATCTTATTTTAAGACTGCAGCTAGTAAGTTTATGTACATAGGGTGCAATGAGATTTGAAAATCTTAAATTGTAATTTTTATTTTTTCCTGGAAAGTAGGTATAAAGTGACTAGAACAGTAAGAAAGTGATATACAGTAAACTTACAGCATTGTTAGATTGCTAGTCATCCTATCTAAAAGCTGTGGAATGCCATTCTCTGTCTTGCATGATAATGCTATAATGCCATTATAATGCTTAAGGCTGTTTTTCATTCCTGTAACATCGTGTAGTAAGTCAGTTTTATTTAACACAATTATGCACTTCTCAGAGCCACATATTTCATCCACAAAGTTATCTGTTGATCCCTCACTTTTCGAATCCTTGTCTCCAGTTCTTAAAGACATACTTTCAGAATTTTTGTTTTTTCTTATAATGTTGTCTAACTTCAGTTTGTTTATATAGCTGTTGACATAACTGTTGAAGGAAACAAAATTATTTTTGGTCATCTGAGCTTCATATTTTGTTGCATCAATAACCAGAATGACAAGATCAGCTTGTTGAGCATAGGCATGTGCTCTTGATATTCCTTCTTTCTCCACTTCATCACTTGCATCGTTGCGTAACCCAGCAGTATCTGCTATAATTACTGGGTACCCTCCAATATTGGCATGCAGTTCCACTATGTCTCGTGTTGTCCCGGCGATAGGTGTCACAATGGCAGCTGGTCTTTGACCTGAAATAGATAATTACGTTACTTAAGTTAATTAGAATTTGTGGGAATAAAATGAAAACTGCAGCATTTAGAGGATAAGAAGTAACCATATAAGACTCTGCCTAATAATAAACTGATATAGCAGGCATATGAATATAAATATTCAGGAATTCTATGTCCAAATGGATCTTGAAAACAAAAGGCAAACATTTATATGCGTAAGTAAGATAATTTACAGTCAAGTTGGATAGAATACTTTTCAAGGAGTACATATTGAAATTGTACAGATTATTGGTTTAACTAACAGTAATATACAGCACTGATTGATAGCAGGGCAACAAAGAAAGGAGGTACATAAGTAGCAGAAATGAGAACTGTTCAAGACTCGTTAACAAGATACATGAAGAAATTTTCAGAGAACACATGCTGATGAAGACTCAATCTATTCCCTCCAATACTTACATAAAACATTCAGCAAACTGCTCTTTCCAACATTGGGCTCTCCCACAATAACAGTTCTGACCCCATCTCGGAGTCTTTCACCACAACGTCCATCTGCCAAGTGACTCTTTAAAATATGTTGGATTAAAACAAAGACATAACCAAGCAGAGTACATAAAGAGAAGAAATCTAAGGACACGCATGTGTAAGTAAAAGATATTGTGGGGGAAGGGATAAGAGACACCTTAAACCATTACACATCTTAATACATAAATAAATTGTAAAGTCCATTGAGTTTAACTCCTTTATAGTATTGGCTCTACCTTCTGATGATGGCCAGGAGTGGCCAAAACATGTAAAGCCAAAACTCCTGTTAAATTACCTAACACTAGATGAACTTCTACTATTTATTTATGAAGATGGCTTTCCTTTAATGTCAACATTTAAAACTACTATTTCAAAGGGAAAATATCTTGTAGCTTCATTGCATTGTTGACGAGAAAAACAATTGTAATTCCTAGTCTATTACATAAATAAAATCTGGGTTTTAAGATAATCACATGAGTCTGTGACAGCCTTTAATGACTTTCCAGCTAATAAAGTAAAATTCTCTCCAACTCCATGGAGATGAGCCCTTCTTGAGAAACCACCAGCTGTGCAGCCACTTAAAAATGTCCCAACATTTTATAGACCAAAAGGTTCATTACTGTGTTCACAAGGGCCCTCCACTGGTACCTGTCCTGAGCCACATCATCCTCATCCTATCTCTCTTAAGATCCATTTTAATATTATCCGCACACCTATGTCTTGGTCATCCTAGTGGTCTCTTTCCTTCTGGCTTTCCCGCAAAAATCCTGTATCCATTCCTCTTCTCCCCATTTGTGTTACATGTCCTGCCCATCGCATCCTTCTTGACTTGATCATTCTAATTATTCTTGGCAAGAAATCACACTATGATTAAATGATGGAAATACATTTGCATTTCTTCAGACTTAAATGTAGTTGCTGTTACAGTGTTCCTACTTTATAAACATACCTGTATAACATTCTTCAAGTTCATGAGCTTATTTTGCACAATATCCATTGTGTTCTCTTCTATGTTTTCATCTTCACTGAAATCTATAAATGCCTCGACATGTGCCATACACTGAAAATGTACAGAACATCCATCAGCCTGTTGTAAAATAATTACAAATGTTGCTATTGTGACCATATTTTGTTGCATCTTATTATGTAAATCACTGTAGAGAATATTTATTATATTCCTGTCAACACAACACTATTTTCAGCAGATGGGGTTACTATCTAGGGTGACATGTTTTGGCATGTGTGGCGTCTTCAGATCCAGTTTTTAGTTACAATTATATTGTGGCTAAAAACAGAACCCTGGAGATAGCACACGTGTCGAGAATATCCTGCGCAGAAACGTCATGTGCTGAAAATAGTGTTGAGTTGGCAGGAATGTAATAAATATTAAATATTATTTTTGGTATTATTTGTTTTTATGATAGTGGGTAGTTAGCCCCATGTTTACTCCCCAAGCTGAAAGGTCACCCCTTCAGCTGTCCCCCATATACTGGTGTGGAGAGTGCAGAATATGAATATAAAGAACACCTACGTTTATCAGAGTTTCTCTCCAACTGTTGTAGAGATGACTAAGGTTTCCTTCCATCTGAAAAAGAGCCTGTTTTCTCTGAGCCTCCGTTTCTGCATGGATTAAGTCTGCAAGACCCTCTACCTCTGTTAAATCAAGTTTTCCTCCATGAAATGCCCGTCTTGTGAATTCTCCTGCAAATCATTCAAGATCTTTTATTTCATCATATATCTTCAGATAGTGTACTTCCTGTAAGCAGACACATAACTGCTGTGCTAATTTACTTGAGGACTTCAGCTGTCAAATATATCTCAACCATATTACTGTTATTTGCAAATCACAATACAATGTGTTCAAAATTTCATATTTTACAAATGTTCCAGTTAGTATGTTTGTCAGCATCTGAGTCCATAAGCTGTATAGACTGCCAAAGGGTTCCATTCTACACTCTTCACACTGTAAAACCACCCCAGATTTAATCTGAATGCATGTTTTCTTTCAATTACTATGACTGGTAAAGGGAATAATAATACTGCTGTTATTCTAATTACGTGCCTGGTTCAGCTGGTCTATAACCTGCTAATTTTCCCAAGGCCATAAGAACAGCTGAGACCACTGCAGGTCCTCCATGAACCTGCAGCTCACATGAATCCTCACCAGTAAAGCTCTTTGGTCCTGAAAATAATAAATTATAACAATATTTCAAGTACATATGGTGTATGCGGTAGCATAGTTGGCTGAGGCACATTGCTACAAGCCAGAAGGTCGCGGGTTCAAGTCCCAATGAGGTCATTGGATTTTTTCAATTGACCTAATCCTTCCAGCCGCACTATGGTCCTGGGGTTGACTCAGCCTCTAACAGAAATGAGTACCAAAAATATTCTTGGGGGTACAGGACAGCCGGCACGTAGGGCTGACAACCTTGCTGCCATCTATGAGCTGATGGTCTTGAAAATGTGGGAACCTCAACATCTCACAACCCTATGGGCCTCAACGGCCTGTTACAGGGATACCTTTACTTACTTTTACTTACAAGTACATATACATCCTTCTGTAAATGAATTTCATCTGTTCATATTTGTCTGTTCAGATTATGACCTTTTGGATGTAATGCCATGTAGTTTGGGGGAACCTTCTGCCTCCATCTTCAGGGTTTCAATCTTCTACCATGAGGATGAAGGTGTCACATTGCAGAATATTCACTCATTAAATCTCTTTGTCTACCCAGTTATACATCAGAGAAATACAAGAGATTTGCTTACTTACTCATAGAGTTGAACCCTTCTGGAGGAGCTGCCAATTCTGCAGCTACTCAAGAATTTCCCAGCATTTTATGGAACCCAAAGGTTCATTACCTTGTTCACAAGAACCCTCCACTGGTCCCTATCCTGAGCCAGATCAATTCAATCCATAACATCCCATCCTCTCGCTCTTAAGATCCATTTTAATACTGTCCACCCACCTATGCCTTGGCCTTCCCAGAGTAAGTAAAACATTTAAGCAGTGACAGCCTTTTAAAAAAAATAAAAATTTGCAGTGCAAGTTAATGCTATTAAATTGGTACAAAATTTTCTTTGGCATTTCAAGCATGAATAATGCTGTACAAAGATGATTTCTGTTTAACACTGCATTTAAATTTTTGAACTCTACAATTCACAACAAGGCAAACTCTACTTTTATGTATGTCAGGGACAGCTAATTATGCTTAATATCAGTGCTTTGAGATAAGCCAGCGAGCATCAATGGTCAAAGCGACAGTTCAGAGGCCGGCTGTGTACAGGCATGAGCATACTTCTAGCTGGCTGGTCTGAGAATTAACTGGATTCTCTGTATAAAATCATTAAAATGAAATGGCAATTCAGTGGACTGAAATCATTTCCTGTCCTATATTTATAATAACTCTTTTCTCGAATTTGATCTCATGAATTTATACTTTGTGGTCCATATAGTTTGATGTGACACTTCACCAGTGCACCCTACTTTGTCTGGATTTCGAAATTTCAGACCAAGTCTGGCACAGATTCACTTTAAAATGTCATCATCATCATCATCATCACTGGCACGACAGCCCTTTGTGAGCCCTGGCCTTCCTCAGGATTCATTGCCATTCTTCTCTATTTGATGCTACATTCCTCCAGTTCTTTATATCCAAAATTCTTATGTCCTGCCACACACATTCTTCCCATCTTAACCTTGGTCTTCCCACTCTCCTATTTCCTTCTGGTTTAGTATTAAGCATTTTCTTGATGGTTCTATTCTTGCTGGCACATATTATGTGTCCAGCCCATTCAAGCCTTTTCACCTTTATAATTCCAAAAATGTCTGGTTCATTAAATAGTTTGTATAGCTCATGGTTATATCTCTTCCTCCATATTCCATTTTCTTCCACTGGTCCAAAGATATATCTCAAGATCCTCCTTTCAAATATACTTAACAACTTTAAAATGTATTTATTTGAAAATTAAAAAAAACACAAATTTTCTTTGAATTTTAAATTGCTGGGATTCTTCATCTACTCAGACGTTGGGCCCGAATGTCATAACCAGAACCTCTGGACAAAGTTGAGCAGATGTGTGAAAGGACTGAGATACAACATATAGGTACAACTTGCATATATGCTTCTCAGGCTTAAATAGTAATGCTATTGAATTTTAGCTCATATTTCAGAAGTAAATAAATATTCTGGAGGAAAGAATATTTGGAGAGGTAAAATGCAATCAGAAAGACAAGCCTTAAATGAACTGACAGTACACTGGAGTTGCAGATGGAGGAGACAGCTTTCTGATCTGGAGAGTACACTTTGCCTAGAACATTTTTTGAGGACACATCATACCTTGGATATGCAAAACTTACAGAAGAAGAGTCATGTGTATTCAATGAGATCATCAGTATAGCAGTTTTGGTTCCCATCTTATGTTGAAAACAGAATCTAGTGAATTTCTTAATGATAATTTATTGATCTTTGTCACTGTGTGATGATGATACACCCTCAGAAATATTTTAGACAGTAGTTCTGATTGTATTGAATATGTGTGTGGTCACAGAGAACTGACAAGGTGTGAAGCGAATTGTTTTCCAGGTTGGTGACTGGGCAGGAGGCCAACAACTCCACACCACAAAAACTAGCATGTTATGAAATATTACATAGTGCATGAGACAGAGTTGGGTCCAGTGGTGGGGACTTGTACATGGTAGTGGATCTTTTGAGTGCTGAACAACTGTTGAGTTCTCAGGAAGGATTCAGCTCCATGATGTTTAATATAGGATACTGGATCTGAAATTGGTTCAAGTGTTCCACAGTTAATTTTATTATTTAAAATTCCATCTTTTTTCTGTGGCTTTTGTTAATGTTTGGTAGTTGTGTGGCTGCTGTTCACTGTCACATATACTCATTTCTTCACACAGCCATCATCAGGTATATTAATATTTTGTAAAGCTAATTAGAAGATGATATGAATAGTTAAAATCCAAGTGTTATTGCTTGGAAGCTGGAAATTTGTTGTACTTCATTGTATATGTCTGGTTCCTGAATTACAGTTGAGTTGGTGTGTCCTAGTATTTATGTTTTTTTTAGGGGGTCTTCACTGTTGATGGATGAAGTCATCCCTCAACCTGAGCAAAATAAGGTGAAACAATTTACATGATATAATTAATAAACTGGATAATGGCCATGTGAGGTAAATAGATGTTGTGAACATGAGTATAACATGACAGTGAAGAACTTTCACACAACTACCAAAAATTGAGAGTTACAGAGAAAGGCAGTAGTTTAAATAATATATTTAACTAATTACTGCAACAGGATGCTGAAACATAATACTACAAACAGCGGTCCACAGTTGTTTATTACCAAAATTTACTAAAAGTTCAAGTAACTCTGTCATACCAGGAAACCAAAGCACAAGTCCTCTGTCCAAAGTGTCATTTGTAACAGGATCTTTAAGGCTGCGCAGAAGAGCTTGCCGAGGCTGGGGTAACGACGTTAGTTTAGCTATGTTGATAATAGTTTCCTTAGCATTTGGTCCAGATATTCTAATTACAGCAACACCACACTTGCCATATCCTGAAAAATGGAAGACTTAATTTTGCTGCATTGTGCATGGCTTCAAGTACAAGCCAACTTATTTCCCTCGTACATCACCTTTAAAAAAAGGTGTTCGAATCTATGTGGTACCAATGAAAGTGCCAAGTGCTTGGGCTAATGATTGTGTTGTATTAAGTTTGTTTGAGAACATACTACATAGCATAGTAACACTGATAAGGAAGGTGAAATATGTTTAAATTTTTACTAAGAAAATAAATGTATGGTTATCGAATCCAAATTAAGAGTTAGTACAGTAGTGGAGTGTTATTTCTTCCTTAATGTTTTAACTGCTATATATTGTGATACCAGTAAGGAAACCAACCATCCTGGACAAAGGATAGTATTTTGTGTAGATTCTTATATATAGATGTGAGCTGGGATAGCAGTCAGTACAGCAACTGCTTACAGGCTGGAGTTTCAATCCCCATAGGGGCAAGATTTGTCTCCTCTTCATGTTGCCCTGTCCAGTTCTAAGAATTATTAATAATTATATCAAATCTTTTGTTGTGAAGATATATTTGTTATTGTATTATATTTCAGTACAGCAACTGCTTACAGACTGGAGTTTCAATCCCCATAGGGGCAAGATTTGTCTCCTCTCCATGTTGCCCTGTCCAGTTCTAACAATTATTAATAATTATATCAAATCTTTTGTTGTGAAAATATATTTGTTATTGTATTATATTTCTAGGTATTTTCTAAATTTGGTCTATTATTGTTTGACCTTGTTCCAAAAATCAAATGTCTATGTATGTATGCAGTATTATATCAAATAATACCTGAAGAAAGGGCATAGATTGTTGAAGCTTTTGAATATTTTATGGTCTGGTGAAGGCAATTGAAAAACAATGACTTTGCAGCCCCAGAGAAGCACCTTGACGCATTTATCAGTTTTCTTTTGTTCTCAAGAAGTTTACAATAACTCATTTGAATAACTTTTTCAAATGTCATTTTCAAAAAATGCTTAATATTACTTTACATTACGTATTATTGTAGATTCCCCGTCACTTTTTAACCGTTTGCTTGTGCGGAACTATCACTGAACTGAATAATCATATGTAAATGATACTGAACATGCTAATGAAATTATAAAATGCAAATTGAGTATCATTGTTCGTTTTTGCCAACAATGCGTTAGAACTCGTGCTTTCGGCCGACTCCATATTGTCTTCAGTGCTGCCAAAAACAGATCCTCCTACACAGAATACTAATCGATTTTGCATGTCGCAACCACTGATGGGTTGCATCTTTCGGTTGGATAATGGGTACATGGTTGGCTCCACTGCAACTGTTTTGCGTGTTTGATGTTTTTGATGTTTAAAGCTGTTTAATATGGCGACCGAGTCAGGTATGGATACGTGTCCTTCACCTGAAATGTCTGACTCAAGAAAGCGACCGCTGGACGGTGATGCTGAAAATGGAACAACGAAGAGATCACATTACGGAGCAAGTAAGCAAATGTTTGTGTAATATCTTGGTTATGGAATCTCCAAAAACCGACGTAGCATTTTTGGCGTTTCATTGTGTTTCAAGGGATGCTAATGCGGCATAACACCACATAATTACAGCAGTTTTATAAACAAAGTCAGTTGTTTTGCTTCTCACATTGTATTGTATTATGTAGAAAGTATGGCGTTGTTGTCCGGACGTTTTTTCATGTACGATGAAAATCCAAGTGTAATTTCTTTTATTTGTATGATCATTCATAAGATAAACTGTGTAACTGGGTAAAAAAATCTGGTAGCCAGAGAGCACAATTAGGAAACTGGATCATAACTTGGATGAGTGATCAGGGCTTCTGCCGTGGAATGTAACACAAAGAATCGTAGAAAACTCCGTAAAATAAATGTTTAGTTCATGATAGTCCACAATATCTTGTTGTGTTAAAGACATGCAGTTCAAGCTGCTTGTGAGTGGTTGAGGAGTAAGTTGGTTCAGGCGATAAAGTTTCTGACATATTTGGGAGATCCATGGCCAGAATATCGCCTGAGACAGTGCTTAATGCACTGAGGTTCCTCCAAGTTCCTGGATTTATCAGGCAGATTCCAGGACAGATTAGGCCATAAAGACTTCTTCATGATCTCATATTTATTGGTAACCACATGATCATTGACCATTATTGAAAGTTGGAAAGGAAGATAGAATTTTAAATAGTTCTATATAGTCTGAGTCACAGACATTAAGTAAACTGTTCTTGAGTGTTTTCAAAGCTTTTTCATAATCCAAGGAAATGCAGAGAGAGTGCTGTAAAATAAGCTTTTTACCTGTGTAAGATTTGAGGCTTTCACGGCGGTGACTATGACAAAAGCAGTCTTCTGGGATTTGGCATCATGTATATGTGGTGTTAACCGACGTTTCGGAGGAACGTATCGCCTCCATCTTCAGAGTAGAAGAAAAAATATATAAGAAATCTGCAAGCAAAGAGACCGTGAGAACCGGTAAAAGAAGGTGTTTGCTTGCAGATTTCTTATATATTTGTTCTTCTACCCTGAAGATGGAGGCGATACGTTCCTCCGAAACGTCAGTTAACACCACATATACACGGTGCCAAATCCCAGAAGACTGCTTTCTTCAAGCTTTTTACCTATCCTTTGCATACGCAAATCATGATTTGATTTTGCTTACACTATGTGGTTGCTGCAGGTATTTGAATACTTTATAGAGATTTATCTCTGCTGGAATATTGTGAGCAGAAAATTCACCTCAGATATTTACTGAGTAAAAGCTTAATTATTTTTGTTAGTGGTGGAAATTCTGTTGGGTTAGAGTAATTTAGTGTTTCTTGTAAACTGAAGGTTCAGGAGCAGTCCCACAATTCTCCTTCAGAAACAAAGCTTAACACATTTCTAGGTATCCTATAGAAAGGAAAACATCAATATATTTGGTGTTTGTCACGCATCCATGTTAGGTGGGTTCATTGTCACCATGGCATGGTATGTCCTCAGGTTTCAGCTGGAGGGTAGCTGCAATTGTATTGAATAAGCAGTCACAGACAACTGACAGGGGGTAGTCTTCCAGATTGGGGATTGGGTGTGGCACTAACAACTCCTCACCACAAAGAGTAAACTTGTTATGAAATGTCACAAAGGGCCTCAGACTTGAACGGATCCTTTGGATAAATGACCTAAGCTAAGGAAAATGGACATGAGATTTGGTATGAGGGATGTAAGAAGTCTGTATAGGGCAGGTTCACCCATAACAGTGGCAGAAGAAATATCAGAATATAGGGTAGATTTAGTGGAAGTACATGAGGTCAGATGAGACAGAGGTGGCACCGAACCAGCAGGTGAATTATACATTTTTATATGGAAAGAGGAATGAGAATCATGAATGAGGTACAGGTTTTTTTGTACATAAGTGAATCATATCAGTAGTTAAGAAAGTAAGAGTTTGTTAGTGATAGAATGTCTTACGTAATATGAAAATGTCACTGGTGTGATATTGCTCTGAATGTTCATGCCCCAACAATGGCCGTGAATGAGAGTTTGCATAAAGTTAGTAATAATATAGTCAGAGTAGTAAACTTTGCCACATCTGAAAATCTGATTGTTAAAAGTACAATGTTTCCGCGTCGTAACATTCATAAATTTACTTGGACATCTTCTGATGGAAAGACTCACAACGAAATTGACTATATTTTGATATGTAGGAGATGGCATTCAAATGTTTTTTATGTCCAATTATTCAGGGCAGCAGATTGTAATACTGACAAAAGTTAGGGAGTAACTGACAGTGAGTAAACAGAGTGCACAGATTTCATATGGAGGTGTTCATTCTGAAGGAATTAAATGATAAAGTGTAAGGAGCATTGTCGTGTTGAAATCGCAAATAGGTTTGAATATTAGGAAAACTTAGACACTGAGGTGGATATTACTAGAGCTTGGGCAACTCTTAGAATGTAAAAATTTCAGCCGAGGAGAGTCTGGGTTCTTACGAATTGAAGAAACATAAGCTGTGGTTTGATGAAGGATGCTCAGAGTTATTAGACCAAGGGAAATAAATGGGGATACTCTGAACAGTATAAGATTTGATGCCAGCAGGCATTTCAGGAATAAAATGAGGGAATATCTGAAAGACAGAATTGATGAGCTTGCAATGAACAGTAAGAACAAGAACATTAGAGACCTGTATATACGAATGAGGGGTTACCCCTGGAAGTAACTTAGTGAAGGATGAGAATGGTGATCTGCGTGCAGATTCCCACAACATTTTGGATAGGTGGAGGAACTACTTCTTTCAGTTATTGAATGTACATAGGGTCGGTGATGTTAGGCAGATAGAAGTACATAACAGCTGAGCCATTAGTACCTGATCCTAGCCATTTTGAAGTTGAAATTGCAACTGCGAATTTTGGAAAAGTTTGGACTGCCAGGTAGTGATTATATTCTGGTAGAACCGATTCAAGGAGGAGCTGAAATATGTTCTAAGAGCCATAAGCTAATTAATTCAGTTTGGAATAAGGAAGAATTGCCTGGTCAGTGGAAAGAGTCTATTATTTCGCCAGTTCATAAGAAGGGTGATAAAATTGACTGTAGTAATTGTCAGGGGATATCACTGCTATCAACTTCATACAAAATTTTATCCAGTATTTTTCTCTCAAGGTTAAGTCCATACATAGATGAAATTATTGAGAATTATCTATGTGAGGTTTTGACATAACAGATCAGTAGTGATCAGATCTTTTGCCTTTGTCAGATACTGGATTAAAAATGGGAGTACAATAAGACAGTACATCAGCTATTCATAGACTTCAAGAAAGCCTGTGATTCAGTTAGGATTGAAATATTGTACATTATTCTCATAGCGTTAGGGATACCTATGAAACTAGTTAGGCTGATTAAAATGAGTTTAAACAAAACATATAGTAAAGTCCATATAGGTAAACATTTGTCTGATAATTTTCCTATTCAAAATGGTCTAAAACAAGGAGATGCTCTATTGCCACTGCTTTAAAACTTTGCTTTAGAATATGCCATTAGGAAGGTTCAGGGAAACCAGATTGGACTGAAATTACATGGGACACATCAACTGCTGATCTGTTCTAATGGTATGAATCTACTGGGAGGTAATATGGATACTGTAAAGGTAAACACAGAAACTTTATTCGATGATAGTAAGGAGGTTGGTCCAGAAGTAAACACAGAGAAACTAGGTATATGTTGCTGTCTTGTCACCAGAATGAAGGCAAATTTATGACATAATGATAGCTAACAGATCCTTTGAAAATGTGGCACAGTTCAGATAATTGGAAATTACAGTAACAAATTAAAATTTGATCTAGGAGGAAATTAAGAGGAGATTGAATTCAGGCAATGTTTGCTACCATTCAATCCAAAACCTTTTGTCTTCTCACCTGCTGTCTATAAACATAAAAATTAGAGTATACAGAACTATAATTTAGCCAGTGGTTCTGTATGGATGTGAAAATTGGTCTCTGACATTAAGGCAGGAAAATAGACTGAGGGTGTTTGAGATCAGGGTGCTGAGGAGAATATTTTGACCGTATAGACTGAGGGTGTTTCAGAACAGGGTGTTGAGGAGAATATTTGGACTGTAGAGAAATGAAGTGACAGGAGGTTGGAGAAAACTGTATAGTGAATAGCTTCATAACTTGTGTTCTTTGCCAAGTATAATTAGAATGATCAAGTCAACATGGATGAGATGGGGAGGGCAAGTAGCATGATAGGGAGAGGAGAGAAATGCATGTAGGATATTGGTGGGAAAGCCAGAAGGAAAGAGACCACTAGGAAGACCAGGAGAAATGTGGGTGGAGAATATTAAAATGGATCTTAGAGAGATAGGATGGGATGGGATGGTATGAACTGGATTGATGTGGCTCAGGATAGTAACCAGTGGAGAGACGCGCAACTGATGGCTTATCAGGAAGAGCTCACCTTCATGAAGTTGGTTTGTTTGTCAAGCATTATGTGTGTGCAAGAAGTCTAAAGAATATGTGCAGTAATTATTTGGGGTGTAAGTGTAGTTACTAGGTCAAGTCAAACATTAATTTTCCCAAGCCATTACAAATTCCTCATTATTTGCATATCCCATGTTTTTATTTTAATGTCATGAAAGATTTCTGTTGAGGGGAACATACGAGTCTTTGAATAATTTTTTGTAGTGCCTGATGAAAGCTGTGCCGCATTATATTACTTCTGTCGTCTAGTGGTCAGAGTTCCAGGCTACAGATCCAGAGGTGCCAGGTTCGATTCTTGGTGCTACCACATTTTCTGAAAAGTAGTGGGTCTGGAACGGGGTCCACTCAACTCCGTGAGGATTAATTGAAGAGCTACTTGAATGGAAAAGTAGTGGCTCTGGTCTAGAAAACCGAGATTAATGGCCATGGGAATCCATTGTGCTGATCACGCAACACCCTCTATCTGCTAAAGTTGGCACTAACTTCACCGACAAGTGGCTATCAGTCGGTCGGTATAGTTCACTTGCAGACTAAAGACCATGGAGTTTGTCATGAGGAGTATTAGTGACCTATCCATGGCTACAGTTGTGCAGTCAGATTTATAACCTGCCTCATTTTTTTACAAAGTCATGCAATTTTCATCTCCAACTTTTGAAGATTTCATTCTACATGTTTCCATTCTGTGTATTTTCAGTATGAGCAGTGATTTTGAGGAACTCAGCCACTATGTGTAATTAGTGACCTGTATTGAATTCTAACCTGATTAACCAAAACAAAAAAAGAAAAGAATGTGAACAGACAATTTTTTGTTTCATGCATCCACTGTATGCACATTGCACTAGAATCACATAATAAACTAAGAACAAAATTATTGTTAGAGAATTCAGTAGAGGCAAGTGCCAGATATTCAAAACATTTGTGTAATAAAGTATTCAAGTTGATATTTAATAACTCTCCTGTTTTGCCCTAAAAATCGTCTTCTCTAGATAAATATTTAATGTGTGCCTAAGTATACATATAATAGTTTCGACCATTAAAAAGTGTCTGAAAAGTGGCATAATTTGTTATATTCATTATTTTCTAGGTGGAGATGGATCTTACCATTTCAAGATTCTTGTCCCAAGTGTAGCAGCAGGAGCAATCATTGGAAAAGGGGGTGAGACCATAGCACAACTACAGAATGATACAGGGGCACGAATAAAAATGTCTAAGGCCAATGACTTTTATCCAGGTACTTGAAATTTTATAATATTCTATTCTGGTATGTAATAGTGTTGAAAGTGTTGGCCAATTTTGGCATGTAACTCAGGTTCGTTTCCAGGGACTTCGGAGAGGATCTGTCTGATAACTGGGAATCTTGAGTCCATAATGAAAGTTGTCAAATTTATTATGGACAAAATCAGAGACAGACCAGATACCCCTTATGACAGGTCTGCAGCTGAAGATGTACAGGTACCATTTTGTTATTAAATGAGGTTCTCACAGCTTTGAATGTTAAAGAGTATAGTCTTCTGGAATGTGATGCCATGCAGTCTGGTGTGCAGGTACCAGTGTTCTGGAGTAACTATCAGTACGACCCTGAAGATGAAGGAAGCATATTTCCAAAATGTTGATATTTGTCTGCCATATATGGTGTCATCCCAGAAGGCTGTGGTCTTCTTATTTTCTTGCTTGTAATTAATTTTCTTTCTTTTCTCTTGTATTTTCTTATAAATCTTTGGCATGAGAGCAAGGAATTTGGGAGGTCATGTTTTGCCAATTGAACTGAGTCATTGAGAAAGTTCCTTTACCATATCCAGTATATATGATATTCATAAAGCATAAGAATTTGAGAAACATGCAACAGACTGTAGTTTCAGATAAGTAGGATGGTTATAGCTTGCTTCAAGGTTGTCATTTCCTACATATCTGCAGAAAATACAGTTTTTTTTCTTGATTTGTGTTCTCAGATTAAAATTCTAGTTCCAAACAGCACAGCAGGAATGGTCATTGGTAAGGGAGGAAATTACATAAAACAGATAAAGGAAGACAGTGGTTCATATGTTCAGTTATCCCAGAAAGCTAAAGATCAGATTCTACAAGAAAGATGCATCACAGTTATTGGTAAGTTAAAGTATTTATTATTCACAGCAGGTTCTCATTTCTATGCTCTAGCAGAATTTTCATCTTCAGAGAGGCTGTGTACGGTTTACCTTTCAATTCAAATAACAAGGAAGTATTAAATGTTACCAGACATATATGAGTCAACCCCAGACTTGTGTTTGGACACATTTACATTACTTTTTATTTTATTTTACAGGTGATCATGAAAGTAATGCAAAAGCTTGCGAAATGATACTTAGCAAAATTGTTGAAGATCCACTTAGTGGTAGCTGCCTAAATGTGAGTTATGCTCATGCCCTTGGCCCTGTAGCCAATAACTGTCCAACAGGATCGCCATTTGCCAACTTGGGCGGACAGAGAACACCTGCAGGCAGCTTTGGTTCAACAGCTAGTCTTAACTCATCAGTCACAGGGAGTATGTATAACCTATTGGTACTCCTGTCACCATTGTGTGCACAGTTGGTAGTTCTGTGAAGTACTGGTACAGAAAGTTTCTGGGAATAATTATAATGACATTTTGGTATGATTACTACTATTTGCTGTGGCACCGCCATTCTTTCTCTAAAACTTTTTATTATCTTTAAATCTCTTTTGGAAATCTGGTTTTACACCTGATTAATGGAAAGAAGTCATATTTCCAGTATTTAAAAAATGACAACAATACTGCTTTAACTACAGATGCATAAGCCTACCAAACTATAAAATATATGCTAAAATACTATCAAACAGGATAAATAAAATAGCACAGCTGACTTTAATAGAAAAGCAGAATGTTTTTCGAAAGTGCTGATTTTGTGCAGAATGTGTCTTCACAATGACACAAATAACAGGCCAAAGGATATATAAAAGACTACAATATGGTACACACAAACATGTTATGGGAGATACTTAAATTGAAAGTCTTCTCGCAACATCCCATATGCATAATCTTTCTTCTTTGTCATGACATCTTTCACAGGTGGCACTATTTGTGGGTCTTAATTTGAACAGATGTACTGTAAATAGTCCTGTTATGTGTTTCAGCTTGTTCCCATTAATTTTCCTAATTGTTTAGCAGAGGGTACTTTAAGGAAACCCTTGTCATGTTTTTTTTTTTTCCTCCAATGTGGACTGCTAGTATTCCTAGTGTTTTCTGTTTATCCAGTGCCTGATGACCCGTTTAGCAACTTTCTGGAATGGCACAGGCTATTTCTTTATTATGTCTTATGTCATAGCAGCCATACCAGTTGAATCATTTGGAGGATGAGTTTATTCAGGCTTAATGTTTGGTATTCACACATCTCTGTTTATAATTCACATTTCATTTGCATGTAATGTATTGGACAAAGTCACAAGTGACATCCCCACATTGTACTGTACCTGCACTACATTCCTCATTTTATACAGTAATTAGGCACCAATTCTAATGGTCCTGCCATTGTCTTATATTGTCATGTTTAGTAATTAAAATAGTATAATGGTGCTTTGTGCATTTTGGTGAAACAGCTTTGAAACACTGAATAAGACGTATCTTTTCACCTGACAGACCATATACTATTTGTATATGCACAACTATATTCTTTCCAAGTTGACCCATTTGCATACAAAGTTATGCAGAATAGTTGATAATTGCTGGCATGAATTCTGTTATAAAATTCAGCGTGTAAGTCAAATGTATATAATTATTCAGTATTTCTTATTTGCTTACAATGTGAAAAGCAGATCCACATTTTAATCAGCTGAATTTCTGTCTTTAAAGGTTTTGCTGTAAGTACACTTGTGGTTAATCCTTTTTGGTCCAGCACTGACCAACCTGTAATACTTAGGACATGAACTATGTCTGTTCACTTTTTGTGTAAGAATGGTTATGAAGACTAAGCGTTAATTACTGAAATAGTTTGATTTTAACATGGAAGTGGTTAATTGCTTTATAATATGATAAGCCTTCATACTGTGCCTGTGTTAAATTTGATACAGTATAATGTTCACTTTCTGCTTATAGGTGGAATGCTTCTTAATGGAGGGGGTTCTGGTTTGAACCTCAGTTTGAATTTGGGTAACCCAGCTGGTGGTCTGGCAAGTGCAACACTTACTGCACAACTCCTGGAACATATTAAAGTGACACTACGTGGAAGTGGTTATTCCGAACAAGCCACAGCTGAAATTACAGCAGCAATGAGAACCTTGGCACAGTATGGCATCCTTGGAATGGGTCTGGGATTAACTGGAGGTGCAAGTTCTCATCCATTGGGTGGTCGAGGACTGCATGCAGCTAATGGTATAGGAAACAGCAGTGTGTTTGGTCCAATAGGTTCAGTATCTGGAGGATCATCCTTGGATTCTTTCAATTTGGGTGGAAGCCAGTCTCTTTGCAAGAGTCCTACTCCATCAGATTCCAAAGATGATGAGAAGAAAATAGATCTGGAAATTCCAGAGAACATTGTTGGGGCTATCTTAGGTCCTGGTGGCAGGTCACTGGTAGAAATACAACATCTCAGTGGAGCTAACATCCAGATATCCAAGAAGGGAACATTTGCTCCAGGCACCAACAATCGCATCGTCTCTATAGCTGGCTCATCTAATGCCATTGCAACGGCACAGTATCTGATTGAACAACGTATTGGTGAGGAGGAAGCCAAACGAGCAAGACACAATTCTTTGAACATCATGCAGTGAAAGAGTAACTAATACCATATGTGCATTTATTTTTATTTTCTTTGATTTTAAGTATGTTGTTTTACAGAGTGCAAATGATTAGCCTTAAGATTTGCAATAAATTATCATCACACATGTCACAAATCAGTTCATTAATAGCAGAAATATCCACATCCTGCTTGCAAAATCTAATTCCATGATAAATATTTTTCGGTTGAAATTTGCCATTAGAGTCAGATATTTTTTGTTTCTGTTCCATGGAGCTTATGCTTCTGTCACTCATCATTCTTATTCTGTCTCTCTTCTTTATTGTTACACATAATTGTCGATACTAATTAAATGAACTTTGTGATGAAAACTATTACTCTTCGCTCACTGTTAGTGTGATAGAATTTCTGACACGGTATACTGCATCACATCACATGTGTGACGAGCTCTTCTGAAGTGTCTGCAACTGATCATTTGTCCTCATATTGCTACACTCATCATCAATATTACTGAGTTAAATTTAGAGCCCAAAAGATGTATAATTTAAGATTATCTGCATATGTATTTACAAATGTTGAAACAGTTTCATCTAATTAAATTGTCTTTGATGTACTGGGACATAATATGTAAGGTCATGTTTCATGCTACATGTACTAGTCTAATTTGTTAATGTTCATCGTCTACTTCCCACATTCTGTTTCATGTGTTTACAATCATATATATATATAGAAACCTATTCAGAACATGTGGGTTTGGTAAGTGATCTTGTCATCTACAATAAATTACCTTGGCAAGTTGCACTGTAAAAGGTGCACAGAACCCAGGGATCATTTCACGGTACTTAATGCTGTGTTTTTAATTCTCTCCATCTTAATATCCATATCTGGTTCCTTCACCTCATTCCATCATACTTCACAGTTTCTTGATCATCCATACGACATAAACGCATTTACTTTTTTTCATAGCATTGGTGTCATTTCTCATGGCAAGTTTTGTTGAAAATGAAATAACTGGCAAGGAAGTTCATATTATTTTTAATATTTTCATCTCATAACCAAGAAGTTTGATTTCGCATACGTAATCATTGTACAAGAAGCAAGAGGGATGTGATTTCTGTAGTTCTTTGAGCAGTCCATGTACACAGGTTTGTGTCAGTTCACACAATATATGCCTTCATATATTCATTCATTAAAATTGATTATATATAAGTGGTTTTAATTATACAATTTTAAAGTAAGTTTCCCTTATATTTGCTTGATTGTTAGTGATGTCACTGGCAGTTATAAAGTAAATGGAAATATACTTTATTTATAACTACTAAAATATCAAATTCTTTGCAGAGTTTGCTGTTATGATTGTTAGATGTCTTTTATACCACAGTTATATACAGTATGCATGCAGTGGTACTTATTTTATAATTTTGTGCATATACACTTGATGAAGTGAGTTTGCAGCACAAAGTTTAATGAAATCTGAATTATTGAATCCGTAAATCTGGTTACCCTTTTCAGTAGTCAAGCTAATAAATTGAAGAGATGAAAAGTTGGAACTGAAATTATAAAGCTAAATCTTATAGAGAATCTTGTTATGATTTTGTCCGTAATCCAGAAAAGCAAATTACAGAAAAATTGTACCCCAATGGAGTACTCATTTTTCTAAATGTGTTCAAAATGGTGTTCAGTGGGCAACACACAAGGTTGAATTACACTCGTTACTTCAGTAGAGACATCCAAAGGAATAAAAACATTTCTCCACATGATGACAGAACGGTTAGTACTTTTCCATTTCCCATGGAATAGAAACAAGGGCTTAGTGTCTGTGCTCATTGGCACATTGCAGCTTTCATCTAGTCATCACATCAAGAAGTATTTTCCTTTGAAGTGCATTCTTAGGTGCTCAAAGAGGAGAGAGTCACTACGTGTCACATGTCCGTTGTATGGTGGACGGGCACGATGTTCCCTGCAAAACTGTTCTAGGAGTTGCATTATGACACGCTGTATGGGATGGGTGTTGTAATGGAGAATTATCATTTTCTGTTCCGAGATAGCTAGGACACTTCAATCACATGCTTCAGTGTTTTGCTTTACTCGTGGCCCATGGTCAAGTGGAGGAGAATGTCCTGTGTATTCCAGAATTCTTAATGACTGCTTCAAGGCTAGAGTTCTTCAGTTGCGTCCCCACTGACAGTGAACCATGAACTCATCACTTCACCCCAACATTAAAAGTAGCACTGATAGAGTAGAAATATGATATTTCCTGCAAAAGAAGTTCTGAACATTACAGTGTGCAAGGAGTGTGTTAATGCCATTTTGGGACTTAAGGTATTCTCCTTTTCTTCCTGGTGTACTGGGCAACTTTGAATACAGACTGCTACTGCAAGTAAAATGCTGTGGCTTGCCAAAAGAGAAGGTGATCATTCAACCCGATAGTGTTTTCTCCCACACAGTTCATATTCTGGATTCTTTCATTACCCATTCCACCTCTTCTTTGTACCATTGAGGAAGTATTTTGAAGGAAAATACTTCTGATGTGAAGATGAGACAGAAGCCAGTAAGTATTGATTCAAAATTCTCAGGTATCAGGCAGCCAGACGCTTTGATTTCTAATGCAACCTGCAGTAATTTCAAAGAAAATGTGTCATTTTTATAAAGTTACATCAAAAACAAAATTGCAGTGCCCATCACCTGCCATGTGATATCATCTCATTGCAGTATATCAAAACGTTTCATCCATCAAGTTTTCATCTAGGAAGACGCCCATGCAAGAACTAAACAGAAAACGTGCAGCTTCATATTGGGCTTCTGAAGGAGTTTTTTTTCATGCCACTAACACACCACCATTCCACATGTATGGCAAATAACCAGGAACTTTCTATAATAGTAAAAGGTAAAGTTTTCCCTGTGCTTAAGAAATTAAGCACTACACCATGAAGGCATATAGGGGAGTGGGTGTGTAGATCCACATTTTCTTGACTTCAACACTAGTTAGAGGTGAGTTGTCAGCTTCACACCCCAGCCGCTTTACCCCCAGGGAAAGAACCCGCAGTACACATTTGATAGGAGGTTGGGTGGACCCCAGAGCCTGGTCATCCATCCCATAGCTAGTTGCTATCCCGGCTCACTTTCTATAATAGTTATGACTGAAATATTCTTCTGAATGGATATACATTCATATTATGTTTGCAGTTTCTCTTAAACATTTTAAATGCTATTGAAAAATCAAAATTCCACATTTTCAAAGATGTATCTGTTGTAAGATTTGAGGCTTTCATGGCGGTGACTATGAAGAAAGCAGTCTTCTGGGATTTGGCACCGTGTATATGTGGTGTTAACCGACGTTTCGGAGGAACGTATCGCCTCCATCTTCAGGGTAGAAGAAAAAATAAATCTGCAAGCGAAGAGACTGTGAGAACCAGTAAAAGCAGAGCAGACAGTCTGCTTTTACCGGTTCTCATGGTCTCTTCGCCTGCAGATTTCTTATTTTTTCTTCTACCCTTAAGATGGAGGCGATACGTTCCTCCGAAACGTCGGTTAACGCCACATATACACGGTGCCAAATCCCAGAAGACTGCTTTCTTCATGTATCTGTTGGTTTGCCTATGTAAGATATAGTGTATTCTCTTTCAAGTGTGAACACTTGGAAATTAGGAATAGTTTTGAGAAGTTCTTTGATGCAGTCTTGTGTTCTTGTTGTCATCTGATTTGGCAGGCATTACTAATCAATGCACAGTAAATCATCCACATTGTAATGTCATAATATGAAGTGAGTCCTGGTTATGCATGCATCAATTTTGTCTACACAATCATGAAAATATATATAAACCAGAAAAAGTTAAATTTATTGTTTTGTCACTGTTTTGTTACAGACATGTGCATTTTAAACTTGACTAGGAAATTTTTATTATTCTCTAAGTTTATACAAATAGGAAGACTTTATATTTAACCATGTATTTTCACTATTAAATTTGAACATTGTCCGGCAGTAACATTGTTCTCATCTTTTCAGGGTGTGGTGATATTACTGCAACTTTGTCTTGGAACAAGCCGTGGAGGATGTAGCCTTCCTTTATTCATTCAAGATGTAATACTCTGTATACTACAGCAGTGAACACCAGGCACTCAGGAGGTTCATATTTTCTCTGTTACATTTAGCATAAAGTCTTCTGTGTCTTGAATTAGTATGCATCGAATAGGAGTTTTCTCCATAATAGCTTTCCAACATCTCTCTACCAAGGTTAAGATTATGTCAGGCTTTACTTTCATATGCAGTTTCATGGTATGCTGACTGAATGAGCTGACATAGTGGTAATGCTCTTAACTCATATTTTGAAGGTGCTTAATTCAAATATCAGCTGGAAATGCAGCTATCATCATTTAGGTTTTTCATGCCTTTCCTTAGACCATCCAGGCAAATGTCAGAATAGTATCCTGATAGGGCCACTTCTGCTATTTTCCATATATTTTCAATTATTCATTCTACCAGCCTGTGCTATGTAGTCCTGCCACTGACAGTGTTGTAAAGAAACCTACAAAAGAAGTCCATGCTATGATGCTTATGCACAAAAGAAAAATTCACTATTTTTTTTCTAAAATATCTTTGAGGGTACATCATACCTGGAGTCTGTAACCTTAACAAAGAAACGCGTGCAGTAAGATCTCAGGTATGGTAGCCTGGTTCCCATCATATGTTGAAAATAGAATCTAGTAACTTGCTAATCATTTAATGAATTGCATCACTATTTGCTGATAAAACACAATCGGATGTTTTAAACTAATTTAAATAATTCGCTTAATGGTGGGTGGAGTCCACTTGGCGGCCACTGATTGGCCTATTGTAGCCTGCTCCAGGTGATTATGATGATGGAGAATTTGGTGGAATGAAGATTGGCAGGGGAAACCAAAGTTCTCTGAGAAAACCTGCCCCAGCACCACTTTGTCCACCACAAATTCCACTTGACCAGACCCAGGATCGAACCCGGGCCGCCATGGTGGGAAGCTAGCGACTAACCGCTTGAGCTATGGCGCAGCCATGTTTTAAACTAACTTCATGGGGCCGAGCCCTTCTTGAAGGACTGCCAGTTCTGCAGCTGCTCAAGAACTTCACAACATTTTATGGAACCTCTAAAGGTTCATTATAGTGTTCACAAAATCCTCCATATTCTGAGCCAGATCAGTCAGTTCCATACCACTCCATCCTATCTCTCTAAGAACCATTTTAATATTGTCCACACACGTACATCTTGGTCTATCTGGTGGTATCTTTCCTTCTGGTTTTCCCACCAATATCCCATATGCATTCCTGCCTTACCCCTTTTGTGTTACATACCCAGCCCATCTTATCCTCCTTGACTTCATCATTCTAATTATACTTGGCAAAGAGTACAAGTTATGAAGTTTCTCATTATGCAGTTTTCTCCAACCTTCTGTCACTTCATCTCTCTTCACTCTAAATATTCTCAAGCACCCTCAGTCTGTGTTCCTCCCTTGATTTCAGAGACAGTGTTTGAGGCCCATACAGATCACTGGTGAAGTTATAGTTTTCTATATTCTAATTTCTACATTTATAGACAGCAGATAAGAAGGCGAAAGGTTCTGGACTTAATGGTAGTAAGCATTACCTGAATCAAATATTGATTTGTTACTGTTGTTTCCAGGTGCCACATTAGATATTTTAAACATAATTTTATAATTCTAGTCAATTTGTTAAATAGTTTTTCTCTAATGTGTGACACTCCCAGTGGCAAGTGAACTGTGGCAATTGTTGTAAACAGATGTTAAAATTTCTACTGGTAGTAACTTGAATCTTTCACTTCTAATGAACTTTAATTCTGGCAAATGAAAAAATTTGTTGTGATAATGCATTTTGAGACAAATTCAGTCATGTCAAATTATTGTGCACTTAAGAGAGGTTTAGGCATTTGTTCTCGAATTGATACCATTTCTCATCATGGATGTGAATACATGACTTAGTTTAAGCTATCTCACAGTAAGGTCAGAGGATGACCTTGTATCCATGATAATAAACCTTGTTTTATAAGAAGGAGTTTCACAATTTTATGATTAGATGAAGTTTTTATGCCATGGTGTAAGAATTGGTTAGTAAAAGAGAAATAGATTGATTACCAACTTTATATCTATGGCTGTAATTAAATAGGCACTGATACTATAGATTTGATCACATCTTGTATTTCATGACATTTTTCACTTTGCCAGTTTTCCATTATAAAACATAAACTTGCCTTAAAAATGTGGTTGTGTCGAAGTTTGTCTTCAGAACTTGAATGAATGAAATAAAATTTTAAGAATTGTCAAAACCTATGGCATTCACAGAATATGGAATCCAAGTGAAGTGGTTGTTCCAGCAACTTTTATAAGGGGAGATATAAGTCAATATTATATTTAAGCATCCTGTTGCACTCTACACGATAAATGNAGATTTAAGTCACTCGTTTTTCCAGGCATTGCAGTGTATCTTGTAATAATCATGCTTGAACCAATTTAATTTTAACATTGTTTTTTTTTTATTTAGATGTTCGCTTATTTCTATTATTGTGTTTATTTATTTTTGTGGTAAGATTAACTATTTCTAGATTGAAAAACTGCAACACTTGAGTGATGCAAATTTAAATCTTACAAGCAAGCTATCAGTCTGACATTAAAATATATTCTTATCATGGAAATTATTTGCAGGTAAACACTACATGGAACAGATGTTGTAAATGTGGTGTTGAATCTGTGCAGTGACATTGCCAAAAGCATTCACTGAAAACATACAGCTTGATCTTAACTGTTAAGAATCATAACTTATATAAACACCATGAAAGGAGCACTTGCAGGCTGGATTAGTGTTGATTGTCTAGCTACAAATGATGAGCAGATAGATGTGGAAACTTCAAGAGAAAATGAAGGTAGAAGATCAGGAATTACACGATCATGAAGATGGCCCCACACAGCAGATATGTTTTGTATGTGTTATCTGGTCTTCTGGGATAGTACTTGTACCTAATCTGTTGTCATTTTAAGTTGTCAGTGTTGGAGAGGAAATGTATCAGGTTTTGAAGTTAAGGCTGGTAATAACTGTCATAGGTTGTAAATATGGGATAAACTTCTATATGTGATGTACATCTGTGAGTGTGGGATGTAAGTGATTATGTGCAGAGTAAGAAATAATTGTAACACATTAAATTAATTTTGAATGAATGAATGTATAAGGGGTGGGACTTCTTGGTCCTTGCACTGCAACCACAGTGATCTATTGTGCCTCCCCTTCTGATTATCTCCACAGCAATCCTGCACTTTGAATGAAGCACAGGTTTTTGTGTGTGGGGGCTTTGAAATAGTCACTTGGTTCCATAAAATATTGACCCAAGTGACGAAATCTTAATTAATTTTAATCTTTCCATTTACTTGATATTCAAGTGTATGTAGTACAAATAATAATAAAATGTTTACAGTATTTATAGTATTTGTCTTTTTATACTTTGTGAATTTATGCACATGTCATGTACATGTTAATTCCACTTATTAAGGCTTATTAGATTTTCTGAGAGCAGATGGAACACAGACGAAGACACTGCAAAAATGTTATTTCTGTAATTTGTTGATGCAAGAGTCTCATGTATGAATGTGTTTTAAGATAAGCAGAAGAGTAGTGTTTGTATTCACATTACCACAGTGTGAATCATGTGGTTATCCCACACCAAGAGACTGCTTTCACAGTAACACGTTTTCACGTCAGTGTAAACTTGTCTCCGATGGCAGTGAAACAGACACAATGCTGCAATTGCTTTCATCTGGGTGACCAGTGGTTGTTGCTGCTGGTTTCCTGCTATGTGATGTGTCAGCATTTTCTGGAATTTCATAATCGCATAAAAGCCAGCTGGCTCACTTCTTGAACATGGGCAGTGGTGCCATTGTGAGCCTACATTAATTGTCTGTAATCTTTGAAATAGTAAACCATTTGCAAACAGAGCTTGGCCCATGGGCTTGTTCCCATAGGTACCCCTGGTCTTGTAAGTTTTGTGAGAATGTGTTTCACATTTATATGCAAAATATAATGTCTGCATGCTCTTCAGATTGTGATATACAAATTGATTGTGTGTTTGCCATAATAATTCTCTTTACATGCTTCTCTTGTGTATCTGCACCTGCCCAGATGAGAAGGCTCATAAAGATACTGAATCGTTTGGCATCTCCTGAAAAAGTTCTATGTTATGGCCTAAAGTCCAGGAAGTCGAACACAAAATACAAATTATAATATAATATTCAATGTTCACTCAATATCTAAACATGTTTTTATTTGTTATCAAACTTACAATATATGACCAAAATGTCTCTGACTTATGGGCACAAACCTATGGATTTTATATATATTTTTTTGAAGGTGAAGCATGTAGTGGATTGCTTGTTACCATATGGGATGTAGACTCTGTAGAAAGGATGGCTGACTATAGTCACATGCATTGTGTAAAGTGTACAATGAAATTTTGTTTTTTTATTTCTCATGGGTGATAGGAAGAAAGTAAGTAAAACTCTTATGGACAATAACTCGGAGTACTGGTCCTGAAATACGAATGCCTTGACCGTCATCATTAACATTAAATTTGTATAGTGTTCCAACAGGTGGCAGTGTCACGCATAGGATGCTTTGATGATTTCATAAGTTAAGGAAAGAAACATGATTTTAGGAGAGACAAATTTGGTGATGGAAGAGGTTGACCTTTTAAAAAACTACTTGTTGAAGAATATGACTAGTCATAAAGGAATAGCTGTGTGAATATTATTTCAGGTTGAAATGACTACTGCAAAGAAGTGCATAGAAGTTTCTGATGATGGATTTGCATGACAAACCATGTGGTAGAATTATTAGCCTCACTTTTGCACAAGGAAGTAATAGGTAATTGAATTAGCAGTACTGGTCTTATAAATAAAAAGTAAGCATAAACTTTCAAAACAGACAAGTTGTAAGAAATTTGTTATACTGAAAGGTGTGAGTAGAATGGTTTAGTTTATTAGTTTTAGGGGAAAATAGGTGTTAGGAGGATGTGGATTAGATAGACGCTTCCTGAATTCTGAATGGTAAGAGAGTTGATGAATTGCTTCATGTCTGTAAGGGTTAGGACACACACAAGTACTACTACTATCAGATCTGATTCTTGGAAAACATGCAACTAAAAAATGACGTGACTGGAGCTGAGGCCGCAAAATCAATTTAGTGAATAGGCTATAGACTACAGGGGGGGGAATGGGTCTGATTTCCAGCAGGGACAGAGACTTTATCTTTGCTCATGTATCCATAGTGGCTGGGGCAATCCAGCCACCTATCCAATTGGAATTGATATACTGAAGGACATAGTATGATACTCATCACTTTCCTGCATGAAGGATGTAGTGTGATAGCACTTCCGTACAAGATTTTACAGGACTACCCAGAAAAGGAAAATATTTAGGTAAAGAATTTTGCCATTTCAGCATAACATGAAGTGCAGTAACAAGAAAAATTAAAATTGATCAATGGATATATGATGGAATGTACCTATATCTTTCCTACACCAAATTACCCATCATTCTAAAATTGACAGGGCTTTGGAAGGTAATATGGGGTGATAGAATAGTGTGATAAGTCAGATATTTCTAATATTGGGGTATTTCATGCCAAAAACTGGAAATATTGAAATGGATTTCGACAACTGAGGAGTTTGTTAGATTTGATACACAGCTTACGCCAGTGTTTCTCAACCGCCCATACCGGACTCTGGCATCAATTATGGGAGACCCTCACCTTGTAAAAAAATAATTTACCGGGCAGCGATCTCAAACGTTGAAACCCACTGGGGTATGCAGCGTTACGAACAGGAAAATCGTATGCTCCTTCGACATATCGATTGCAGTCACACAACATCTCTGATCTCTCTGATGGTCACGTAGAGTCTTATTTTCTCTGATATATTTCATTGCCTAGTTTGTCTCTGCGGTCTCTGCCAGGTCTCTGCAACTCTCTGCTTTCATGTGATAGAAAAGCAGAAAGGGAAGTGTGGAGGTGCGTGGTTCGTAATCTGAAATTTATGTAAGTTATCTGATCACATAATATCGTTTTCATCTTGCTGCGGCATAATTCACAAAATGAACCGTGTTATAACCCAGAAATATTCTGTAGATTTGTAATGGTAATTTTGTCTTGTAGTTGTAGTTTGTAATTTTTTACGATGATTTCTAGGAAAGGGTCGTAATGGTGCTTGTAGACCATATTCGTGTGAAACTAACAGTGTACGGTAGCGGCCTGCATGCCGTAAAATATTAGCACAATATGTGAATAGCGGCAGAAGAAGATATGCCTCAATCATGCTCTTGTGTTTGTTCTTTTTCAAAATGTGATAACTACAAGATGCGATAGAAAGCCCCCCAGTAATATACTGAGTTTGGGTCTTTCTTTGTGGTGATTCATAGAAAGTAACAGGTTTGGATTGTCTCGGATTGTGTCGGGCCTCCCGTATACAGAGAAATGCAATATAACACTTGTCCTGTTTCCACAGTTAACAGGAGTTAATTCAGTGAACATAATCAAGCATATTTTGTACTCTAGAATTGCCAAATATATCGTGTGTCTGTTACGACGCATTCGATAGCCTCGATGGATTGACGTGAAAAAGTACGCTTGTGGTAACTAGTTTTAACACTACCAGATCCATTAAACAGTGCATTAAATTTCAAGAATTGTCTCCAGAATTGCTGTACATTTAGGAATTCATAGAGTATTCTTTTGGTTAGTGCCTGCACTGTGTAATGGTCATCCAATTAAGCAAAGGAACTGGTTGTACACTCTTCAGTGGAGTCTGTGTGAGTGATCTTGTTCATGTGTAGATAGTAAGGAAATTTTGTTGAACTGTGGCCTGTCAGCAGTCAAAATATCAAAATTTGGTACAGCAGAATCAAGCATAAGCAGGAAGTGAATGAAGTGTTGGGGGTGGGGTTTGAACGTCACCAGAACCATCATGACTTGCCCAGTTCTTTAATGTGCCCGAGAATTCTTTAGAGAGCCATCAGTGTAACACCTGTTGAGTCCAACAGGAAGTGTCATTTGTCACGTAAGTTTTTATACTGTTAACTTCCCTTCCTGTATTCCTTTCAACTCCTACATGTTATTAAACAGTACATGATGGCTAATGTTTAATACCATATGCCATGGATAACATGAACAAATATTCTGTCATTTGTCTCCCTTATCTGTATTTACATGAAAGTATTACCAGTTCTCACAGAATAAAGACAGGACACTGAAAGGATGCTCACATGTTCATGACCTGCACATATTTCATTTGTGCAGTGTGATAATGCTGGACAGTTTGTCGCTGTGATAACCCGAAATTGTGCAATTTGAGAGCATTCCTCTCACCACTGCACTACTTTATATATATATATATATATATTGTGGCATATTTGCACATAGCAGGAACTGTGGAGCCAGAGAAACAGGAATTGCTAGCAAATGGCTCTGAAACAACATTTATTGCTAGGCAACATCTGTGAAACAAACGCGACAAGCAGCCGCCAGCTCTCAAATGGACTGGCTGAGTAGCAATCGTGTGGGAACCCCTACATACAGAGATGTGACAGTGGTACAAGAACAGAGGAAGTGTTTTCTACATGGTGCATGCTGAGATGTTATCAGCAAGTGACAAGGTTAGAGTTAGTTGGAGAAAGAGTTGAGACCATAAGGACTTAAGCAGACAGCGTTAAAATCCTTTACCAGGAAACATGTAGTGAAGACAGAGAAGACTGTGTGCTGTAGTTAACAGTGATACTTGGAGTATGTAATTCTATGAGACTGTTATAATTACTTGTAGGTATGATCTGTAAGTGATCAGGAAATCCACTATCCAATCCAAAACTCTGTTGTTAGTCACTCATACACATAACAGTATATCTGTTGTTACATGTGTGAGTGTGACTATAGACAGAATTTGTATTTGTAATTGGATTTATTGCACACTTGTACACACAACTTGTAACTACAAGTGACCATAGTGCTATTGCTAATTCACACTCAATTCACTACAGCTCACACTTAAGTCTTCTCAGCCTCCTGTATCTTCACCAGTTTTCTGGTAATGGCTTCCAATGGCCGATGTTCCCCTTCCTCTGGGTTCCCGAATTGTCTGCATGCCTCAGCTGCCAGCTTCTAATAGCAACAGCTCACAAGGATTTGACCACAGCATTCCTCTAACTCACTAGCTCACCAACCAGTTCACATGACTCCACTGCACTGTCTCTTATTAATTGTCTTGCTTGTAACATCTCGGCATGGACTGCACAGAAAACACCATTCCTCTGATGCTGTTCAATTATTGCTTAGGAAACCACCCAGGAAACACTGTTCCTCTGTTTGCAGGCCACTGCCTAGCAACAGCCGTGGTACATGCCACAATATGTAGGGATATGTGATAGACCAAGCACATCCGCTGTTTTAAATCTTCTGATTGAGTAGGTTCTTTTAGAACGGATTTATTCCCGCCATCATATTGCTCTCCTTTCCATTTTCTTTATTGATTCCACACATTGAATAATGAAAATGTTTTATGTGTGAATTGATATTTCAGAATGGCACCTCGGTATGAGTTGGCAGTAGGCCTTCGTAAGGGACACAGGACTACCAAGATACGTGTAGGCAAGACTAAGCAGGACAAGAAACATACTATTCGGCCATCTAGGTTGAAAGGTGTAAGTTGAAAAAAAAATGCGGATTTGTTATGTTGAGGTCATACTTCTTTTTGGTTGTGGGATGGTTAGTGTTTTGTTTTAATGAAACACTATTTCAGGTTGGTGTGTGATAATCATTTAATGGTCTTGATGGTAGATGATGAAATTTCTTAAATAGTGTAATGTGAAGCATATTCTTCTCTTAGTACTTTTCATAAATCATAGATATTTTGTGGGGGGATACCTAAATTGTGATACATTTTCAAATGATTTGCTGTTACTGATTTTGAACATTAATTGCAAACACCGACATCATGAAAACAGGAATAATGTCATAGCAGTGTACATTGACTGCGTGATTGAGGAGGTAAAGGCATGGGAAGGAAGGGGAAGGCAAAGCTGTAGTGCCAGAAGGGAGCAGGGGAAACACTTAGGGAGACACTGGTTGACTCTGCTGTATTTTAAGAAACAAGTTACATTGAAATTAATTACATGTAAATATTCAGGAGCCAGGATAGCATAGTTGGCATAGCGACTGGCTATGGGCTGGACTACCAAGTGCTCAGAGTGCGAGTTACAGTAGGTTTAAGAATTTTCTTTGTGCCATCCAAACTGGCTCTGGGCTGCACCTAGCCTCCTGTCGAATGGGTACTGGGGATCCTCCCCCAGGAGGAAAGCAGCCAGGACATGAAGCTGACCAGTCACCTCCAGCTAGTGCTGAGGTTGAGAAAATGTGGATCTATACATCCACTCCCTCATACACCTTCATGGCATAGTGCTTAATTAGTTAAGCACAAGGACAACTTTACCTTTTACATATAACTATTCAGTGTCATTGTATCCTCCTGTTGCAGATTCAGACAAAGCATACAAAATTTGTTCGAGATCTTATCCGAGAAGTGTGTGGCCATGCTCCATATGAAAAGCGTGCAATGGAATTGCTGAAAGTTTCAAAGGATAAGAGGGCCCTGAAGTTCTTGAAGAGAAGGGTTAGTAGGATATTTGTATTACTTACGATGATCTTACTTTAATTAATCCACATAAATACTATGGTAGATTTGTATACAGATCTACTATAATTGTGGAGTCAACAGCTGCCCGTTACCAGGCAGCAGGAGGCCATGTCATATGTCAGGCTGTTAGTCGCCGGCTTCCAGCTGTGGCGGCCTGGGCTTGAGCCCAGGGCAGATCATGTGGGATTTGTGGTGGATATAGTGGCACTGGGTTAGGTTTTTCCAAGTACTTCGGTACCCCTACCAATTTTGTTTCCTCCGACCACTCTGTACTTGTCATCTGTCACCCGGGGCTGGTACAACAGGCCAAATAAGGCGCTGACAATTGAAGTCATCTCAGTCTCACCCCACCCAAAGAAGAAAACCCACCAAGCAATGGCCTAAAAACATCAGAGGAGTGTCGATTTTCATTGCATGATCAAAAAGGAACAAATTTTTGAAGGGTGATTCCTATTGTAGATATTCATATATTATTTTTTCTTTAATTTGTATTCTTTAACATTGTCATGTAAAGCAGAAAGCTTCATTGAGTATCTAATTATTTCAGCCATGAATTAATGTAATGTTTCATAACAGTTTCCCCACCCTCTTAGTCTACTTTCCTTATTTAAAAAAAATAAAAATACGTTTATGGGATCCCCCACCATTAGCTTTTGAATGCCTGAACTAGTCTTTATGAAACTTAGTATGTATATCATGACACCTGAGTCAATCTCAGTGGCATACTTCATAAATCCCTCCCATCAGTAGGTGGGTCTGTATGTGTATCCCTCTATTGTTGCTAGGCAGTGGGTCAGTATACACGTTCCCACAGCAACAAATTCATGAAACAAGGAAGAATTGTTGGATGTATCATTTTCTTTGCAGCCCATGTCATATCAAAGGAAAGCCTCTGAGTCTATGTATCCCCCTATCATTGCAAGGCAATGGCACATTTCCATGACAACAAAGAATTCTTAAGAGGTGTTGTTTTCTGTGCAGTCTCTGTTGTATCAAAGGAAAGCAGATGATTAATTCTTCACAGAACTACTTTTCCTTTAATGGTGCCTTCTGATTTCATAAAGTTTTGGGAATTCCTTCAGTGGCTGAGGGACTGTTGGCTTCTCAAGATTGACTTGGGTCCACCTGGTTAATTAGCTATGAATAAATGTAATGATGATAGTTTTTTTTTAGTGCTAGTGGGGTGGTACCAAGTCCCTTTGTAACCGCACCATGCAGGGACCTTGGGAATGTTTTTCATTTACATTGTTTATTACCATGCACTACATGGACACGAAATGTAGTACTGTTAACAATAGA